CTTTAAAAAATTGCAAATGTGCTTATCCTTATTAGACGCCTCATCCATTTCAGTGAAGCAACTAACCTCCTGGATATGATTTGCAGCAACTTTACTTTCCATAACTTCAATCGGGTGCAAGTAAACTACAGCGAGTTAAAATTAAAAAAAATTAGTTGAAGTAGAAAATTAGTTAAACCTCAAAAGTTTTGAAATCATTTCTTTTTAAATTGATCTAGCATTAATATCTGAAGAGATCAGTACTCTTTCTCTGTCACCACCCCCACTAATCTTGCAGTGCTAGAAACCAGCTGTGTGCCAGAACAAATGACGACATACTAATATGTTCAAAACAACCTTATCTAGCCAAGCCAGTCTTACTTTCTGCCTGAGGAATTTTGTGCAGGAGCTATGGTAAGCAACTTTATATGCTTCAGCATGTAAAGTTAGATATCACGGCATTTCCCATACGACAAAACATGCCCTGTATTCTGTACCAAAATATTTTTCCCTCTGGGCTCTATCCTTGGCCCTCTCCTTTTCACCATCCCTCTGCTCCCACTCAGTAACGTCCACAAACATGGGGTCCACTTCTGCATGTACAGTGTGGAGTCCTGTTGCTCAGTGGTTAGAGCATTCGCCTTGCAAGTGAGAAACCTGGGTTTGATTCCCGGCAGGGCGAAATGTTGGTCAAGTTTCCTTAGTCCACGCGCCTCTGTTCACCTAGCAGTAACTAGGAACCCAGTTGTTAGTCAATTAGCAGATCGCTTTTCCTGGGGTAATAATTCCTTTTTTTAAAAAAAATTGGTCACTCAATCAACGACTGTTTGTGGGACACTGCTATGTGCAATTGACTGCTGCCTTTTGCCCACAAAAATATGCAGTCAATTCACTTCACAGTATATTCCGTGAAGCGCTTTGAGACGTCTCAAAGATGTGATAAGGATCTATATCAAATGCAAGAATTATTATTACATGGGCGACATCCAATTACCTCTCTTGCCTCTACCTTTGACTTCAGGATCACTGTTGTTATGACCAATTGCCTGTCAGACATCTCAATGAGCTCCAACTTCCTCCAGTTAAATTCAACAAGACCTTGGCTTCAGTCAGCGCCTTTTAATCCAGGCACTGACTGCATCGCCCTGCACGGCTGCTCACTCCACCGCACGGACTCTTACTCCATCTCAAGGAGCAGATGCAGAACTTATGGGCCTTGTTTAATCCTCAACTGTCTTTCAAACCCTAAATCGGGGTTCTTGGTCATTGAGCCATTCCTAACCTCTGTAACATTGCCACCCTCCACCACCAACTCTCCCCCTGGGCTACTAAGTCCCTTGGAGCATCAGACTTAGACTGTGAGTTTAAAGTCCCAATGTGCGGCTCGAAGCAAGAGTGCTACCAATCATAATCATCACCATCCTTGTATTTAGTGTAGCGCCTTTCATGTCGGGAGGGTGTTCCGAAGCCCTTCACAGGATTTATTGTAAGGTGGAGTGACTGTGTATTTGTAGGTAAATATAGCAGCCAATTAAGCACAGATATATCCCACCAACAGCCATGAAATTACTTACGAAAAGAGGCAGAACTTATAAAGACAATGGAGATATCTGCGATCTGAACCACCCAAACTGAAAAGGGCAGCACAGTACACTAAAAAGGGGCATTAACTAGGAAAGATAAAAAAGAGACAATCTGCAAATATTGTTGAAACTTATAAAGCAAACGAGAAGCAATAAATCCTGGGTTCTCAAATAAGGAAAACCATAAGTTATGTGTTTTTCTTTCTGTTTTTGTTCATAGCTGTTTTTGAGGTCAGGACAATTGACAGATATCTGCAATTCAAGTGCATGGTGGAAAAGTTGGTAATCTTATCTATCAGTGATCACCTCTCCAGTGTCAGCATTAGCGCAGTTATCAATGATGCATCTGAGATAACACTTTCCTTACTACAACAGTTGATATTTTCATTATCCCCAACCAGTCATCCCGCGTTCAATTTAGAACTAAACTGTTCTGTGAACCTGTGCACACTTAAAACAAGGTTGAGGTTACATTTGACTTATACCCATAATAGTAATTTGTGTTTTAATAGTAATATTTGTGCCTCAAGGGACAAGTGCGAGCTGCTGAACGCACCTGGATCAAATCCAAACTAATGGTCCATCGGCAGATTTGGCTTCACCACACCAAGACCTACCGCTGCGCTCTTGCCTCCGCCAAATCCTCCTTCTACTCCAAGGTTATCTTGGAGGCAAAGGACAACCCCAGGCTTCTCTTTACCACCACTAACCGTCTCCTCCGTCCACTTTCCCATGACTCGCCCATCCTCTCCTCAAACTCCGACTGTGAGGAGATGCTGGACTTCCTCGAATCCAAAATCGAGGGGATAGGTTCAGCCACCTCACATCAACTCTCCCTCATGACCCACCCCCCCCACCCATCGCCCCCTATACTCCTCAGACCATATTTCTCCCTCCTGCCTCACCATGACCATCCGCAAACTCAAACCTACAACTTGCTCCCTCGATCCCATCCCCACCTCTCTCATCTCCACATTCTGACCCCTCTCTTGTCCGACGTCATCAACCTCTCCTTGTCCACCAAGGTCCTGGAACGAGTCGTCGCGTCCCAGCTCCGCTCCTTTCTCTCTCGCCATTCCTTCTTTGAACCCCTCCAATCCGGCTTCCGTACTGCCCACAGCATGGAAACAGCCCTGGTCAAAGTCACTAATGACGTTCTGAACATCTGTGACCAGGGCTCCCTCTGCCTCCTTGTTATCCTCGACATCTCTGCCGCCTTCGACACTGTCGACCACTCCATCCTCATACACCGCCTCTCCTCTTCACTTAATCTTCGCAGATCTGCCCTTGCCTGGTTCAATTCCTATCTCTCTCACCATCTCCACTTTGTTGCCTCTTAACGGTTTCTCCTCCAGCCCCCGCACTGTCACATCTAGGGTCCCTCAGGGCTCTGTCCTTGGCCCTCTCCTCTTTAATATCTTCATGCTACCCCTTGGTGACATCATCCGCAGACATGGGGTCAACTTCCATATGTATGCGGATGACACCCAACTATCTTTCTGCCTCCACCCTCAACTCCAGGACCACTGCTGTCCTGACAGACTGTCTGTCGGACATCAAGTCCTGGATGAGGGCAAATTTCCTACAGTTGAATGTGAACAAGACTGAGGCCCTCCTGATTGGCTCACGCCAGCGCCTCAGCACCTCAGGCTCTGGCACCATCAACCTCCATGGTTGCACACTACAACTCACCAAGTCAGTCAGGAACCTGGGGGTCTTGTTCGACCCTCAACTGTCTTTTCTCCCCCACATTCAAGCCGTGACCCGCTCTGCCTTCCATCACCTCCGTAAGATCACCCGACTCCGCCACTACCTCACCCCTCAGGTCACTGAAACTCTTGTTCATGCCTCTATCACCTCCAGGCTCGACTATGCAAATGCCCTGCTTGTGGGCCTTCCCAACTCCTCCCTCCACAGACTGCAGATAATCCAGAACTCTGCAGCCCATGTCCTCTCCCGCACCAAACTCCGTGATCCCATCTCCCCCACTCTCGCCCGACTCCATTGACTCTCTATCCTTCAGAGGATCCAGTTCAAGATCCTGGTCCTCACCTACAAAGCCCTCCATGGCCTCGCCCCATCCTACCTCTGTGACCTCCTAACCTCCTACCAACCCGCCCGTTCCCTCTGCTCAGCCGGCTCTGGCCGGCTCCACGTCCCCCGCCCCACCCGCCCCACCATTGGTGGGAGAGCCTTCAGCCACTCTGCCCCCAACCTCTGGAATTCCATCCCCCAGTCACTCCGCCTCGCCCCCTCCTTAGCCTCCTTCCAGTCCTGCCTCAAGACCCTCCTCTTCGCCCATGCCATCGGCCACCCCCCCTTCCGCTCCCCTCCCTTCTCCCCCCCTGACCCCAGCTCGGGTCTGAAATGCTGTACTCTGTCCAGGGCCTTGGACGTCCTCCTGACGTGAAAGGCGCTATACAAATGTAATCTTGTTGTTGTGTTTGATACAGTTCCTTGTCATGTCATTGAGACGTCTAAAAGCGCTTCACAGAATATATATTGAATTGACTGTATTTTGTGGGTGAAACGCGGCAGCCAATTGCGCACAGCAATGTCCCACAAACAGTCATGGATTAAGTGACCAAATCATTATTATTTCTATTTTTTTTTGAAGGGATTATTACCCCCAGAAAGCGATCTGCCAATCGACTAACGATCAAGTGCTCTAAACCAATACGCTGTAGGACGTAACAGACTTAAGCAGCAGACTTCATCCCATAAACTTGGGTTGAATTCAAATCTAGGCCCAGAGTTCCCCGTACTAAAAGGAGCACTGTCCGTGCTAATGCTTTATTGAAACCCAATGCATGACAGGTGCAAAACATGAAAGTAAACTGTAGTTAAATTTTCGATGAGCACATTGGTAAAATTTATGCATTTACCATTTATTAACTGCACATTGTGTACCCTAAGTTGACTCCACCTTCGAGCCAGCAAGGCTGCCATAACACAGTAAACAGTGTTAAAGGACTTTTACAAGTTGTAATTAGAAACTAGTTATGCCAGTTAAGCACTCAATTACTTTCCTTTGCAATAGAGAGGCTGACTAAAATATAAAGTGCAGGCTATTTTTAAGCAGTTCCCTTTGCTTGCATAACACATTCTCAATTCCCTGACCTATCAATAATGAATAGGTCAACAATTAAACTGTGTCTACTGGTGGGTGGGTCGCGAACCAGAGGACACAGATTTGAGATAGTTATCAAAAGATCCAGAGGGGAGATGAGGAGAAATGTTTTCATACAACATTTCTCCCTGCCGGGAATTGAACCCAGTCTCTCGCTTGCGAGGTGAATGGTCTAATCACTGAGCTACAAGACTGCTGAGGAATGTGCAGACAGTAAAACATTATATTAAATGCATGCAAATGAGCTTTGGGTGTAGGAAATACGTTTGACACTCCATCAACTGCTTAGTGAACATGTTAAAACTTACTGAATCTGCTGTAGCTGCTTGAAATGATGGTGCAATACTAAGCACTTTCAATGAAGCTTCCAAATGTCTCGGTGTGAGGAAAAAGTTTGGGACTTGAATTGGATCAGATCTGAATAAAACAGGTTAAGGTTGACAAAAACTTAGTGAACTTTTGTTTACATAACACAAGATAATAATAATACTCGTCAGTGATATAGTACCTTATTACGTTGAAAAGTCTCAAAGTGTTTCATAGCAATTACTGTAATGGGTAGTGGCCATGATTTGTAGGTAAATAAAATAATCCTAGCAATTGATATAGTGTCTTATCACATAGTTGAGACACATCTCAAAGCGCTTTACAGAACATATATTATAAAGTGGATTGACTGTGTATTCTGTGGGCGAAACGGAGCAGCCAATTGCGCACAAAATGCGGCAGGCAGCTGGTGCACAGCAATGTCCTATAAGCAGCCAGGAGGTGAACAACCAAGAATTAGTCGGCCAGGGCACTGGGAGAAATTCTCTTCCCTTTTTGAATTTTGGCAGCATTGCTTAAAAAACATCCAAGGCAGTATTTTTATATGAGAATAGAGAATTAAGCTGTGCGTAGAATCCTAGTTAGAAGGAGGTCATTCACTCCATCGTGCCTGTGCTGGCTCTTTGAAAGTCACACTAGTTGGGAGTGCTACACCCGAGAAAGAGCTATTTTCTTTTTATAAAAATGACCATTAACAAGATAATAATCCTTGTATTTTATATAGCGCCTTATCAAGTCGTTGACCTATCTCAAAGCGCTATACAGAATATTCTGTAAAGTGTAGTGACTGTGCATTTTGTGGGCGAAACGCAGCAGCCAATTGCGTTCAGCAGTGTCCCACAAACAGTCATGGATTGAGTGACCACAGTATTATTATTTTTTTTGAGGGATTATTACCCCTGGAAAGTGATCTGCCAATCGACTAACAACCAGGTTCCTACTTACTGCTGGGTAAACAGAGGCACGTGTGTTAAGATGCACATTAATTGCTAAAAAAAAGTTTGAATAGATGCAAAAGGATACAATTTGACTAAAAGTTCATTTTCCTCAGAATTGTCATTCTCAGTATCACTGAGACTGTGTTGAACACTGTCAGCAAAGGTTATTGGGTTTTCAATGTTGTACTCTCGAGGTGCCTCCATTTCCTTTTCGTTAAGATGCTCCTCCCTATTACCATGGTGGCTGTCTCCACCCTTGGCTCCCGGGTCTGCTTCTTCTCCAACAACAAATGGTAAATCTCTTTGGGTAGAGGAGAGTTCATGTTCGGTCAAATCTCTGGGTTCTTGCTGCAGCTCTTCCTCTTCTTCAGGACTGGAGTAATCAGAGCCTAGATTACGTGGGAATTGTAGCTGCTTTAATTTTATACTCGAGTCTCGTGTGTTTTGGGCTACAAAATGCTGGTCCAGCACATCACATTCTTCTTTTTCACTTACTGGTGAAGACTCCTCTGTAAGTGGAGGTTCATCGGCTGTGCTGGGCAAACTACTACTTCTACTGTGCAATATATCAAAGAGCCGCTCTTCTTGATGTGAACTTGCATGAATTCTTTGCTTTTCCTCAGGTAAGATCCCATTTCCCACCGAGTCCTGACTCTCCATGTTAACCTCAGACTTCGGCTGGTGACCTTCCTCTAAATCTGACAAGATGCTTGACCACGGGCTGGTCCTGTCAGTCATAACAGTCACGTCATTTAAGGTTCTTGGTTGTATCACAAATTCCTCATATCCATCTTCACTACAAGTATCACTCCCATAAACATTAACTTGGTTTTCAACCCCTATGATGGATCTTTCATTCTGCAAATCCAAGTTCTCTTCATCCAAGCAAATATCTGGTATAGCTTGCCTGAACTCTGAGTTTCCTTCTGAGGGAATGTATATTTTCAGGTTTTCACCCTCTGCTGACTGCGAACGCTGCAAAGATGTTCTGCGGTCTTCACTTTCCGAATGTAACCTTTCAGTTTCAACCTCACCTTTTCTCTCCCAATTTTCTTCACTACATTGAGGGGAATGCAATGAAAGAGTGATTGCAGGTTTAGCTCTTTCCTGTTGACCTGATAGACCATAAAATGCAAACGAGAAATTATTCCACTGCTATTTCTCAGTTTCGTTCATTCAATATTTTGTAGTTTAACTGTTACAATAACAAATTACATTTGTATAGCACTTTTCAGATGGTCCCAAGGCGCTAGATAGTCAGGATTACACTAATTTACAATATTACATTAATATCAATCACCAGTTTACTACATTTTGAAAGAGAAATGGGTCAGATTGAGACTGGCTGATGGCCTGGATGTTAAAAGGTAACAAAATTATATTTCAGAAATGAGAAACAGCCCAAGAGAAGTTGTAAAGCTAGCAAGAACTTTTTAAAAACAAATTCTGCAGTGAAATGTAAAATATGCTAAATTTGTTATATCTTCAGAGAAAACAAAGCGAGCCTGTCGAGACAGAAAAACTCTAAATTACAACCAAGGTTTTACGCAGCCAAATTTCACCTAGTAATTCCTGGATAATTATTCTTGCACGATATAACAGATACCTAATGATTTATAAGTCAATTCTACAGCCTGGTTAAAGCATTCTGTTTGATTCATTCAATCAATCATTAAACCTCATAAGTAATAGTCATAATAATAATAATCCTTGCATTTGATATAGGGCGTTATCAAGTCTTCGAGACGTCTCAAGGCACTTCACACAATATAGTTGAAGTGAACTGACTGTGTGTTTTATGGGTGAAATGCGGCAGCCGATTGCGCACAGCAGTGTTCCACAAACAGCTGTGGATTGAGTAACCAAATTATTACTATTTTTTAAAAAACTGAAGGGATTATTATCCTCGGAAAAGTGATCCGCAATCGTATAGTAAAACCAGAGGAACCGCCCCGCGATTGCAGGCGGTCGAATTTAGAACAAATCTACGCAAACACTATTTCAGTGAGCGAATAGTGAACCTGTGGAACAGGCTCCCTAGGGAGATGGTTGAAGCAGGAAGTGTTGATTCTTTCAAACACAGATTAGATAGTTTTCTTTTAGGAAATAACATTATGGGATATAGTACATAGGTAGTTTGGGACATATGTGCATGTGTCTGCCAGGAAGGTGGAAGGCGAACTAGATGGACCTTATATCTTATATCGTCTAGCATTTCTTATGTTATTAATCAACTAACACTTAGTGTTAGGTAAACAGAAGAGTGTGGGGTAAGGAAAATTTCACCCTGCCCGGGAATCAAACCCAGGTAGTTAAGTATCTGCGAAGCCCATGAATCAATTTTCACCGTTTCCAGAGATGAACTCTTAGAAATGTTTTCCTACCCAAGGCAAAACACTTTTTTTCCCAAAAACAAGCCCATAAGGTAGTTTGTCTCAAGAACTGCAGAATACAGGCCTTTCTGTCCAATCTTAATTTTATGATGAAATGGCCTGGCTTTGGGGGCATTAACCGTTTAATTCGAACCTCCATTTTACACTCAAATTGAATATTTTTAAAATAAAAGCCACAAGCCCAGATTGTACCAAAATGCACCACACATGATGGCACATGCACCACTGCAAAATAGGCAATCCCAAACTCTACAGTTAAACTGCAAACAGTTTCAAGGCTAACTATCTTCTATTGGCAAGTAACGTGTGAAATGGAGTTTGTGAAATTAAATTAAACTTGAAAAGAATAAAAATGCTTCCCATTAGCAAAATAAATCCCCAAAGAATCTTATTATAGCAAACTACTTATAAAATCCAATTTATGATAATCTTTTCATTTGATATAGTGCCTTATCACATCATTGAGATGTCTCAAAGCACTTCACAGAATATACTGTAAAGTGAAGTAAAGAGTATTTTGTTGGCGAAATGTAGCAGTGTTTTTATACATTATATAATTTACATTTATATAGCGTCTTTGACGTCAGGAGGATGTCCCAAAGTGCATGCATAGTGCAGACCTGGGGGTGGGAGCTGAGGGGCTGGTAAATACTTACCACTAATTACATTTTGGATCTGAGAAACCAGCCAGTTTGATTTCTCCAAGAGATTCTGTTCATGAACTGGACTTTCCTGTGACGTGTGGTGATGATTCATTGTGTCCTCATTGGTTCTTTGTATTGGAGCAGGGTTCATAATGTGAGCAAAGGGGGAAGGAGACAACTTCTGACTGAAATACTTTTGAATGTCGTCCAGCTCACGGAGATTCTTTCTATTAAACAAAAGATAAAAGAAAACCACAAGATGTTAAAATATAAACCCTTAAAATGTTGTTCGGGCTTTGGCTTTTTATGGGTTAACATCAGTCGAGTGGGAAGAATCTTTGTCACCTGAGTTAGGGGTAGGAGATGAGGGAGTGGGGAAGGGAAAAGATCTCCCAAAGAGCAGTCAAAGTGTTAGGGAGGGGAAGGAGCAGGTCGGAGAACAGGGCAAAATGTGGATGGTGGGGCAGATGGGGTGGGGGGACATGAAGCAAGTTGGCGTTTGCTGGGCAAAGGGAACCGCTGGATTGGGAGACTGCAGAGGTGGGGGGAAAGGAGATGAAGGCCGTAGAGGAGTTCCGATCTTCTGTCCCGACGGTGAACCACAGTTCGCTTCTCTCATTTCCCCTCTTTCATGTTTTCTCCCTCCCTATTTTTCTCTCGCCCCCACCCTCACACACTCTCTCCCCACCCCACACACTCATTCCCCCCCCTCACACACTCGCGCTCCCCCCCTCCACACGCACTCGCGCTTCCCCTCCCCACACGCACTTCCCCTCCCCACACGCACTCGCCCCCAACACGCACTCACGCTCCCCTCCACACGCACTCGCGCTCCCCCTCCACATGCACTTCCCCTCCCCACACGCACTCGCCCCCAACACGCACTCACGCTCCCCCTCCACACGCACTCGCGCTCCCCCTCCACACGCACTTGCGCTCCCCCTCCCCACACGCACACACTCGCGCTCCACCCCCCCACACGCGCGCGCGCGCTCCCCCCCCCCACGCGCGCGCGCTCCACCCCCCCACACGCGCGCTCCACCCCCCCCACACGCGCGCTCCACCCCCCCCCACACGCGCGCTCCACCCCCCCACACGCGCGCTCCACCCCCCCCCCACACGCGCGCTCCACCCCCCCCCACGCGCGCTCCACCCCCCCCCCACGCGCGCTCCACCCCCCCCACACGCGCGCTCCACCCCCCACACACGCTCGCTCCCCCCCACACACGCTCGCTCCCCCCCCACACGCTCGCTCCCCCCCCCACACGCTCGCTCCCCCCCCCACACGCTCGCTCCCCCCCCACACGCTCGCTCCCCCCCCTACACGCTCGCTCCCCCCCCTACACGCTCGCTCCCCCCCCCACACGCTCGCTCCCCCCCCCCACACGCTCGCTCCCCCCCCCACACGCTCGCTCCCCCCCCCCCACACATTCTCTTATAAGAACAATCCTTGGATTTGATATAGCGCTTTTCACGTCTTCTTGAAGTCTCAAAGCACTTCACAGAATATGCTGTAAAGTGAATTGACTGTATATTTTGTGGGCGAAACGCGGCAGCCAATTGCACACAGCAGTGTCCCACAAACAGTCGTGGACTGAAAATGACCAATTTATTATTGTTTTGTTTTGGAGGGATTATTATTAGGCTCTGTGTGGAGTAAGGAAACTTGCCCAAGGTTTCGCCCTCTGCCTGGAATTGAACCCAGGTGTCTCACTTGCAAGGCGAGTGCTCTAACCACTGAGCTACAAGACTATTCCCCTCTCCTCACACACTCTCTCTCCCCACCCCCACCACACACTGTCTCTCCCCCAAGCTCTCTCTCTCTCCCCCTCACACACACTTTCTCCCCTCTCTTACACGCCAGTTCAAATTTCATGATTTTCCACCATTTACAAATAATAACTTACCTTAGAGAACTAAACAGCGCAGATCGAGAGGGCTGTGGAAGTGAATCTAAGTGTTCAGAGGAATGCACACTGTTCTCCACTTGTTGCATTGACCGATGGTACCTGCGTACATTTTCCATATGTTCTTCATGACGCAAACTCTGCATGTCTGAATTGGCAGGTCTGTGAAGAATGGAAGAATAATTTTAATTATCCTTGTATTTGATGTAGTGCCTTTCAAGTCGGGAGGACATCTCAAAGAGCTTTGCCATTTTAATTGTACTGTCATCAATAGTTATAAAACATTACTTTCTTTCCAAAATATCTCTCAGAATACAAGCAATTCACTTTACAGTATATTTTGAGATGTCTCGAAAACATGATAAGGCAAAGGCCGTAGAGGATAAAGTGCCAGTCGAGCAAAGGCGCCGGGGGTTGGGGATTGGGGGGTGAGCACGTCGGAGAAATAGGGAGGTGCCAGGGAGCGAATGGATTTGAACAGAAGAATGATCTTGAAGTTGATCTGTTCAGTGAATGGGGAGCCAGTGGAGCCTGGGCCAGAACTAATGAGATGCACGAATTAATTTTCTTTTACAAACCAAAAATTGCAATGGGAAATGCTATCTGATGTTATTAGTATCACAAAATAAATGTCAGCAATTGATGGCCTTTCTAATAAATGGTTTTCAGTTGATAATAATAATCCTTGCATTTGATATAGGACCCAGCGCCTTGGGACGTCTTCCCGACGTGAAAGGCCCTATACTAATGTGATTTTGTTGTTGTTGTTTCACATCCCGAGGATGTCTCAAACGATTCACAGGATTTACTGTAAAGTAATTTGTAGGTGATCTTTGGTACAATCGTATAGTATTATCACATACCTGCCAGTGGCTGGGAAACCATCCACATTCAAAGATGGAGCCATGAATTGTTCTGAATGTCCAGAGATGTGACTTGAGAAAAAGTGATGTGCTTCACTGATCCTATATGGCACTGAATCAAGGGTAGGAGCCTGTAACATTGATAAGCAAATGACAGCACATTACTTTGAAAACAAATATTTCTTGTTTTTGTTAGCCATGCCATCTAGAAGAAATAAGAGTTGAGTTACCTCCAAATAAATAACTTCCATATTTTCCTCTGCAGTGAATAAAGCATTCTTTATGTGAATACAGTGAATACAGCATTCTTCACATTGGCACTATTGATGTTACTCCATTGTAAACCTGTACTTGAGTGACACCAACTTTACTTAAGTGACAAGGTTTTGTTTGGGGGTAATATAACAACAATAATCTTTGCATTGGACACAGCGCCTTACCATGTTGTCGAAACGTCTCAAAGCGCTTCACAGGATACACCATAAAGTGGAATGACTGTGTATTTTGTGGGCAGTGGGTTTGCGTACAGCAATCTCCCATAAACTGCCATGGAGTGAGTGGCCCATTTTATTTGGGGGATTTGGTGGCCAGGACCCTGGGAGAAACTTCCTTCTTTTTTCGAATAGTGCCAGGGGATCTTTAACGTCCACTTGGATAGGCAGACGGGACTTCGGTTTAACGTCTCATCCGAAGGACAACACCTCCAACAATGGAATACTCCCCAGCAATGCATTGGATTTTTGACTTAGACAATGTGGGGTTTGAACCCATAATCTTTTGACTAAGAGGCAAGAGTGCTACCAGGCTGATACACCAGTGGAGTTCTAAGTCGTGGAGTTCTGCAGGAGTGTGTTTTGGATGTTTTGCAATTCAAATTATGTATTTATATTACTGTAATATTTTTTTATTTACTGATAACACAATGCCAGGAGATAAGCTCAAATAAGCTCGCTACCATTCAATGGAATCCAAGTTAGTTAAGATAAATGGCTAACAAATGGAAAATGAATTTGAAGTTGGATGAATGGGAGTCAATACATGCTTTTGCATGAGAAATGTGGATATAACGCTACCAAAAGAACAAATTCACCTTCCTGACTGACACAACCCATGGTCTCTTGGCTGAGATCCTGGAGAATTGCACCAAATGAGGAAAGAGAAACGAAGGAACAAATAAAAACTTGCAGTTTTGTAGTACACTACGTTTTCTGAATAACAATTCGTTGTGCTGGAACACAAGAATGAAAAATATTAATAGATTTTTTTATCCTTTGGGGGTTTTTGTTTGAAAGTGCCATTAGACTAGGCATTGAAAAAATCCTGCTTCTAAAGTGTAATTTCACTGCATAAATACAATTAGAAGTTTGATTTGTTGATAATGCATGTTTGACAGAAATTATCTTTGATTTCTTTATTTTTTTTATTAAAACAGTATGTGGTGCCATAAGGTAATCAATACTGAGAAAAAGAAAATTCATTTGTTTTTGTTAAGAAACTGATCTTCACCTTCTGGCCTAATTCAGTACACCACAAAAGGCTTACTCAGGGTTTAGTTTAAATCAATTTGATGAGCCCTAGTATGAGCATTTCAATGGAGTATTTATATTGCAGAAGTGCCACAGCTAAAATTAACTCTGGGCTACAATGCTGTGGAATCCACCCTGTTTCCACTTTGGGTTGCATTCACATGCAGTCGTTTGAAAGTACCATCTGGGTTACACTCGCCAATTCCAGGCAGAGGGCGAAACCTTGGGCAAGTTTCCTTACTCCACACAGAGCCTAATAATAATCCCTCCAAAACCAAAAACAATAATAAATTGGTCATTTTCAATCTACGACTGTTTGTGGGACATTGCTGTGCGCAATTGGCTGCCGCGTTCGCCCACAAATATACAGTCAATTCACTTTACAGTGTGTTCTGTGAAGCGCTTTGGGACGTCCTCCCGATGTGAAAAGCGCTATATCAAATGCAAGGATTATTATTATTATTATAACATGATTAGTGACTGGAAACTTCAAGTGAATACCCAGATTGAGTGAAAATACATTTTATTCGTTGACTATATTGAAGCAGAGTTAATAAATCCTAAGAGTAAATTAGCAGAATCTTGAAAAAGAAATATTAAAGAGTATGGGGAACATGCAGGAGAATGTGATTAGATTAGGTACTTCATGTGTGGGAAGAAGCATAGAATTAATGGGCCCAATTGCCTGTTTCTGTGCTGTAATATTCTATGATTCTGTTTCAGAAGCTGTAACCAATGAAGTGAATTGATATGCAGGATGAAGGAGACTTATCCTGCAGGATTTATTAGTGAGATCTCATTTCAAATACTGTGTGAAAATCTGGGAATACTGCTCTCAAATATACAAAAATCCCATAGGAAAAGGTTCAGAGAAAAGCAATTTGGTGAATATTTTTTGATTGAGGTTAAAAAAAAGTTGAATAGGTAGCATGATCCACACCTTCAAAATCTGAAGGTATGAATAATATTAGGGTTAAGGTCACCTACAATACAGTGACAGAAGTGTGAAAAAGATGTTCACGAGATAGCTAATGCTTCCTTGTTAAAATTAACTCCTTTAAGTATGATTACATCACCAAGATCGGATTGAGGGCTGCAAGGGCAAAGTAATGATTGAACCTGGAATGGAATACTATAGTTTCTACTACTGTTGGGTCAACAGAAATACATCTGTAAAATATAGCTGGCAAGGTTTGTAATATTGCACAATATCCCCAGGGCAAATGAAGGGATTTCGCAGGAATTTATCTTATTAGCTTTTATCAATGCTTATTCCCCTCCCTTTGTAGACCAAGTAAGATAGGAAGAGTATGTGCAAGACGTACCATCCTTTTCTTTGTTGTACATATCCTTTACTAGTAACATGTCAGCCTATTAAGGTAATTAATGAGATACAGTAATTTTTAAATATGGAAATTAATAGATAATTGGAGGTATTATCTAATAGATAATTAGACATCAACCATTTAAAAGGGTTCAGGTAACAGCATAATCCCGGAAGTGAAACTTGAGAAGTTTACAAATTACCTAAACATTACTTACCGCAGTCCTACTCTAGTTAGTACATTAGGAGGGGAAGGGGGAGAAGGGGAAAGGGTCCTTAAAATTGGTCTTGTGCCTACAATCACTGTCCAAACCAATGTCATCAGTAGCTGCACTTCACTGATGATGTTCACACCACACTTGGCAGCTGTAAAATCATCTCTGCAAAGTTTACCAAAAACTAATCTGCTAATAAATGAGCTCCAGGTGATTAATTGCCTTAGTCAAGTAAGTACCTTTTTAAAACATGAAAAATAACTGGTATCAACAAGACAACTGTGAATAGCTGGATACACTCCTCTGAGGAACAACCAACAAACCCATCATGTGTGCATTAATAACACAGGCACTGGACAGCGATTAATGAGGCCTTTAGCAAAGGTTAATGATCCAAAAAACACAGTAATAGAAATGTGCAATTAGGATATAAAACATGCCTTAGAGAAATGGAAAGTGGGGCACCAGCCAGATGGCAATAGTGAGGTCTAAAATAAAGTTTACTATATATAACCATCACCAATTTTAACATAGAAATCCGCTCATTTTGAGTGGTAATTGTGAGAATGTTCACTCTTCCTCTTGAGCTGTTAGACTTTGAGTAGGACAGAATGTTCTTTTCCTTTTCTTTCTTATTTTTCCCTTCTCTCATTTCTCTGTAGGATACATTTTCAAATTGGCTTCCACTGAGCATCTGGCAAACAGGGACTCTGGGGGGGGGGGCGAGAATGAAAATTCTGGGCCTGTGAATTAGACAAAGTATATCCTTCCCTTATATCACATGATCTTTCTTAATTATGTGGATCTTGAAATTTACTAAATACTACATTTAAAATTCCTTTCAGGGCTCCGAAGTTGCTTCATTTCACTGGGCATCAAGATGAAGAGGAACCTCAAAGGTACTTGCAATAGCGAGATAGAGAGGGGAGGGGAGAGAAATAGTTCAGATCCCAACCAAACTATCTACTCTTCTCTGGAATCAACCTAGTAATCATCTACGTGACCTAACACATCTATGAATATTATAATGGAAAACCGGACAAAGGATCTAGGAAACTATTAGAGAGACAGTGGGCCAAAATATGGGATCAGTAATCAACATTTCCTCCTCTCGTAGATTGAAGTAAGTGCTTCAGTGTAGGCACTTGTCTTGCTTATCATCACAACTGAACAAATGATTGCACAGCACATTTTGCGTATAATCCACGTATTCACCCTTTGATGACCCAAATATTTTAGGCTTCTTTCCAATTATAACTGTCTATAGTTAGGAAAGTGATGCAATGCTCTCAGTACGTCATGACTGTTTTTGTACTGTGTGATTTACTGACATGCTGATACTCTGTTCAGCAAATTCCCCTGATGGTCTGGCTTGCATTAGGAACTCTCCACATAAACAACTACAAATATGAATCAAACACCAAAGTTAGTGGCATATTACATTTACACTAATGCAATATATTATCTTCACAAAACAAAAATTGTAAAGTGTTGAACATTACAAAAATGATGCAACCAAAGTAATTATAAAACACTTAATGTATATATCTATGTAGCTTCAGTAATAAAAATATGCTTAACAATAATAATCATTGAATTTGATACAGCGTCTTATCAAGTCGTTGAGATGTCTCAAAGTCCTTCACAGAATAAACTGTAAAGTGAATTGACTGTACATATTATTGGTGAAATGCGATAGCTAATTGCGCTCTTGTGATAAAAAAAACTTTTTTTCCCACTAAACGCATTTTAAAAAAAAATGCAACCTACTGCTTGTATTTGAGTTTGGGTCCATCTCTTTGTTCTCAGATGACGAATATTCTCCAAAGGAGTTACAGCCACTTTAAGTTGCCCTTGGCACTGGCCACTGAAGTCCGTGATATTGTACCAGCCGCAGACAGATAAGAATCCAGACAACAAAGGAGAAAGATCCACAGAAGCAAACCCAATAATCCGTTCAATATCTAGGACACACGAAGAAAAGTAAGATGAAGTATGCCATGAAAAAGTCATGTCAAATATCTTTTTAAGTGTCATAGCTTCACTTCACATGAATAGAAAAGCCTGTACCGTTAAGTTCCCATCCCAACAAAACTTTTAAAAAAAATGATTTTAATGAAATAATGTTGCTCATTTAACATTCTTACAGGCATAATTTTATAACCATATCACTTTCAACAAATAATAAAATTGTGCTCGCACATAATGGGTTCCGCCAGACTCGAAGTCTGACTTGAAGTATGGCTGCTCACATTACGAATATATATGCTTCGTAATATTTTAAAGAGCCCATCATGTCCTTCATTTGCATTGCTATAATGCAAATAGTGGGGTAAATGGAATTAGATTAGAAGATCAGCCGTGATCTTATTGAATGGCGGGACAGGCTCGAGAGGCCGAATGGCCTACTCCTGCTCCTATTTCTTATGTTCTTATAATTGTCACCAAATGTTCTAGTCTCTTTACTCTAACCCTTCTTCAAACGTATTGATACCATCTTGAAGGCAGGATATCCACAAATCCACACTGTTACACGTTAGGCTTAATTGCACATGGGTAGGACAATCTGGATAATCATAGGCTATTGAGATGCTGACAGTCCAGTACTTGGTTAGATTTGACAATATCACCATACAAATTTACGGCACAGAAGAAGGCCATTCAGCCCATCGTGTTGGTGCCGGCTTCCTCAAGAGCAATGCTTTCAGTTCCATTTGATTGTCATTTCCACCTTGTGTAAGATAACTTCACCAATGTAGGTATGTTTCAGGCTTCCTGCTGAAATATATTACTTATACGTTCTCTTATGTTACCCGTAAATTCGTCCATCATGCCTCAGCTCATTGTCCATTTGTGGAGTCTTGTAGCTTAGTGGTTAGAGTACTTGTCTCGCATGCGAGAGGACCAGGGTTCAATTCACGGGTGAGGTGAAACATTGGGCAAAATTCTTACTCTACACGCCTCTTCTACCGTAGTTTTAGCTAGTCCACTCTGCATTCTGTTTTCCAACTAATTTTCAATTCACGAATCGGCTTAGCTTTTTGAAATAAAAGCTTGAACTGATGCTGAATCCTTGGGTACCTGAATTGTAGTTAAGCAAGAGGGAAAGAATTCACTCATCCCACTTTTTTTGGACAAGTCTGTGGGTCTGGTTCGATGTGAATAGAATTCCAAGGGATGTTGAGAACAATTGAACCTAATCCCCTTTAATGCATTTAATGAATTAATTTGTATCTTGTTATAGGGTGGTAGCCATTTCTTTGTTATCTTGGTTACACACTGTGGCATTCAGATGCAAACAAAGTACTGTTAATTTATTCATTCACAAATTTACATTCTATCCTTTATTGTGTATATCTCTACCAGTGTATTATATATGTAGATTTATTTGCCTAATAAATAAAAGGCTACAAAAAGGCTCCTCTGAATTACCTGAACAAAGGCCACAAGCAAGAATGACATTAAAGGATAAACAGTCAGGCCAGTACAATGTCTTTAAAACCAAGAAGACATTTGTGCCATGAAGTAATGACTAGAATAATCAATTGTAAAGAGATAAACATTTCAATGACATTTACCTGCTTTAAGCCAGATTTTGAAAACCAGTGTTTGCTGTGGGTCTAACAGCAAGTCTTTGGATAATCTGCAATTGTACGAAGAATAGCTACTGTCAACAAAAAAATGCTATGTTACCCATCTTCACGTGGTCTTTCAAGCTCAGTTAAAAGATAAAACAAACCTTGGCTCTGTCTATGCAGAAAGCCCAGTTTCTATCTCATCATATTTCCTTTATACACAATAAATTTGTGCGATAGGTAAGTTTGGCATGCTCATTTTTACTTTTTTCAATCAATATTCCCTCCGTTTGTGAAGGCACTGACTCACGTCAGTATTTTGGCACTATTTAAATGAGCTTTATTGAAGGAAAAATTACATTCATCAACTACATTTATGCTAAGTCAGTTTTATTTGAAGTGAAAAAACAAGTTAAACACAAGCCAAGTTCAACAAAAGCTGGTCAGGGCAAGAGTCGGTCCCACAGGGCATCTGCAAGTCTATCGAACAAGCAGCAGGTCATTCTGTACAGGTTCAATTGCACTGTTTCTGAGTTAGCTGATCTCAGCTGAAGTTGCTTTGGCCTCAGGAAAGAAAGGGGGAGGAACGGGAAGGAGAATGCAAAAATAAATTCAATCAGGATTCCAGCTACCAATTACCATCTGGCAGTTCCTGCTCCAGGTGATGATGTGAACAAAGGAGAGGCCAGGATCAGTTTCAGGTTTGATGCACTGGGGTTGAGTAACTTGCCAAAGCTCACTGCTGAGCTCAGTCACAAACAACAGCCACGTGGGCAAGTTGATCACTGTTCATGGAAACACACACACCGTCAAAAAGTTCAGGAGAGTAGGGGAGTGAAAACGATTTAAAGACATAATTGGCAAGAAAATGGATTCTGGGATGAGGAGCCATGTTTTTCTCAATCCTGGCACATTAGATTTTATGTTGTGATACAAAGTGTGTTTCTGGGCTGATTTCAGTAACATTTTTCTGAGCTACAAACAAACCTCTCTTTCTGAAGAAACAACGCTGGCAAAATAAAAGGAGACTACAGTTAATTTTACTGATCAGGTCTTAAAATGCATTATTTCTTTTGAAATTTTAATTACTCTAAGTAAGTTGATGAAATATGATGCTCTGCAAACCTTGTTAGTTGTTGGTGATCCCAGATAGGGGAGTATGTGTCTTCTGAGAGGGTTGTTGTTACAGGAACCTTACAGTCTGCTGTTGCAAATGACACAAAGCAGCTGGGTTTAACTTCGGTTTGCTCTGCAAAGGGACTCCCTTAAAAACACACACACAATGATTTAATACAAGGATAGAGACCAGATGCAAATTAGAAATACTCTTAAGACATTACACAACTAATACAGTCATATCTACACAAGTAATAACCTGCACCTACCCATCTACCTGCAGATACCCATCTACAAAGTTACAAAGATCAACTATCTTTGATCAAGTCTTCAAAGTGCTTTCAATGGGGAGCTATACAGTTTTAACTGGTTAGACTCCCACAGTACCCCAATCCACGCATCAGGATTCCCAAGTCTTGGCTCTTGCCAACCCGCACCTAATACGTTTCTGGAATTAGGTAAGTAGGGTGCGTTCCTCCAGGGAGAAAGAGTGCATTCCATTCCAGAGGACATACACATATGAAACTCTCTGAGTCTAGTTTGAATGCTCTTAAGCATGGTAATTGGTTTGCACTTATATCAAACATCTGGCTGACCAAAGCAAAAGTAGCATTTTGGGCCAACTTGATATATTTGATATTTATCATACTGAATGTGTGAAAGGCAGATTCCACTCCCGACCCCCCCACCATACTTTCTCAAAGATGATTGGTATACTGGGCTTGTGGTATACTGATTACTCTGAGGATTTGTGCGCTTGGGCAGAATGTCACCAAACTTAGCAACTGTACAGTGCTGTCACACATTTGGCACAATAATTTGCTCTATCTAGAAACAGCTCCAGAAAAATTCTCTGTATAGTCTATTGTGTTTCGTCCACAAAATATACAGTCAATTCACTTTGCATTATATTCCGTGAAGCACTTTGAGACGTGATAAGGTGCTGTATCAAATGCAAGGATTATTGTGATGATTAAATCTTTAAAAACCATTATAATTAATAAGATCGTTTGACACCACTTACAGTTTTGAAGTGGGAAATAAATATGCTCTCTCCACTTTTCGTCACTTTACTGCTCAACGTACTTTCAAAATAGCTTGCAGTGGTATAACTGTAGCATTAAAGATTTATGTGTAGATGTGGGATGGAACCAGATGGCACACAGGGGAATGGGAGCTTCAAACAAACAACTTCTGTAGTCAATGTCCCAAATGGAGGTCCAACATGGTTTCTCAATGTGTTTTTCTACTATATCCTGAAGGCAGAGAATGTTCAAAAAGAACAGCAGCAGCTCCAAGTCATGCAATCTCACAATGTGTGGTGCTCTTCACTCAAACCGAGGTGCTCAATCTGTTGCAATTATGTAATTACCTAAAAAAATCATTGACATGCAGCTGCTGAGGGAAAATGTATTAGATGCTAGTATTATCTCAGTTATTATAATAATAATCCTTGCATTTGATATAGCGCCTTATCACGTCGTTGTGACGTCTCAAAGCGCTTCACCGAATATACTGTAAAGTGAATTGACTGTATACCAAAAAGACCAACTTTACCTTTCAAGGTGAGATGCATGGCTCGCTCCACTACAACACTCACTGAAAACGTGCTTTCGAAATCCACCTCAGAAGTCTCATCGGCCACCTTTTTGGGTTGAGGGTCAGAGTCCGAGCTTGCTTCTTTGCATGTGAGAATTTTCAGCCCTTCCTGTTCTTTTCCATTGGTCAATGCAGCTTCTTCCTTTGCACCACACTCATGATCATCCTCAACAAGACTTAGTCCAAGGGAACTGTATTCATCAGAAGACGGACGACGACCTGGATTCAGTGTGATATACACTCTCAGAGCAGCACCTGACAGATCAGAAGCGCCTCGCTTAAACAGTGGGTAAACGCCTGCAATAAAAGGAACATTTGTTTAGCACAGCGACTTGGTCATTCTCGGATTTCCCAGCCCTGTCTCTACTACACACATGCATTTTTAAAAATAAATCTTTAAGCGTTTCCAAACTTTTTTGTACAAAGTATTCTTTAAAAATCCCCAGCACTGTATATTCAAGCCGTATAGATTCCAGCTTTGTGTCAAATAATCACGCCTTTATACTGTAGGTCCAGAAGCTTGAATCATGACATTAAACTGGAAGCAAAGCCACAATTTAAGCCCCTGGCGCTTTTAATTTGTCTCCACTACCAATATTTGGGTTGCGGAGATCATGGAAGTGCTTTCTAAATATTCCACAAATGCACATGACAATGCCAAACCGTTCCATTTTGCAGTTGAATAACCTCTACATAGAAGTTAAGTAATCCAACCCCCTAGATTTCATGAAGGAAAACCAGACAGTTTCCATTTCAGTTACAACCCAGAATATAATAGCAGCATAAGTTAATAATCCTGAAAATTCAACCTCTTAACTTGTCATTATCACTTAAGTCATCATGCTGTCAATATCCCTGCCGCAGTTTTTTTTTATATGTTTCTATATTGCTACACCGGATAACTTGTCATGTGTCCATTTCCCTTGGAGCAAAGAGCTAACAGGAGGTTACTGGATCAGATAGGGCAGAAGAGCATTCTATTGACTCTAGGGTCCAACATTAGGAAAGTGAAATCAGTCAAATTTCCTGCTTCTGTTTACTGTCCATTAATCTCTACTGGAGGCCAGACAGATCAGGCTCATCTGAAATACTCGTGCTCAGTCACATAGCCTGCCAATAGTCACTCAAGGCTCACGCAGGAATAATGGCTCTCTGAGCAAGATACCAGAGTGCATTTGGCATTAGTGGAATCACATCTCGTAAGATGGGAAGAGGAGATAAAAGCCTTCAGGAGATGGTGAGAGAAAATTGGTGAGAGAAAAAGAATCCCAAGGGTCACAAAAAAATCTACTTATTGCAATAAAAGTCATTATCGATAAATGAAAGTACATATCAGGGATCAGCCTGGCTCAGTTGGTGGAACTCTTGCCTTGAGTCAGAACATTATCAGTTCAAGACCCACATCGGGACTTTGAACTCATATACACTAGGTTGACACTCCAATGCATTGCTGGAGGTGCCATCATTCAGATAAATATTAATCTGAAGTACTGTCCACCTATTCAGGTTCTCCTGACATCCCAGTCAATAATTCCTTGAATAGAATTGATCATTCACTGCATGTCTGTTGCGGAACATTGTTGTGCACAAATTAGCTGCCGCGCTCGCCTCCAAAAATGCAGTCACTGCACTTTAGTATATTATTTAGAGTAAATCCTGAGAAGCTCTTTGAGACATTCTCCCAAAGTGAAGTGCAGCGCATCAACTGAAAAGATTATTTTACATCTGAATGTGGGATTTTAGTAGAATTACAGAAAGCTAATTCTTATAATTTAGAGAAATAAAATGGTTAGAAAAAAGTGAATACCTGATCAAAATATTATTTTGTATTTTCTACATTTTTCCTTCTCTTGATTAACATCTTCCGTTCAACTTAACATAATTTTAATGATTACTGAGAAACATGAAAATGTCCAGGGCTGAAACAACTGCAAAATGTTCTGAGAAATAGTTATTCTGCGAAGTGCACAGAGTTGCTGTAGAACATTTTTTGACTATTATTTGCAAATTCTTTGCAGCAAAATTGAGGCTTTAATTGCCAAAACTGTCACAAGAGAACGAAAGGCTGCAAAGAGGAGGAAAATAAAGATAGCAACAGAAAAATCGCGTCAGAGTAGGCAGGTGAGGAAGAGATGTGGGCAATACACTGGAAAATTCCACTTGCTGATTAATCATCAGGGAATTACTTTACAACATCAGTGAGTTGAAAAACAACCTGATTGCTTGCAAGTAATCACGAGCGCTCACCCCCTCCATCTCCAAATTTATTTTTCTACTCAATTCTTTTTGGCTTGCAGGCCCACTAATCTCATCTTTTCCAATTAAATGCTGGTATTTTCTTTCGACATTGCTGACAGCAGGTATTGGCTATGAAAAGCGAGCCATTTAAAAATTAAAAATAACCTACTGCAGTCAACTCAATAGATGTCATCTGGATTGTCCTAGTAAAGAAATACAAGATAGGAGATGAAGTATCTGAGGTATTCTTCACAAGCGTTCCTGAATTTATGATTGACACAGATACCTAAAGAACAGAGGCTTCCATCCAGTCACTATCAATAATAAAAACAACTTGTATTTATTTAGCGATCTTCACGCGGGCAGCACCTCGGAGCGCTTTATACTCCCACCCCCATTTATTTTGTCATCTGCAGTATTATCGTCCTCAGAAATCATGCGTAATTTGAAAGCACCGTTGAACTAAATTAACTTTATGCATACCACTAACTGTAAGTTTCCGGGAAGATTTCTTTGCTAGGGTCAATAGGTTCACATATGCAGCTCCGATCAGGCGATCAGCATCGTGAGGCCTTTGAGTCTCATTGTTCTTTCCATGAGTCACCCACACTTGTACTTCTAGTTTTTCTTCTGTCAGATACCAGTCCAGCGATTGGCTCCGTTTCAGGCATGTACTCTTTGCCTGGTCAAAGGTCACTGTTGCAAGAGTCCCGTCACCAGTCACAACTGGTTGTTGAAGTGATGTGCAAATGGCTTCCCTATCATACAGTTTATATCGCAGGTAACAGAAAGTAGATTTGTGTAGATTTGTACGTCCAACTAATACCAAGCAGTGCAGCGGGAGCCATATGCGAGGCATAGATACCATCAGTGATACAGTGCCTTCTGTAGACTGCCAATCCTCTTCATCTTCCTCCCCATTTTCTCCAAACCTCCAATCCAATGCTGCTGCAGCCTGTATGACACGGTCTCGATCACTGTTATGAGCAAAGGTGATTGAAAGGTCAAGTCCGCCACCTCCTGTGTTGTGTGCAACCCCACCAGACTGAACAGAAGCTTTATCCTCTGGAAGACTCACTCCATACCAACCAGAGATACCTAATAAAACACACAAACACATTCTAAGATTACACTATTGTAAGCCTGTTTTAAGCTTATGCAATATAGAATTAGGCAATGCTGCAACATTTATCAAACAAGTAAACATGTTTCCTTTCACCTGTTCTTTTCGTCAGTAGGTCTCCCAGTGGAATCTGTATTATCCCCAGCACAGTGTCCCTTGAAGAAGCAGCTGAAATCCTTTTTGATTGAGCTGTAAAAAAGCAAACCACAATATCAATAGGCAAAAGAAGCTTGCACTCTTCTCTCTCTTAAAATACAACACGCTGATATCATAATGATATTCTGCAACCTAAAATCCCAAAGTTCAAAAATATCAGTAATAATCTCTACAAAATAAGACATTGTTAAATAAATCAATAATCGCCCTGAATCTAATTTATACTGTCCCTGCAGAAAAGTTCTTTTCGTTCTTGAAGACTACATAGGAAAAGAAAAAACCTGCAAGACTATGGGGAAAGCGTGGGGAATGGGACAAATTGGATAGCTCTTTCAAAGAACCGGCACAGGCACGATGGGACGAATGTAGGATTCTATGACAGTACTAGGACATTTGCACACTACTTGCAGCTTTCCTCATGTTATTTATTAGAACCAAATTTATCAACATCAGTATAACACTAAACATCACAATATTGGTACAAAACAAGGCAATATCCCATAATCAGCTATGAAGTGAATGACCAAAATTATTTGGGGGATTGTTGGTCAGAACACCAGGAGAAAGTCTCTTTTCTTTTATATTCTTTTCAAATAGTGCCATGAGATCTTCAACGTCCACCTGAACAGGTAAGCGGGACCCTGGTTTAACATCTCATTTGAAGTATCGCACCTCCAACAATGAAACACACCCCTGGCACTAGACTGTAGTGTCAGCCGAGATTATATTAGCTCCAAATCCTAAAGTGGGACTTGAACCCACAATCTTCTGAATCAGAGACAAGAATACTACTAACGGAGCCAAACTGGCACACAAAGCTCAGTTCATAGTTTACCAACTATACTGGCAGCTCTGGATTCTGTATATACCTGTTGTATTTCTCTGATGGTAAATGGTAAACACAGCTTCCGAAGACTGCAGGAGTTCGGCCAAGCTGATACTCTCCCCACTGGATCTCTGGATCACAAGGTTGCATGGAAACTCAGTGTGATGGCCAAACTCTGGGCAGAAAGATCGGGCCACAGTCCGAGTGCACCGTTTCTCATATTCCAAGAGGAAGGAAAGGTGAAGCGTAACGAACGAATTCACACCAACTTCTGCTTGGTATTGGAAACATTCATTCCTTTCTGCTACAGCTCTGCATTTGAAGAAACAGATGAATTCAGTATCAATAACAACAATCCATTCATTTGAGAGTGCTACCAAACTGACATCTAAAATGCAAATTTCAGTGCTTAAACCCTAATCAAAGTGCATGTCTATACTTCTTAATTCTTAGTAACCAATTTTCTCAAATGAATCTCAATTGTGAAATTGTTTTACCAGCGTTTCGGCAATGCCCACTTCATACAGGTCAATAGGGCAGAATTAGCTCTTGCAAAAAGACAAGTACCTAGGATTGACAGATTAAAGGCTTACTGATTTAGCTCCCTCATATCACTTAGCTCAGTCGCTCCTCGAATCTAGCTTCCCGCAATTAAATGCTGACTGCTTGCGCAGTAAACAAAAATGCAAATGAAATAAAATCCAAAAAGACTATTAAAGACAGTTATAATTCTCTTTAACATTGCAATGCTTTATAAAGGAACTCTGACAGCGAGAATCCCACTTTAATGGCACCAACTTACATTTTTAAAAGGAAGTAAATCATCTGAACCATAAACATTTATTTTATCACAAATTCAGTGTCTCCTACCTTGCTGCGGCTTGTAAACCTGAAGCTCTGTGTACTTGTACTAACAGGGTCACAGAGCGAGATGCTATTACACCTTCTTTAGCATCCTTAGCCTTTTGTAATGCATGACTGTATTTCACACTTACATCCATTAAACCTGCAATAAATATAAAATACATAAAACTAAAATTGAGCTCCTTGAATGTAATCCTCATAGCATACGGAAGCTCTGTAGTCTAGGATAAGGATATGGTAACTGCTGTTACATGATTATTCAATGTTTAATCTGTAAAATCATATTGGACTTCTTGCTATACTATTTTCCTAAACATTAAACAAAAAGACACGTCATTTCAGGTGCATTATTAAGAAAATATACAGCAGCACTAAAGCACTTCACTATTTGTAAGGTAACACAATGGCTACATCCAAATGTTTTAGCATCTGACTGGAATAATAAATATGGACTTACTGCTTTCATGCTCTTTTGAGAAGTTAAAAAACTAACAATTCATAACTTAGCCTGACATATAGCTTCCTATTAATTTATAACACAAAAAATATACAGAAATGCCCGAAAAAAGGAAATATATCACAAAAGTAAATACACCATTACTATGGATCAAATTGAGTTGTTCAAAGATTGCTTATTTGGCTGTAGCTACGGTGGATCCAGCTCATATTTCAGAACTCAATTAGACATAGTTAATGATTTAAGATGCAGTACGATAGCAGAACAAAGTCACAGGTAAGAGCTCAAAAGGTAATTTCAGAACCCAAACCAGGAAGTATTTTCTTTATCTAAAAAGTAAATTAATGACTGAATTAATGGGAATTAATGAATGGTACACATTACCAAAATGAGTGGTTGAGAGCAGGATGTTGGACTCATTTAAAAAATAGTTTGATACTATAAGAGCTAGACTATTTTGGAAGAATTAGATCAAATGGGCCAAAGTGTCTTCCTCATCCGAACTCCTCTTGTAGTCTTTTAGCAGGTTGCTAATGATGTGAGTAGATCATTACTCACCACTGGGTTTCTCAAAATTGTTCCAGTACCATAAAACAGACATTATATCTGTCCCTTTTGTATCCTATTGGACCACTTCAAGTCCTTTCGTTGGACATTGCTTCCATAACTGCATCAAAAGTTGGGAGGGCAGTAGAACAGGTGTTCTGGACGGATGAGATCAGATGATCCGAAGAGCTTTCTTCATTCGAACCAATCTTGTGATAACTTATGATGTTTCTGCATTAACTTGTCTATTTCAGATTATGTGACAGGGAGGGGAATTAAAAGCTTCACTTACCTACAGGATGTGGATGTTGCCCATCAACACCATCTGACCTAGGTATCAGAGGAAGACTGAAGGTCTGAATTCCAACCTCTTTGTGGTATTGCATTGTCACCATAGCACATAGCTTGGACAAAGGAAGGATAGCCTTAGCAACAAGCTGGTCTCTAACGTTAGGGTAATAATACCTTAAAAAATAAAACAAGTGTATTAAATGATGCAGCACATCCTCATTACAATTTTCCTTCTCTCCTTCACCCCATGCCTTCAGCTCTTCCAATTCTAGTCAACTACTCATTCCCTCTTTTCCACAATTGGTGGCCACTATGCCCCCACTCTACTTTTTAAAAAAAAAACTTTTTTATGACTTTGCAGTGGTTACTACCCTTGAAGTTCCCCGTTTCCTGTGTGTAATCCAAGAGAAATATTTGTGTGGCGACTTGATGAAACTACATTTCAATTACTCAGTGGAGTTTCAGTCTTCATTTCAAAAAGCATATTCAGTTAATGGTGGGAATTCAGTGTGGAACTACCAGATTGATTTCAAAACATAGGAGGGCAGATATTTTGCGGTCCAAAAGTAACATAACTTCAAAATATGATCAACAATAGAGGAATGGAGCAGAAATATTTTCAGTAAAAGGATGGCAGACAAAAGGAACTGGCAAGTTTCAGTAAACTAAAAGGATTCAATCTCTATTAGATATAGAAATTAATTCATCAAAGGAGTCTTTGACCCACTACCTGAAATTATGTTACTGTGTCATTTCATTAAACTAAAAGGATGAATCTATGAATCAAATATTCCACACCGTTGTATTTCATTACAGTCCACAATGCATTTTATAAACTGTGGTTTTATGGTCTCTAGACTTCATCTTCTGGTTTATTGTACAAGTGTGGATCCTGTAATTGACTGGTGGAAAGTTTATAGTTGTGATGGAATTATAGTTATACCAAATCCACTTTGTCACTATAATTTAAGTGGTCAAAAGTTTGGTCGATTAACAATCATTGTGCGACATTGTAGGTATGTTTTATCTGATTTATAATAACTTTCTAGAGGAATACATCAAAGGTAATTGATAAAAACTGGCAGATTGCTTTTGCTAAAGATCCTTAAAGATATGAATTATCAGAGTGCCAAGAGAAATTGATAAATTATTTTCTAAAATTGGTGGCAAGGTCATCCAATTCCCTCAGCAACTTTCAGCACAATTCATATTGAGAATCTTTCTACAATTCATATTAATAATCTTTCCGAAGCAATTGTGTTTGAGAAGGCTGCAAATTATCTGAGTGTTAAGGTTACATACAATTAAATGTAACTGATTTCCGGTTTTCCCTTACTTACTCGTGATTCTTGTGGCAAAAGTATACAGAAACAATTAAATCTTTCTCTCCCACCATTGAACCAGGTATTCCCCTACCCAACCTTTTTTCCAAAAATGTTGACTTAATTGAAATGATTCATCTTGAGAACATTCTTGATTGGCATATGGGATACAGTAAAAGGGTGGAGAAAAGGGATTAAAATGCCCTGCTTTTCTGCCCTAAAATGAGTAAAATAGCCTCCTGTTTTCCTGAAGGAGATTACCCTTAAAACAAAATTTGCCCAAATTCTTATTTTTTTTCTCTTCTAGACAAAGGGAGAAAGCAGGTACAGGTGAATGTCTTGATTTATTTGGCTCTTGTCGAGAGTCCCAATGTTTTGAGATGCAGTATCAATATCAGCCAATTAAAAGGAGTCTTGTTTTTTTTTGAGAAATTTGGACAAAAATAGCCAACACTGAAATACACAATATTGTAGCTAAGATAAATACTGCAATTTCCACAAGGGTGACTGATACTTTTTCTATTGTATTTCTATTCTATTACAATCTTCAATGACAACAACCTACATTTATATAGTGCCCCTCACACAGGGTAGCGACCCAGAGCGCTTCAAGTGCCACAATGGCATTTTATACATTTTGTAGAACTATACCACAAGCAGGGAACAGTTTTAGGCACTTATTTGTCTAATAGATCCAGAATGTCTAATAGATCTACGACTGTTTGTGGGACATTGCTGTGCGCAATTGGCTGCCGTGTTCGCCCACAAATATACAGTCAATTCACTTTACAGTGTGTTCTGTGAAGCGCTTTGGGACGTCCTCCCGACGTGAAAAGCACTATATCAAATGCAAGGATTATTATTATTATTATTATATTATAATGCAGCCCTCCCTCAAAGACCAGCCTGAAACAAGCCAATAAGAGATCTCTTTACATTTAGGAAATATGAATTGTACTTCAGATCCAATTTATCTTTTGTAGATGTAGGAGATTAAAGCACATGATTAACTGAACTCGTCTGTATTTTTCAAATAGTGTGAGAAAAATAAGGTCATTATTGTATGTCTACTTTACGAAGGAACAATAATGTTTTTTATCCTTTACATTCACAGCTTTCGTCGATTGTACAGACATGATAAAAAAACTGGAGCACAATGTAGGAATGTATAGTATTTTAGTCACTTTGGACTGTGCCCAGTGTTTCAACATCAGTGGCTGGTAGTAATACTTGCATCTGATATAACAATACTTGCATTTGATATAGTACCTTATCAGGTCTTCGAGGCGCCTCAAAGCGCTTCACAGAATATATTGTAAACTGAATAGACTGTATATTTTGGGCGAAACGAGGCAGCTAATTGCACAACAGTGTACCTCAAACAATCGTGAATTGAGTGATCAATTTATTATAATTATTATTTTAATCTCTGTCCTGTTACTCTCGAGGCTAACTTGCCATTGCTAGCTTTTATAGTACTATGGCAGAGACATTGGTTGGAGGGCATTACGATATTTATGACACGTCAGACGACCAGATCTATATTTTAGATCCTATAAGCTCTTAGGTTCCTAGGTTCAGAAGTGTTTCATTGATTATACCCATTCAACCGCAGTTTATCTGGATTGAATACATTTTTAATATGACTGAGATTGACTAGGTGCAGTTTATGGCATAACCAAGCCAATCCTTTTACTTTGAGCTTGAGATTAGCTGAATGTATAAAGTCGTTTGAAGTTTTAGCAAAACAAAACTCATCCAAAAATCATCAAATCAAAGACAAATCTCATCTGAAGTTGCTGCCAATTCCAAGAAATCAGATAAGACAAAGTACTTTGAATGTTTAAGAAATGGATATATGGATAAAATTAGATTAGAGAAAACTGAAGATTAAAGTAATAAAAGTGGTAATAATAAAAAAAGTTATTAAAATAGAAAAGACAATGTATTTATTGTGCATCATAATAATAATCCTTCCATTTGATGTAGCACCTTATTACTTCGTTAAGATTATATTACCCACATGTAAGTCAATTTAAGACGTTTCAAAGCGCTTCACAGAACATACTGTAATGTGAATTGATTGTATTTTGTAGGCAAACGTTTAAATATTTATTATTCATAGTTTGGGCTATTGTGACTCTGGCGTGTTGCGCATTTCCTTATTCCACACTCCTCTGTTTACCTAACAGTAAGCAAGAACCTGGTAGTTAGCTGAGTGATGGATTGCTTTTCCGGGGTAATAATTCCTTAAAAGAATAATAATTTGATAACTCAATGTTTGTGGGACACTGCTGTGCGCAGTATATTCTGTGAAGCGCTTTGAGAATCCTCAAAGAGGTGATAAGGTGCTATATCAAATGCTAGAATTATTATTATTTATTATTTCTCCTGACTCAATTCCCTCCCAATTTTTTGAATGCTTTAAGCACAACAACCTTATTTCTCCCTGCTTGACATTCCCTGTAAGTTTTCATACATTCATTCTATATGAAAGGACCTGTACAAGTTGTTGTTAGTGTTAACAGCGGCAAAAATATATTCCTAATATTGGAGCAGCTTTTTTTAAAAAAGCTATAATTCGTATTTGTTTTAGCATCATGGAACGCCTCACCACAAGCATTTAAAAAATGGGTTGGTCCAGTCTTCCCCTGAAGTTGGTGACAATTTAAATATTAAAGAGGTGAAACATTCCTAAAATCACAAAGGTTTTGGGGTGAGAGGGGAAAGATGGCCAAAAGTGAGGTCAAAGAGGATGGTCTTGAAACGGCACTTGAAAGAGGAAAGGGAAGGAGCAAGTTGAAGGACTCTGGGATGGAGTTCCAGGGAGCGGAAGCAGATACATTGAAGCCCGACTGCCAATGGTGGAGCGGATGGGTTGGGGGAACATGGGTTGGGGCTGCTGGGTGGAGAGAATGACCGGGTTAGTAGGGTTTAAGGAGGTCGCAGAGATAAGATGGATCAACGCCACAGAGGGATTTGAATGTTTGGATTTGAGGCTAGGTCGAGGATATACCTATATCATAGTTAGTGACCTTTCTCCTTTATTATACTCCCAAACCTTTTGTGAAAGAACACACTCAAGAGTTTTTTTTAAGATCACATTCCACACAATGAGCTGGCAATTTCTCTGCTGAACTTGATAAGATTACTACTACTAATAATAATAATCCTTGCATATGATATGGCGCTTTTCACGTCGGGAGGACGTCCCAAAGCGCTTCACAGAACACACTGTAAAGTGAATTGACTGTATATTTGTGGGCGAACGCGGCAGCCAATTGCGCACAGCAATGTCCCACAAACCGTCGTAGATTGAAAATGACCAATTTATTATTGTTTTGTTTTGGAGGGACTATTATTAGGTGTGTGGAGTAAGGAAACTTGCCCAAGGTTTCGCCCTCTGCCTGGAATTGAACTCAGGTCTCTCGCTTGCAAAGCGAGTGCTCTAACCACTGACGCTTAAAGAGAACTTGATAGAATGTTCTGTTCCCAAAGGTCAATTGCTTTCTGTGTAAAGTACTTACCTGCACCAAACTTCAAACTGAATACCACCTCCTCCTACTAAGTCTTGCTTAGAGCAAATATTTAGCAGTATTCTCTGTACTGGAATGTCCGGTGGGACCAGAAGGGAGTGACTTTGACTGTCATTAAATATGGGATCTGGCACACACAATGTGGTTGCTGTTCGACAAAGCTTTAAGATCATTCCTACAGAAAAACAAGACGTGTAATCACAATCTAACCCAATTTATACAACAACTATACAACTATAGTTACCACTACATTCGAAACTAAATTCCCCAAAAGTCTGAGCTTATCAAAACAGTCTCATTCACGATCAGTGCATTGTGACACAGTTATACTCTTTCAATTATGTTATACATTATCCAGACAATAACATTTGAAACCACAATCTTTGAGCTATATGCATAGGACACATGCCTTATTATGTAATAGATAGGCTAAACATTTGTCAGTTTTATAAAAGTGCATATTATTCTAATCTATGGTCATCATATCTTGGCAAAATTTAAAGTGTCCTTATACAAATGGAAAGTTAAACACATTTTTTTCTATGAATTAAATTTCATCCTATAAATGAAGAGGGAGATATAAATGGGTGTCACACAATACAAAATTACATTTGTATAGCGTTCACATCGGGAGGACGTCCCAAGACGCTGGACAGTCAGTGAGTCCTAACTGCAGATTATTGAATCAAGACTTGGAATATAAACCTACTTACCACATTCAGGCAGAGAAGCCTCAGCTATGCCATCCATTTCACTGTCTTGAGCTGGAAAATAGTATTGCACATAGCAGTCTGCCTCTCCCCAGATGGTGGACTGCAAGGGAGTCAATCCTTTAACCTTGACCACTTTAACCTCAAATACATGCTCCATCGCTGTTGCTTTCTCCCCTCTGACCAACTGAGAAAATAAGCATTGCCATTATATTAGAACACTGTGGTTAGACTTACAGCAGTGCCAAGCACTTTGAGACATCTTCCCAAAGTGAAAAGTGCTATGCAGATTGTTGTTTTCCTTTTCGTTTTGTAAATTCATAGTGCAATGAGGTACTAGGGGGGTATTATTGAAACATTTAGATAAAGGGCCCCAAAGTACATAGAAACAAAAACAGAAGTCGCTGGGAACATTCAGCAGGTCAAGCAGCATCTATGGAGAACGTGTTCTGATGAAGGTTCATGGACCCGAAACGATGACTCACTTTCCTTTTTCCATAGATGATGCCTGACCTGCTGAGCATTCCCAGCGACTTCTGTTTTTATTTCAGATTTCCAGCATCTGCAGTATTTTGCGTTTCCCAAAATACATAGTGCAGGATACCAGTTAGGCTCAAGGAGGCTATTGAACAGCATAAAGTATGCACATTTACATTTAGTTTCAGGTGAAGAAAGCAATCAATAAAGCTTGCCTGTTATAATGCTGTAATGGTCTAGGTAATGACAAGCTAGATAGTGGCAACTCTTAACTCTTGTAATAAGATCGAAAGGAATCACAATGTTAAAAAAAAGCAGTCGTGAAAATGCACTAAAGTATGGTTGTTAAGTATACACAACAATTTGAGGGACCCTGCTGTGCACAATTGGCTGCCGTGTTTCGTCCAGAAAATACAGTCAATTCACTTTCCAATATATTCTGTGAAATGCTTTGTGACACTATAATAATAATCCTTGCATTTGATATAGCGCCTTATCACGCCATTGAGACATCTCAAAGCCCTTCAGAACATACTGCAAAGTGAATTGACAGTATATTTTGTGGGCGAAAAGTGGCAGCCAATTGTGCACAGCTATATCAAACGCAAGGATTATTATCATTATCAAGTTCAACGTCCAGTACCTGCTCCAGACCACCTACTCAAGTCCAAGTTCATGTGTTTCCCCAGAGAGAAAAACAATCTACCAACCTGTGATGAAACTGATGAAACTTGATCTAGAAAATGAGGTAGTCGCTGGAAACCAGCAACAGAAGTTCCCTCATCATTTTTTAGCCTCTGAAGTGTTATTATTTGATCTGCTTCTCCCATGGCTAGCAGAACCCGCAGACTACCCCTCTGACTGCCTGTGAAAACATCCATCAATGGCATGTAGCTGTCCACAGCAACCACAGGATACTGAGCTTGCAGCAATAGATGAGAAATTTTGGGATCCCTTTGTACAAAACAAACAAACATTAATATCGCAAATTAAAAGCAACAACATCAATAAGCCATTTTTTGTTTAACTTTTTAAAGCAATTAATATTCAGTTAATCTCAAATAGTCGTCTTGATTTTACAGATTTAATAAATCACAAAAATAAGCCTGCATCCTTCCATGTTAAGGGAATTGACACCATATAGGAGGTAACCATCTGGTTTGTTAGATTGTGCCAAGTCCTACTTCACACTCTTTGTAGCAAGTTGTGGGTCCTACTTTCAAATCTTTTTGGTCAATGGAGGCAAGGATTCTTCCTACTCAGTTCCTTCCTTGCCATAGCTCTGGATTCAGTTGCCACTAACCAGCTTTGCTCACACCTCTCCCTCCACAAGCCCCTCCAGTCTGGTTTCCACCCAGCCCACAGCACAGAGACAGGGCTTGATAAGGTCATGAATGACATCTATGTGACCAGGGTTCCCTCTGTCTCCTCATCCTCCTGGACCTCTCTACCTCGTTCGAGAGTCGACCATGCTATCTTCATCCATCGCCTCACCTCCCTCATCCACCTTAGTGAGACCACATTAGCCTGGTTCAAGTACAACTTAACAAACTGCCTTTAATTAGTCTACACAAACATTTTATACTCCCGCCCCCACCTGGTCACATGTGGCATACTCCAGGGCTCCATCCTTGGCCCCCTTCTTTTCTCTATCTGCATGCTCCCTCTTGGCGTTGTCATCCACAGGTCAACTTCCACATATATATAATATATATAAAAATATAGGATGCCAACAAAACTACTTCTCCTCCAGTTGCAACTTCCGCCGATGTTCTGTCATCTTGTTTTGCAGACATCAGGGCCTGGATGAACGCAAGCTTCTTGCAGTTGAATGTGTACGGAAAACTTACTCCTTGGTTCCTGTCATCGTCTTCTGGCCTGCGGCCTATCCCTCAGACTCAATGAATCTGGGCCAACCTAGGCATCAGGTTAGACCCACAGCTGTCATTTCTACACCACACCTGGTCCCTGACCAGGACCACTTTCCTCCACCTCCACCACATTGCCTGCCTCAGACCGTACCTTACCCCAAACCCTGTTGAAACGTCTGTGCATTAAGTCACCTCCCTCCTCGACTACTTCTAAATATAAAAAGGGAAGGGGCAGGGGAGCAGAAATAAATGGATAGTACTTTGAGATAATGCACAGGAATGTTGGGCTGAATTACCCCCTTCTGTGGAATAACATTTTATGCTAAAATTGCAGATTGTTATATTGGCAAATCAAATGTCAATGAAGGCGATTTCTCTGTATAAAGTCCCAGTCTTTACCATCTGCACATACTAAACAAATGTATGTTGAAATAAAAGTAATTAAATATAATACATTTAAGGTATGTTTCTATGTATTGTTTAATATTTGGGAGAAGCAAAATTATGGATTTAAACAAAAAAATTCCTTTCATCTCGTGGATAAGATTTACCTAAAGGATATGTAAAACTGGTGAAGAGGAAGTTTCACAAGGCCAAGGAGTTTCTCCTGTCCCGAGTTGTTTATTTTGTTCCAGACCTCTATAACCATCATATTATTCTTCATCCCCTCAAGCAACCTGGAACTCAGTGTGACAGGAGCTACCTGGTAAATACAAAAAACACATGAAAAAGCTTTTTACACTTTGTAGCTGAAATTGAACAAAATATCACTGCTTCCACAGTGAGGCATCCTTTAGACCCTGGGCATTATTTGCACAGAATCAATAAACTATTTTCATGAAACAATTTGTATCACACTCAGCAACAAGAACCCACACTCATGTCAGCAGGAACTGAAAATGTAGCCAGCACAAAAAACAGAAATACTGTGAAATGCAACACAATATAATTTAATTTATATAATGCCTTCCATGTCAAGAGACTGTCTCAATGCGCTTTATATAGCTTCTGGGCACCCAAGTCGGGTGGTGGTGGGGGTGTGGATGGGGAAAGAGGAGTTCCAGAGAGCGGGAGCAGAATGGCTGGCTGTAAGCTCACCCATCGATGGTGGGACAAACTGGGTGGAGGATATAAAGCGGAGGATAGGGGTGATAGGCTTGTGGAGCTTGGTGTGGGATAGGACATGGGCTGCAGTGGTCTGGATGGTCTACAGCTTGTGTAGGGAGCTTTACCAAGGTGTTTAGCAGGAGCTAAATACACCCTGTGCTAACTCAAAGCAGACACACACACCTACAAAGTACATCATGTTTTTGTTCTTGTACTTAGATCCGCTATCTGTCAAAAAGCTCTGTACTACTCTGTAATAGTTGTTACATTTGATATGGTGCCTTTCATGTTGGGAGGACATCTCAAAGTGCTTCACAGGATATCCTGTAAAGTGGAGTGACTTTGTGTTTTGTATTATTTCTATCAAGCATCTATATCATCTTGTGGATCTTGCATTTTAAACAGTCATTATAGATTAATAGCTATTTCCTTAGGCAATGGCTAAATCATATTTCATCCATTACTTGTAGAAACTCTAACTTAAGAAAAAGCTTACCAGTGAGAAGTTAAATATTGGTTGGGATGTGCTCCAGCTGACAGGGGATTGAGTCGCTTCATCGGTGCTGAAAAGTTTACATTTTAAATAGACGTTGCACTGTGCTTGATAACTGCCCACACCAGTGAAGAAGTCCTTGCCGTCAGGCACCATCAGTAGAACATGCAATAATAAACCTTCCATTTCGTTTACTGTAGCATTGAACTGTCTGATTAAACTTCTTGCTGCAGTCACAGCAGAGGGCTGGGGAGATTGCGTGATACAAGTTCTGGGTATCTGCTTCTTTGAGTGATTTTCTTTGAGACTATAAGAGTGGACATCTATTGGCTGGTTAACACCTCCATGCTCCAGTGGTAACTTGGGCCTTGGGCTGGACACTGGTGTTAACTTCTGCCCTGGGCTGGACACTGGCATTAACATCGTCCCTGGGCTGGACACTGGCATTAACATCGGCCCTGGGCTGGACACAGCGTAAGAAGCTGTTGGAGAGGCAGCTGCCCTTGCATGAACATTGGTGAAATCTTTGTTATCAGCTGCAAGCTCAATAGATACCTGAGGGAGAAATAAACTAACTTGTAATATAGGACTGGTTAGGTGGACCGTACATTTCTATGCTGCTATGACAGAGGAAATTAAGCACATTCTATAGGTAATATATATAGGTATATAAATCTATTAATTCTTAGAACCCCGCTACTAGATCAAATAGCTTCTTTAACAATAGTTGTTTTTATGCATTCAGAAACATTTTATTATCTCTCCAATTGGATGTTCAACAATTATCCCCAAATACAGGAGACAAAATTGATCTTGAGGCTGACATTACAAGCTTAACCACTAACAAGTAAGGTGGTCCAAGCTGGACAAGCAGTGAGAAGCTTGACCAAACAGCGCTCTCAAGTGAAAGCAGTCCAGTTTTAGCTGGTTATTTCCAGCAGTTACCCCAATGCACATAAGCATATGAGGTCACAAACCTTAGCTCTTGCCAACCTGAGCCTAATAGTCTCCGGAATTAGGTAAGCAGGGTGCATCCCTCCAGTGTTCATTCCATTCCAGACACAAGGAAATTTCCATTATGTAGGTTGCATTACGTATATGGAACCCTGACTGGTTTGGAAACTGTTAAGCATGGTGATGGATCTCTGCAAGTGTCACACACCCAGCTGACTCCAAAATAATGGCATATTGTCATATCCACACTATTCTATTCTTATTTCTAATATTGTACCTTTAAAGGACCAATCTTCTTCTCATCATTATCCTCCACCATTTCCACAGGCAATTCACTGGTTAAACTTAACTGATTGGATTGAATAACAGCTCGAAGTGCAAGATTGGTTGTACCAATAAGAACGGGCTGTTCGTTTAACAAAAGACAAACATTCCAGTTAGAATTGCTCAGCCAAATAACATTACGACAAGTTATTTATGCATCATAAATCGTTTTTTTACTGCAACTTTTTATAACATTGTGTACTTTAAGAGTAATTTACTTGGATGTCTGAAAGATGGAAACTCAGTACGTGTCTCAACGCTGGGCTAAGTTTATTCTCTCCTTGCAGCGGCTGATGATGTGTGATGCCACTCAGCGATCTGTGCTTTTGATCACAGCATATAAGTGGCCCAAGGAGATCAGGAGAATAAATAAGCATATTAAATCAATCAATTAAAAAAGAGAAAAAAGCTTAAAACAAACTAGAAGTTTGACTCCGCTAACCATAAGTATGAGATATAAACCCTTTTCCATTCCCAAGCAGCAACTCTTTAGAAAGATATATCCTTCTCGTCTTACAATATACATTTCCTCCAATGTATTGAGCGAGCAAGTGTTTCACTGGGCTAAACAGAAGACCTAAACTGAACAGGAAAAGCTTAAGGAGGGATTAACTCTCAGAAACCTTGGGGCCACTGATATCCTGAAAAAGAAAACCATTTCTTACAAAACAAATAGACAATATGTGCGAGTCAATTCTGTTTTACAGCTTAAAGTAAAATGTGAATCATACCGCTTTTGAATCAGCTTGACCAGATGCCCAATACCATATCAATTGATTTTAAAGAAATCTGGTCAAATAAATACCAATTGAATCAATTATTTTTAAAAAGTAATTCCACACTTACCTTTTTCTGAGTATTTTTTCTGGAATAAATTTTGAACAAAATGTTTGAGTTCCACCAACGTTCGATCATTGAACCACCAAAACTAACAGGAAAAACAAACCGCTGCTGGAACTTGACGACTGTAATACACACGAATTAATAATAACGCATTATAAATAAAATATATACAATAAAAACCCTCAACATGTATATTTCTTCTTTCAAATGACTTCCTCTTTAAATTTCCATTTAATCTGTAAGCTGAATGCATATCTCCAGGGAGAAAGTGCACATTGCATTCCAAACACAGGGAAATTTCCTTGAATAGGTGACAGCCACATGTGGAATTCTATCTGAATTGAATACTTTTAAGCATGGTGATGGGTTCTGCATATGTCAGACATCCAACTCACCAAAGAAAACAGGAAACTCCAATATTACCATTAAATACCAAATGAATTGTTATGAAACTCCTTTTCACACGAATAGTACAAAACATTCTTTCTGTCACCTTCTCTATTTATCCAGCAAGAGGTTCACTGGAGCAGTAAATGAGGCTAAGGTGAGCTTTCTCCTATTTCCCAAACCTCTAATAAATTCCATTCTCCCCTCCGCCCTCTTTCCAAACTACTGAGCTTTCATCCATCCAACATTCAGGTCTATTCTACATAAAGTGGCAAAGTTGTGGAAGCCATCATACAATCAAATCACAAATCTAAACAATCTCTGTCTTACTGTCAGCTCTAAATATTTGTAATAAGTTGCTGAAAATGCTTTCAATACGTGTCTATTTCAATTGCTTTGTGCAATTAGCAGCCACGTTTTGCCCACAGAATACACAGTCAATCCATTTTACAATGTATTTTGTGAAGCGCATTAAGACGTCTCAACGACGTGATATGGCACTATATCAAATGCAAAGATGATTATTATTATTATTCCTCTTACCTCCTCTTATAATCTTGCTCGAAGCCACTCGAGTAATTTCAGTGGTTACGGAAACACCTCCACCTTTTGAAGAAGTGGCCACTGGAAAGTGGTATTCCACAAAGTAAGTGCTAAGAGTACGCAAATGAAAATTAGTATGTCATGCTTGAACGTACACTAGTATTGTCCAAGCGAATTCAAGTTAGTCACACAGCAAATCTGACAGGAGAATTTTTTATTTTCGGGATCAAAGTTTTTTTCCTGTTCTAAAGATATTAAAAACTATATATCTATTGTAATCTATCTCTTTATTCTCCACAATGTCATCTGTCTACTGCCAGGATTGGCATTTTATAAGACTATAGAAATTTCACTAGAGTCAACAAATGATGGGATTTAAAGTAGACTGCAAAAGTCGCATAATATGAAATGTCAGAAATAGAACCGTTACCATTTTCTTGCTGTAACAGGTCGAGGTGGCTTTCCCTTTTCTCCTTTCTGTTTTGGAGTTGTTTGTGCGCTGTCTGAAGGAAGTTTTAGTGTTTCAATAACAACTCGTGCAAGGTAAATGCGACCCAGTAGCGTCAGTCTATCCATCGTCAAATCCACAGCATGTATTTCTGCTTGCTGGTTATCAAGCAAAGGAACATCTTGCCCTGGATGGGAACTGTAGGTAGCACACAAAGGTTAAGTCAAATGGAAGCCGATTCGATAACAACTTTTAAGAGAGAAGTAGATAATTATTTGGGGAGGACTAGTTTGCAGGGCTATGGGGAGAGAGTGGGATTGAACTGGATAGCTCTCTTCAAAGAGCCGGCACAGGCACGATGGGCCGAATGGCCTCCTTCTGTGCTGTATAATTCTATGAAGTACCTGGAAGGCGTAAAAAACACAAGACAGAAAGTACCATTTTTAAACTAGCTTTTAACTAGTCTTAGATATGTATGAGATTATCAAGCATTAAAATCTTGTTGAAATATAAATTACCCGTCATTCTTTTGTGCTTCTTGTTGCTTTAGATTAGCAGAACCTGGAGCACAGTAGGAATGTCTGTTGTGTTTATGGGAACCAGCTCTGTTCAGTGATCGTGTGTTTGGCGTTTCCTCCAAAGCGTTTCTCCCCTCTTCTTCACTGGTACAATCACTGAAGCTGGTTTCATACTTCTACATACAAACAAGAATAAATTGATAAGAAATCAGATCAATACAACAGGCATTCATGAAAATCTCACAGTACTATACTTTAATTGCCTAAAAGGGTCTTTATTGCCTATAATTGTATAAAACAAAATCACTTTACATCTGGGAGAATTTGGGAACTTCACTTGAATCTTAACCCACATAAATGCTATTCAGTTCAATTCAACAGTTCAGGTGAGAAGAATGTTCAATTTAAGAGCCTGAGTGACAGAGTAACTAGTACTCTAATTTGCCAGGCTGTGACAGAATGCAAGTTCAGATTGCCACTGATTATAAATGTGAATATAATGAACGTTGTTAGCATCTATATAACACAGATGCAAAATTCTGCTAGCTTCTCAAAATAAATTTGCTACGACCAAAACATAAGCCACAAATACTCTGTCAAATGTAAAGATTATATACATATATTAATTAACAGCGCACAACAGAGATAATCTAAGTATGAAGATCCTTAATACAGTCAGCTGGAACAATGATGACATCTGGCACCCAGTAAAATGTTTGCCTAACGTCCTTCATTGGTTGAACAGAAGGAGATGTACACAACACTGCAGTGTCAGGAAATGTGGGGCTTGAACTTTCAATCTTTTGCTACCGGCTGAGCCAGACTGACAAACTTATTTACTCAGTTCCCTCACATAGTCAAGCACAAAGAAGCAATGATAAATTTCAGGGAGAGTCAAACGAGTCTGTCTAGTACATCCCTCTTATTGACATTAGTAGCAATTTCAGTTGCTGCTTAGAGGATGGTGTACAGCAAGGGTTCACAAAATTAAAGATAGGAGCATAAATGCTACACACTGTTTTGTGTGTGGCTTCATAAAGTTAATTTGTAGGGGATAGCAACAAGTGATTGTTAGTCAAAGCAAAGGCATTACTTTGCCGGGATTAGTGTGGCTCATTTAATTTTAATAATCCTGCAATAGTTACTGGGATGTGGTCCCCATAAAACAACAACATGACTCACAGGATTCTTGTAGAAGAGGTTTTCCAGGAGGCTCTGGTCGTAATGAGGATCATTCAGCTCGCTTTCATCAAATGCATCACTTCCCGCAGATAAAGAATCTGGGAGGGAGCCTGTACCATCCCAGTGGTAGAAAGGAATTGAATCCACACTGCGGGCATCAATTGTACACAAAACATTGCAACAACAGCAGTCAGTATAGTCCATAAATAGTTTCACCCACAAAATATACAGTCAATACAGTATATTCTGTGAAGCGCTTTGAGAAGTCTCGACGATGTGATAAGGCGCTATAGCAAATGTAAGGATTATTATTACTTTATTGTAAATGCTACTATTAATATAAAGATGCTATTAAAATGAACTCTAATATTAGACACCACTACATCAAGAATGCCAAATACCTGATCGTTTTTAAACCATTAACTTATTATATAAAAAAATAGTTTAGGCATTTTAAGGGTTAAAATGCTAGTTCAAATGCTGATGTTATAATAATAATCCTTGCATTTGATATAGCGCCTTATCACATCTTCGAAACTTCTCAAAACAGAATACACTGTAAAGTTAATTGACTGCAAATTTTGTGGATGAAACGCAGCAGCCAATTGAGCACAGCATTTCTTTGTGAGAATACATTACAAAGAATTTCTTTGTAATGTATTATTTTAGGGAGTATAGACAATACGTTCTTTGAACTCCCACAAAAAGAATGTATTGTTCAGATGCTGATAAACACAAGATGTTTAGCAGCCAAACCCTAAAAGAAAAAATGCCATTAACAACCATCAAGTAATTTTATCAAAAGGTTATGTGGTACAAATTGCTGGATTGTATTGAAACAATCACACGGGAATCTAAGTGCCTCAGTGGGGCAGGAACTGTCCTTTTACTTCTAAAAGTTTAGGATTGAATCCAAGTCATACTGATAAAAGACTAATTCTTCCTCCCTGAAAAAGCTGGATGAATTGAGTTTGAAAATTAATCAAGATACTACTAAAGATGGGATCACAGCAAAACTGCCACACAATGGAGTACACATTGACAGTCTCACTCAAAAAGAACAAACAGTATGTGAAACCAAAGTATTCATATTAATGCAGTCTATTTGATACCAGTGCAGTCCAAAATACAGAGCAGGTTCACATACACCACAAAATTTGCATTTATATAACACCTCATAGAAAAATACATTTCCCAATTCCTTTCCTAAAGGATAATTGAGCAGAAAGGAAAATTGTTGTACAGGCAAACATGCAGCTAATTTACACTTAAGAAATATTTTTAAATTTTTTAATGAAGAACAATAATTTTACATTTATGTAGAGCCTTTCACCTTGGGAGGACGCCTCAAAGCACTTCACAGAGCTGACTGAAAGCCCAAGCGGGGGGTGGGGGAAGTGAACTGAGGAAGGTGCGGGGGACGGGGGAAGAAGGGGAGAAGAATGCACAAAAGCACAGTTGAAAAGGTCTTAAGGTGGGTCTTAAAGGTGGGGCAGAGGAACTCTGGGATGGATTTCCAGAGAACAGGATCAGAATAGTTGGACACTTGGTCACTGATGACAGGGGAGATAGAGTGGGGAACAACAAGAACAGCAAGATTACATGTGTATAGAGCCTTTCACGTCGGGAGGACGTCCCAAGGCGCTGGACAGAGTACAGCATTTCAGACGCGAGCTGGGGTCGGGGGGGGGGGGGGGAGGGAGGGGAAGGGGTGTGGCAGATGGCACGGTCGAAGAGGGGGGTCTTGAGGTGGGACTTGAAGGAGGTGAAGGAGGGAGCGAGGCAGAGTGACTGGGGTTGGAATTCGAGAGGTTGGAGGCAGAGTGGCTGTAGACTCTCCCGCCAATGGTGGGGTGGGTGGGTTGGGGGACGTGGAGCAGCCCAGAGCCGGCTGAGCGGAGGGAACGGGCGGGTTGGTAGGAGGTTAAGAGGTCGCAGAGATGGGGTGGGACAAGGCCATGGAGGGCTTTGTATGAGAGGACCAGGATCTTGAACTGGATCCTCTGAAGGATACGGAGCCAGTGGAGTCGGGCGAGAATGCGGGAGATGGGGTCACGGAGTTTGGTGCGGGAGAGGACACGGGCTGCAGAGTTCTGGATTATCTGCAGCCTGTGGAGGGAGGAGTTGGGAAGGCCCACAAGCAGGGAGTTTGCATAGTCGAGCCTGGAGGTGATGAAGGCATGAACAAGAGTTTCAGTGGCCTGAGGGGTGAGGTAGTGGCGGAGTCGGGCAATGTTACGGAGGTGATGGAAGGCAGAGCGGGTCATGGCTTGAATGTGGGGAAGAAGACAGTTGAGGGTCGAACAAGACACCCAGGTTCCTGACTGGCTGGTGAGTTGTAGTGTGCAACCATGGAGGTTGATGGTGCCAGAGCCTGAGGTGCTGAGGCGCTGGAGTGAGCCAATCGGGAGGGCCTCAGTCTTGTTCACATTCAACTGTAGAAAGTTTGCCCTCATCCAGGACTTGATGTCCGACAGACAGTCTGTCAGGACAGCAGTGGTCCTGGAGTTGAAGGTGGAGGCAGAAAGATAGTTGGGTGTCATCCGCATACATGTGGAAGTTGACCCCATGTCTGCGGATGATGTCACCAAGGGGGAGCATAGAGATATTAAAGAGGAGAGGGCCAAGGACAGAGCCCTGGGGGACACCAGATGTGACAGTGCGGGGGCTGGAGGAGAAACCGTTAGAGGCAACAAAGTGGAGACGGTGAGAGAGATAGGAATTGAACCAGGCAAGGGAGATCCGTGAAGTTTGAGTAAAGCGGAGAGACGGTGTGTGAGGATGGAGTGGTCGACAGTATTGAAGGCGGCAGAGAGGTCGAGGAGGACAAGGAGGCAGAGGGAATCCTGATCACAGATGTTCAGAACGTCATTAGTGACTGTGACCCCCAGGGCTGTTTCCGTGCTATGGGTAGCGCGGAAGCCGGATTGGACGGGTTCAAAGAGGGAATGGCAAGAGAGAAAAGAGCGGAGCTGGGACGCGACGTCTCGGTCCAGGACCTTGGAGAGGAATGGGAGGTTAGAGATAGGGCGGTAGCTGGAGAAGAGAGATGGAGCCAGGGAAGGTTTTTCAGGGTGGGGGTGATGACGGCTGTTTTTAGGGGGGGTGGGAACTGAACCGGTGGACAGGGAGAGGTTGATGACATCGGACAGGAGGGGGGACAGAAGATGGAGCTGGGAGACGAGGAGAGAGGTGGGGATGGGATTGAGGGAGCAGGTGGTGGGTTTGAGTTTACGGACAGTAATGGTGAGGGAGGAGGGAGAGATAGGGTCGAAGAGTATGGGGGGGATGGGTGGTGGGTGGGCCATGAGGGAGAGGTGATGTGAGGGTGGCTGTGGACGGGGCTGAGGTGGCTGAATGTATCCCCTCGATTTTAGATTTGAGGAAGTGCAGCATCTCCTCACAGTTGGAGTTTGAGGAGAGGATGGGCGAGATATGGGAAGGATGATGGAGGAGACGGTTAGTGGTGGAAAAGAGAAGCCGGGGGCTGTCCTTTGCCTCCAAGATAACCTTGGAGTAGAAGGAGGATTGGGCGGAAGCAAGAGCGCAGCAGTAGATCTTGGTGTGGTGAAGCCAAATCTGCCGATGGATCGTTAGTTTGGATTTGGTCCAGGCACGTTCGGCAGCTCGCACTTGTGCCTTGAGGGAACGGAGTAAGGCTGGTGTGTTTGTGGGGAACATGGAGTAAGGCTGGTGTGTTTGTGGGGAACATGGAGTAAGGCTGGTGTGTTTGTGGGGAACATGGAGTAAGGCTGGTGTTTGTGGGGAACATGGAGTAAGGCTGGTGTTTGTGGGGAACATGGAGTAATGCTGGTGTTTGTGGGGAACATGGAGTAAGGCTGGTGTTTGTGGGGAACATGGAGTAATGCTGGTGTTTGTGGGGAACATGGAGTAATGCTGGTGTTTGTGGGGAACATGGAGTAAGGCTGGTGTGTTTGTGGGGAACATGGAATGGAGTAAGGCTGGTGTTTGTGGGGAACATGGAGTAAAGTTGCTGTTTGTGGGGAACATGGAGTAAAGTTGCTGTTTGTGGGGAACATGGCTGGTGTTTGCAGAGCGAAGATTATGGGCCGGTTACTAAGTTTGCAGATGGTCAAAGAGGTAGGGTGGGGTGAGGCTATGGAGGTATTTGAAAGCAAGGATAAGGATTCTGAATTCAATCCACTGGGGGGAATGGGGAGCCAATGGGGAGCCTAGCAGAGATGGGATGATAAGCTTACGGAGTATGGAGCGGGAGAGGATACCAAGCTGCAGAATTCTGGATAGTCTTCAGCTTGTCTAGGAAGGAGGTGGGGAATCTGACAAGCAGGACATTCGAAAAGTCTAGCCTGGATGTGATGAACACTCAATGAAGTGATGTAATTAAAGTCAAAGGGGAAGGAACCCTGGTTTATTGTACACCTTAATGTAACACACAAAATGCTCATCTTCAAACAGTAGAGAGTTTGGAACAATTGTTTTTGTTCTTGTCTAAACAGAAACTTGATCAAAAGCAAATGTTGCTATAATATCTTTTGGAAAAAGAAAACAAGAATTTAAAATATACTAAAGTTTCTCCTTTCACAACTTTGAGGACAACGAAACATTTCTCCAAAAATATAGGTTAGGTTTTTTTGCCTTCTCTGATTTATGCCATAAGTAAATGCATGAGAATATAACAATTAAAATAGAACTGTTTCCTGGTTAGAAATATCATCCTCAAAATATCAGGAGACTAGAGCAATTTATTTTTGGAAAACTTTTGACAGTGCAGTTGGAATCCCAATACACACAATTAAAATGTTTCACTTACATAACCATGAAACACTGCAGTGAATGACATCCCAACTTACATCAGTGCCTTTTCACTGCCAACATACGATTCATACATAATAATAATCCTTGGATTTGATATAGCGCCTTGTCACTTCTTGGAGAGGTCTCAAAGCGCTTAAGAGAGTATACTGTAAAGTGAATTGACTGTATATTTGGGTGAATACATTTATTAGAGATTGTAAGAACAGCAATTTTAAACCCAATTATTAAACATAGTAAACTAATGAACATTGTATTATGATGAACTAAGTAATTGCCTAAAATGATTCACTCAGTCTTTGTGACATCACTGTGAAACGTTTCATTCATTTTATCATTCAATTCCAATATAATTTTATTTAAAAACTTGAAAAAGGCCAACACTTGGTATCCTCAAAATCTCTTTACGTTACATTCAGTTATGAATGTTATTGCAGAATATTTTTTTCTAAATGTTGGCAGAGGTTTGTATTTGTAATAATAATCCTTGCATTGGAGTTCTCAAAATAAGCAAAATATACATATTTTTTTAAAAATGAAACCTGTTCAGAGAATACCTTATTTAAAAGGGATATTTTTATATTTTAACCACATCAACAACTTTCACATGTATGGCATATGCAGAATGAATATCTGAAAATGCTTAACAATTATGACAGAAAGTATCAAATGGAGAGAAGGGAGAGTTAGCAAAGACGTCGTCTAAGGAGGGTTTTGAAGAATGGAAGCAAGGAAAAGATGATTGAAGTTGGTTAAAGGCTCAGCTATTAATGTTGAGACAGGTGAAGTAAAGAACAAGTAACAGACCAGAATTGGAGAAGCAGTGGTTATGGCCAGGAAAGTAGTCAGAGGAGAGATTAGTGACAATATAAAACACATGGTGTAATAAAAATAATGCAATTTGTATTTAGCTATAAATACATTGCCTTTACAAATTACTCAGCATGGACAAATCTCCAATATATCAGAAATCCCTTCCACAGATGCTATAGAATATTTGGCATTTACCTCCCCAGAAGCAATTTGATTGCTGTTGCATCTGTGTTGTGATAAAATTCCTCTGGTGGATTCACAAAAGAGGGCAATAGGTTTGTTTTGGTGAGTGATGTACTCTCGGACTCGAGCAAACGATGAAGCAGTTTTCCTGAAGGAGACTGAGTTCTTCTGACAGGAACCAATAAGAGAATATAGTTTATAAACATTCTATTACATTTATAATAGTTACTTCTTCACTTTAAAATGTTAGATCATTCATCAGCAGCTCAAAGGACTATGTCCTTAGCCTCAAAGTAATATCATCGCCACAGGTGACCAGATAATAATAATAATCCTTGCTTTTGATATGGTACTTTATCACATCGTTGAGATGTCTGAATGCGTTTCACAGAATATACTGTAAAGTGAATTGACTGGATATTTTGTGGGCGAAACGCTTTTTCAAGATCCTCAAACTCGGGTACAATTCACCCCATGCCCTGGCACTTCCCTAACTCTCCAACCTGCTTACACCCGACTCCTCTACGTGCCCCTTTTACTCCACTAGCTCTGGCCTCCTGCAAATCCCTTGTACCCTTTGCTCCATCATCGGTGGCTGTGCTTTCAGCCGCTATACCGCGAGACTCTGGACCTCTCTGCCTCAATCCCTCCGTCTTACCCCCTCCTTGTCCGTCTTCAGATCACACCTGAAGACTTTCCTCTTCGAGTGTACCTATAGTCACCTCCATTTTCTCCCTCACTCGACGTGAAGCTCCACCCGTTAAGCGCTCTGAGATACTATTCTGTGTGAAGGACGCTGTATAAATGCAAGTTGTTGTAATAGGTAAGGCAGTGCACAGACTGAAAGATTACAAATTTGAACTCAGGTCTATGCTGATTTGATTGATCTCTGCCTGAATATCATTAGGGGCACTACAATCGATCTTGGCACTCCTGACAGGTAAGAGGAAAATCTGCTCTGGTTCGTTCTGTTGGAAGTTCTTTGGATGGAAATAGGATCAAGTCTGATGGTGATGATCCTGCTAATAAATACACACTGTGAAGACTCACTATTGAATATTGACCCCTTGGAAAAAATTACCACTTTAAGTGAACAAGGAACCAGAGAGGGAAGAATAAAAGGAGTCAACACCTCAGGGAGAGAGAGGAAGCAAACAAAAGAAAATAATTAGTACATTATGTTCTTGGCCAAGATGTATCTTATTTTTTTTCTGACAATTTGATCGTTTCAAAGGGGTAGAAAACCTTTGTATTTCTGCACCAAGAAAACTGGGTGAAACTGCTTTGTGATACATCACCTTGTCACCATTGTGTCACAACAGAGGAAATACAGCATGATATTCTATTTCCATAACACAGTTCATATTTCTAATTGATAACATAGAAAATAAAGCAGGACACTTACTATTGCTTTACAATCTTAAACAATGGCTACCTGGAAGGCTGCTATAAGGCACCCTATAAAACACTACATGCAGAGTGTAATGAGATGTGGTTTGCTTCTATCTACAATTCACTCATGATTTTGACTGGCCCATTGAGGAGTTCTTGAATGATGAAAAGAAACTTCACCAAATGAGTGGGTGGAAGGAAAGGGAACCTATAGGAGCCCCAACTCTTGAATAGGTTCTTACAAAGCTGTGGCAAGTTTCTACAGCCAGGCTGACTCTGAATGGAGGCCCAGAAATGCATTGAGTAATAGGCCTGCCAAGAGTCAAGAGATGAAAGAAGAAGGACCAGAGGTAATGGCAAAGAGGGATACATTGGATTTTCAGGCCATATATACATTGAACAACAACAAAATAAAATTTTTATAGCACCTTTCACATCGGGAGGACATCCCAAGGCGCTGGACAATAAGCTTTGACATAAGGTGATAGTTGCAGTCTGTAAAATCCCAACCATCACCTTATTAGTTTGCGATAGTTATTTTCACTGTATATATGCTCGGCTTGCCAGTTCCTGCATTCATGCACTGACCACCTCATTCATGTTATAAACAGTACAGCGCTCCAACAAAATGTGTTATAAGAAGGATGATCTGCAATTTCTGCTACTTTTAATGTCATTACAAAAAGTTATTTTTTTTGCAATGAACTATTTTTAACAAATATTCATGTTGCATTCATCAAGCTGGCTCGGCCAATTTCAGTCATAGACATTAAGATGTAAAAAAACAGCAGATATACAGTATAGCAACCACTAAAAGGTTTATCAAGCTTACTTTGATCTTGGCTTGTCAACATTGTGAAGTGGAGCAGAGTAAGAAATGTCTGCCAATCCGGTTACAGCATCAAGATTGGTTTTCATTGCTGAAACCACCATAGCGTCGCGGAGTTTGCTGCCTTTATCAAGCAAAACTGAAAAAGAGAAAAGAGCATTGAAATCTTTCTAATTATTAGTATTGCCCCCTTTCCTCCACTATTGGTAAAGCTAAAGATGATTTGTTTGAAAAACAAATCAAATCATCAATCTTTCAAGTTATCCTCAAATCTTGCTAGAGCAACAGCTAAAGAACGGATAAAAGTTGTTGCAGTGCTGAATTTAAAAAAAAACACATCTTCTTTGAAATAAGTAGGTTGGAAAAACAACAGCTTGCATTTATATAGTGCCCTTCACATAGACTGACGCTGAGCTGGGGGGGAGGGAGGAGAAAACCATAAGCATGGTTGAAGAGGAAGGTTTGTAGTCGTGATCTAAAAGAGGGGAAAGAGGGGGCAAGAAAGAGGGATCGGAGCAGTTCCAAAGCTTTGGGGCATAGTGGCTGAAAGCGCGGCCTCTGGTGGAGTGGAGGGGATGAGGGACAAACAGGAAGGACAAAAAGACATGATCCTTCATCTTGTCCAGGATTTTAGATCTCTTTAAAGCTCTATTGCCCCAGGAACAGGACCATAATCTGTCTGTTCTATACAGTACATTTTATGCACACTCCACCTTGCTAAGCCAGTCTGGAACCTTGGCGTCTTGTTTGACCCTCAACTATCCTTTCTTCCCCACATCCATGCCATGCCCTGCCTTCCCCCACCTCCACAACATTGCCCTGCTCCATGGTCTCACATCACAGGCTGCCAAAACCCTCCTACACGCATTCAGAATATCCAGGCTTCACTATGCAAATTCTATCATCTTAATCAGATAAACGTGCATCAGCAATTCCTTTTTAATGGTTTCAACCAATTCAGTCTTCACTGCGTTAGTAAGCACCTCACTCCATGTTAACATCGTAAAGGGCTGAATGATATTGTGGAGTTTGCATGTAAAGATTTCTAACCAGTTATACAAGAAGCACAAAGGATTACTTTGTGTTCAAAATACTCCCCCTAGTGGGGCAAAAAATGCTTTTTCCTTCATCAACTGGTAACTTCACTGATAAGAACAAGCTGTGCGGGATCCAGGGAACCTCATTTAACATTATTAATAATCCATACAATGGCATAGTGCCATTCACGTCAAGAAGAAATCTCAAAGTGTTACACAGGATATACTGCGGCTGTATATATTGTAGGTGAATATGGCAGCCAATTTGCCAACAACAATGTCCCACAAACAGCCATGAAGTGAATGATCAATTTTATTTAGCGAATTGTTGGCCAGGACACCAGGATAAACTCCCTTCCCTTATTGAATAGGGCCATGGGATCTTTAATGTCCACCTGAACAGGCAGAAGGGGCCTTGGTTTAAAGTCTCAACTGAAGGACGAAAGAGATCCTCATGCAATTTAGGAGCTGAACATGAGCTGGCTGGATCTGAGAAAAATGTGGTGCTGGCTGGATATTCTTATTAGCTCAGCTAGCCTGACTAGTACAGATCAACTCCCAGGCTCTATATACAAGAGAAATACTCTGAACAGAAAATATATTCCCTGAACTTTCAACGCCTTGGCAAGTCCTCCTGACATGACACAAATAACAACAACAACTTGCACTTATATCGTGCCCTCCACGCCGGGCGGAGTCTCTGAGCGCTTAGCAATGGTGGAGCCCAAGGCCGAGTCTGGGGGAGGGGAAGGTGACCATGGGCGCGGTCAAAAAGGAAGTTCTTCAGGTGTGACCTGAAGATGAGGAAGGAGAGGGGTGAGGCGAAGGGCTTGAGGGAGGGAGTTCCAAAGTTTCGGGGTCTAATGGCTGAAGGCACGGTCGCCGATGGTAGACCGGAGGATTCAGGGAATGCAGAGGAGGCCGGACCCAGAAGAGCGGAGGCAGCGGGTACTGCTGTGGGGAGAGAGGAGGTTAGGGAGATAGGGGGGTGTCCAAGCAATGGAGGGATTTAATACTAGAGTGAGGATCTTGAAGTTGATCTGCTCTATGACAGAGAGCCAGTGGAGTTTGGCAAGGACTGGAGTAATCGGGGTATGAAGCTTGGTGCGGGTGAGAATGCAGGCAGCGGAGTTTTCAATGAGCTGAATTTTGTGAATAGTGGAGGAGGGGAGACCGTAAGAAGGGCGTTAGAGCAGTGCAGCCAAGAGGTGACAAAGGCATGGACAAGAATTACAGATTTACATAGAATGTACAGCACGGAAACAGGCCACTCGGCCCAACCACTCTGTGCCATTGTTTGTACTCCACGAGTATAAACCCATTCATTTATTCCCTCCCTCGCCCTTCTATTCCCCTCTTCCTCATATGAAGGTCTAGCTTCCTCTCGAATTAATCTATAGTTGTCAAATGCAAGGATTATGATATCCTTTCTATTTGACATTCTTTTTCCAGGATAATTTGTGTTAAATTAAGATTTTTAACACTGGCTGGAACTGGATTTTTTCACCCATCACAACAGTTTATTTCTGATTAAAATGGCGGAGGCCAATGATCAAGGTTTCCTAGATAAAATAGAATAAATGTATGGAATTTGCTGCCACCCGCTGGGGACTCGACTCCAACACAAATGGCTGCGAATAAATACGGTAATTCTCATTTAGGCAGTCCTGGAGCTATAGCTTTGGTTGAAATTTTCTATTTGTGTTTTCATTAAACTTAATGAATATTAAATACTTAATATTGAAATACGTAATATTAAGATTAATGTTAAATATTTAATGAATCACTGCAAGTGTGATGGGTGAAATGAGTTGCATACAACTTGGGGGGAAAAGATCTATCAATACCTTTATTTAGTAGCTTCATAATCTTTATTCGGTATTATGTAGTGTTAAAACGATGTGCGTGGTTTGCTAACTTGGACACCAACCTGAGATGACGTTGTTGGTTGCTTCGCTGGCTGCTGACAGTATGTGTGCTTCAGGCTGCTTCTCAATCAGGGGCTTACTCTGTAACCTTGCAGAAATTGAAACTTGTGATCTTAGCTGATCTTGCTCAGGGTCAGATACAAATATCTCAGCAGGAGGCCACTGTGCAGCATTGAGGTGCTGCTTAGTCTCAGAATAAACATCCTTTGTGGTCTTGACATTTTCCTGAAAGTACAAGTGGTCTCTTCCTCTAAAGAAAACAATTATTAAACATTTTTAATACATCTATAAAATATTTTCAATAGTTAAACACTTTAATAATAATTAAACACTTTCAGTGTTTAACTCGCATGGACTAAATGCATTGTTTAAATGCATTGATGGGTATTTTCAATAATAGACTTTAAATGCAGACTTTTAATACAGACTTGTGATCTCTCAGGTTTGGCTACAGGTCATTATTTTCTAACCAGGGCAAGTTAAACAGGGAATGGTAATAGCAATAATCTAAACTATTTATTAAGCAGAAATAGGCAAACACTGTTGATGGTGCAATACTGCAATTTTTACTGCCTACGGAAATAATTACAACAACTGAGGTGTTTTAAAGGGTGGCAGCAAAGCTTCTGGGGTCTTCACCTCTCTACGTTTGATGGTGGTTGTAAAGCAATAACTGGATTGAGGAAATAACAAGCAATGTACAAGGCTTTCCACATTCTGTGTTTTTGTATTGTGCTGTCAGTGACTAGCAGGGCACTTCATCTTATGATTGATACATCTAGTTTCCTCACAAGCAAAGGAACAGCAGTAATGAATAGGTCCTGGAGCAATGTTATTTCATGCTATGTCTGGTCAGTGTTTGATCGAGCTCACAAACACAGTTTCTGTTTCAGTCATAAATTTTCAAGTGTTTCATTGTTTTTGTTTTTAGCGCAGTGCATCATCTACAAAGCAATGAACCGATCAATGAAATTTTAAGAATGCACTCTGCCCTTGGGAGGAAAATGCAATATATATTTACGGTGACCTCTAAACGTTAAGGTCAGATGTTATAACAATGGTCAGCCTCACTTGGCCTGATTATGCAGCACACATTAAGATTGCCTTTCCTTGTTTAACACAGCAATTGTGCCTCCAGATCTAGTCATTCATACAATTCACAACATCATTGTCCTGTTGAAGGAGGGAGGGGAGTTCAAGGCTTCATTTTTTGCGGCATCTTTCTTCACTTCTTTCTATTAATAAACTCCTCAAAGTCATCAAATTAATTAATTACTTAAGTTCCTCAAAGCCATCAATTGTGCATTTCACTGTGGCTCATTAGTGTACAGGTAGTTTATCTTGCATGTGTCATTTCTAGAGAGAATTTGGAGAGGAAACTGCAGCTACTTATTTGTGCTTTGCCCATACATACCGCACCTGTGAACACGTAACTAATGGTACTCTCCCTTCCACTTTTGAGCAGACAGCACTAAGTAAGTAAAGAAATTCCCATATTTGGAGACTCGTTGGAAATATTCAGAGCGAAATGGAATGGGAACAAGATATTTGAATGATATTCTGTGGTACGAGTTAAAGCACTGTTTGTGCCTGTATAGGAGAAATTGCTCAATGCAACACATCTACCCTTGGATCACTTCACAATATCATTGGCCATGCATCTCGCATCTTTAAAAACACAGATTGAAAACAGAAATGCAAGCTATTAGGTGCTATTTACCTTGGTGTGTTGGACATACTGCTGCACACAGATTCTTTCCCACTTGCACTGGTCAGAGACAATTTACGCGAAGCATTGGGTACAGCTAGATTTTCAACAGATCCTGTTTTTGAAGTGCTTGTATTTAATGCACTGGAACCTCGGGTTGAAGCTGCAATGTCCATACTCATGTCTGTGGTTGGCAGAGAGCTGCTGCTGTCATACGTGTCCGAGAGAGGTTCCAGTGCAAGTGAAACCTGAAATCCAGGTCAATTATGGGTCAGTTTGAAGACATTTATAGCAACCTGCAATATGTTGGTTCCATACATTAATTTGCATTATATTCAGCAATATAATCTGGCACTATATTGACTTATTAGACCATATGTTGAAGTATTTAGCAAACATCATTTATTTGGTTGAGTGGGCGTGGCAATTTTTTTTTGTCAGCCGGGTGTCTGACACTTGAGGAAACCCATCACCATGCTCAAGAATACCTAAACCAAACTTGAGAATTCCATGCATCCCACTTACACATGGAAATTCCAGAGATAAGATTGTTGGAAGGGAATCCACGCTCCCTCCCTGGTTACCTAATTCAAGGAAGTATTTAGCGCAGGTTGGCAAGAGCCAAGGCTTGGGGACCCCAGCTAACACTGTATAGCAAGATCCTCGTCCTCACCTTTAAGGCCATCCATGGCCTTCTCCCCTCCTACCTCTCTGACCTGTTGGCTCCCTACTAACCTGCCCGCTCCCTCCGTTCAACTCTGCTCCATGTCTCCCGTCCTACCCTCGGTGACTGAGCTTTCAGCCTCTCTGCCCCACACTCTGGAACTCCATCTCACGGTCCCTTCACCTCGCTTCCTCCCTTGCCACCTTCAATGGAGTCCTGTAGCTCAGTGGTTAGAGCACTCGCTTTGCAAACGAGAGACCTGAGTTCAATTCCAGGCAGAGGGCAAAACCTTGGGCAAGTTTCCTTATTCCACACAGAGCCTAATAATAATCCCTCCAAAACCAAAAACAATAATAAATTGGTCATTTTCAATCTACGACTGTTTGTGGGAAATTGCTGTGCGCAAATGGCTGCCGCGTTCGCCCACAAATATACAGTCAATTCACTTTACAGTATATTCTGTGAAGCGCTTTGAGACGTCCTCCCGACGTGAAAAGCGCTATATCAAATGCAAGGATTATTATTATTATTAAGACCGGTCTCAAGACCCTTCTCTTCGATCATGCCTTTGGTCGCCCTCCCACCTCTCTGCCTTCCCTCACCCCTTTCACCACCCCTTCCCCATGCTCGGGCCCTGACACCTGACTGTCAGTGCTTTGGGATGTCCTCCCGACGTGAAAGGCGCTCTATAAATGTAATTTTGTTGCTGTTGTTAAATGAGCCTGGCAACCTTGGCACATCATTGGTCATATTATGCTACTGTGTGCACTTCACAAAACACTTTCAGAAGTTTTATGAAGTCACTTTGCCCTACTTCATCTCATCCTTCCAGATCCTAATTATTATCCTAACCCACGTAGATTCAGACCCCTGGTCCATAAGCTGCAGCTCTACACCATCAAGGCTGCCCCACACCTGATGTAAATCATCTCAATGACATGATAAGGTGCTATATCAAATTCAAGCATTATTATCTTCTTCTATATTAATAAAACAACAATGTCTGTCTGTGTGTCAGTCAAGATCTCAATAAACGATTAATGCAGAGACATGATTTATACTTCATCGGAAAAGCCTTGCATTTGGGAGTGTCATGGGCGTATTTTTTTCCCAGAGATTTCCTATCATTGGTGAGTTATGACCTAAAGAAGCTCATCACACTTGTATGACAGTTTTGCGTTTTGTGCTGCAGTTACACCTGGTGGCCGCACCGACTCCCAGTGACGGTGTGGCATCGTGCGTCACGTAGCACGTGCACACGCACTCACTCAGATGAAGCCAAGAGGTGGGAACAAGATAAAATGCCTAAGCGAACATCAAGCCTTTCAAGTACAAATAAAAATGCCAAACAAAAGAAAGAAGGCCGATTAAATGAAACTGCATGGCTGCATTGCAATAACTTGAGGATCTGACAGATCATACAGTAAACCCCTTCGGCTAGCGTAGCTTTGATAGGATCTTCTATCTTTCATGAGCTTATGTCCCAAACAAGCTCATCGTACATATATAGCAGTTTGCTTAAGGTGTACACAGAGTGTTTATAGCATGTTAAATAGTAACACTAAAATTTACATTCCATACTGGAGCCTTTGGTTGCAAGCGTAGCTGCAATAGGTACAGCTAGTATTACATATTATTAATCTAAAAACACCCAATGAATGCAATGTTTCTAACCTGCAGTTCTCCAAGCTTCTCAGAGGTTGGGGAAATCATTGTGAAAAATCCATTGACAGAATGAGTTGGTGATAGGTGCGATATGCCATTTATTTGAACCCGGCCAACAGGTAGATGGTCAGGCTTTGTCATCACCTCCAGTACCAGCATTCCCATATCTACGTGCAAATATGAAAATGAAAATACATTCAGAGAAAAGAATAAAAGCTGTGTGTGTTCTTCCTTGTCTGTAAGGCTCAACAATGAATTGAACAAAAATGATCAGCCACTTCTGTTCAAAACTAGTAGTTACGTGTATCCCTGTTCCAAAAAAGAGGGGTTGATTTACCTCACGTTTTGGTCAAATCAGCTGTCAACTAAAAGGATGCCCCATTCAACTGTAGTCTTACTTTAAAATACGTTGTTTAAACAAAAATGTGTGTACGTCATATTTATGTCCTCTAAATATTGAATATTACTTATGCAAACTTTAGGTCAATGATCAAAATGTCGAATGTAAAACTGAAGGAATGAATTTATATACATCTTACAGCAATTAACAATGATATATAGCTAATGTGAAAATGACCTTGTGTTTCTTCTGTGTATCTAGCAGATAAAAAAATGACCAATTCAGGTAAGATGGTCTTATGCAGCATGTCATAGGTAATTCTACCTTGAAATAAAACAATATTCGTAAAATCATAGAAATTTACAGCTTAGGAGGCCATTCAGCCCATGGAGTCTGCACCGGCTCTCAAAGCAAGCTGTCCATTCAATCTTTCTGCCCCACTCTCTCCCCATTCCCCTTCAAGCCTCTAACTTTCATACACTATATGCAAACTATTATATACCCTTTTCTCCTCAGGCTTTAAGGAAATATTCTTTCTACTTGTCTGCGTTGTACTTGTCAACACACAGCTTCTGCATTTTTAATAAATAGCTTGGACTATGGCTTTGATATTTGAACAGCACAGGAGCCATGAAACAGTAATACAGCATTCTGCAACAATATAAACACCAGGCGTTTGATTGAAAGAAGTGAAATACTGTATTTACTTCACTCACACTTACAAACTTGAAGGGCAATAGGGTTCAATATATGCAATCTTAAACTTGCATGTCAAAATTCATTTGTTCGTTGGGCAAACTCAATTTTTCTACCCAAGAATACGTTCACATAATACAGTAGTCCCGTCACTGCCAAGCACATTAAGCAGGGGATATTGGATAGTGATCAGGTACAGTAATTTCAGCTCAATTTCCCCTCAATATCCCAAGCTGTTGATTCGAACTGCAACTCCCCAGAGTTTACCCTAGCTCAGATCAGCTACATCAGCACAGACTTTCCCAATATGGTTTAGCTATTCACTGGGGTGCCACCCATCAGTAGTCTTTAAAGGACAACAGAAATACTGAAATCCCTTAATCTATCTAAGCACGACAAGCAATGGTGATGTAAACCAACCTGCAAGGTAAGAGGTGAACTGCTTTGGTCCACAGCGAACAGCAAATCGAGCAGTTGTTTTCACAGCTTTCTGTTCAATCTGCGAAGCATCTCTGGGACGAAACAGCGTACCATTCGACGTTTCCCCCCACCAGCGCAACCTAACAAGAGGGGTAGCTGGAGGTCTGAGAATGGTCCACAATATTTTACTGACTGTTATCCTTAGGAAACAACGAATCTGACCTTCAACAAGTGGTGGCAGACTTGTAGATGGCGAAACATCATTGACTCCTATAAGACAAATTGATTAAATCAGGCAAGAAAGAGATCCATTCCGGTGAGATGGAATTTCCTGCTAATACCAGCATTTACTGACTTTTTCAAAAACGTCATTAAATTCTGATATTGGCACTGAAATTGTTTGAATCCTGCAAGCTGAAGATAGTGTATAAGCTACTTCTGCTCATGGGATTTAAACAATCTCAGCCAAAGTCAAAATCCCTGGCCACTGAGGTCAGCAAGGAAGTTGAGGCTGTTCATCGTCGCGTTGGTGCCCACTGGGAGAGTTAGGAGTCACGGACCCACGGAAATTTTGGGTCTGCGGATTATTTTTTCTTGGTTTTGGGCATGGTCAGAGCAAGTTTGAATTCCAGATACCTGGAGTCCAGTAAGCCAGAGTTTACTGTACTCTAGGAAGGGCACTGGTGATGGCAGACCAGCCAACCTGTCTTGTTGCTAGGTCTTGGGAGCGGCAAAAGGAACAGGGTTTCTTCCCATTCACTTCCTGTTAATCCTAAACCTTAAGGGTTAGGGTGATCTGAGCTAGATGAGCAGCATAAAACTTACTGCCCAGACAGTTCTCTCCACGGCAAACTCTGCAGCGTAAGCTGATTAAACTATTTTCACAACCATGATTCTATATGTGGAAATTTCAGCCGGTTTTGGATACACTTATGCATGTCAGCTTCTGCATGTGTCATGGACACCAAAAACTGCATATTTAGTGGTACTACAAATGACAGCGATAAATAATAATTTTTGCATTGATAGCACCTTATCACGTCGTCGAGACGTCTCAAAGTACTTCACAGGATGCATTGTAAAGTGGATTAATGTGTATTTTGTGGGCGAAACACAGCAGCCAATCGCACGCAGCAGTGTCCCACAAACAACCATGGAGTGAATGACCAATTTTATTTGGGGGCTTGTTAACCAGGACACTGGGGGAGAGAAACGCCCTTCTCTTTTCGAATAGTGCCATAGGATCTTTAACATCCACCTGAACAGGCAGACAGGACATCGGTTTAACATATCATCCAAAGGCTGGCACATCCGACAATGAATGATCCCCACAACACTGTGTTGGAGCATCATCTTAGACTACGTGATTCCAAGTCTCGATGTGGGGCTTGAACCCACAAAACAACAAATCGCATTTATGCAGCCCTCTTCACGTGGGGTAACATCTCGGACCTCTTAACCGTGTCAGAACCTGACGCCGAGCGAGTGTATGTGTGGGTGTGTGGTGGGGGGGAGTAGGCGACCGGAAGAACGGTCAAAGAGGAAGGTCTTCAGCCGTGATCTAAAAGAGGGGGTGAGGTTGTTGTTGAGGCAGCGGATTGGGGGAACCTTCCGACTCAACAAGTTAAGCCTTGTAGCTTAGTGGTAAGAGGGTTCACTCACTCGCCTGAATCATTTATAATAATTTGATCACTCGACCCACGGCTGTTTGCGGGACACTGCCGTGCGCGATTAGCCGCCGCGTTTCCCCCACAAATAGCCGGTAAATAGCCGGTCACTTCACTTCACAGCGTACTCCGTGAAGCGCTTTGGGACGTCTTGAAGACGTGATGAGGCGCTGTATCAAATGGAAGGATTATTATTACAACAACAACAACGAACGACTCAAGAGGCGAAAGTGCTCCCCAACTGCTCTACACTGACAATGCGGCCCCTACGCCGCAAACAGTTCATTTCAAACTTACTACCACCTGCGCTCCATAATAATAATACCTCGGAGTTTCTTTCCCAGTCTGAGAGGCTTCACTTTCTTAGTTTTCATTTTGGCTTCGACTCCTTTTTCTCCGTCACTGAAGCGACCGTCGGGGTTTGATTCTGTGCGACTCCGGCGGCATCTGTGGGGGGCGAGGAAGATGGAGGGGGCGAGGAAGATGGAGGGGGGCGGACAGCGTCGGCTCTCCTCTCCTTTTCAATCCCGCCGCCAACTGCGCTGCTGGCGGCACGGACCCTGCCGCGCGGCAACCTGGGACACTGGAGGACCAACACCGGCCGGGAGCCGTCACTAAGCAACGGTCATCCGCCGCCGATCAACTCAACTCGGGGGTGGGCGGGAGGGGTTGGCGCGGGGCAACTTGGGATACTGGAGGACCAACGCCGACCGGGCCGGGCCCATGTCTTGTCGGCGCGGGGAGCAGATGAAGAACCGCGCGGCGACCTGTGATACTGGAGGACCAACACCGACCGCGCCAGGCAACGTGGGGTATAGAAGGAATTGGCACAACCTGCTCCTCCCCCCCACACACACACTAATGCCAATCAATCAATCGATCGATCGATGGATCAATCAATCAGCAACACAGCTCCTCTCACACACCAACTGTCAATCAGGAGCAACGTGAGGGTCAGAGCTCGGGCGGCTCCCCGCAGGAGCGAGGACCCTGGTCGGGTCCTTTCCCCATCACACAGAGAAGCAGCTCTCTGACCTCTGACTCTCTGACTCACATAGTGGCAAAAAATAATAATCAATCACTCAATCCACCACCGTGTGTGGGACGCTGCTGCGTGCAATTGGCGGCTGCGTTTCATCGACTAAATATAGTCGATTCACTTCAAAATATATTCAGCGAAGCGTTTCGAGACGTCTGGAAGACGTGATGTATCGAATACAAGGGATATTCTATCAAAGTCCAGAGGCGGATAAAATGCCTCGATGGGACGCAAATGTTGACAACCTTTTAACAACTGAACCAAAAACAGATCAAATTTATTCATTGCCTTTATTTCCACGGCAATGTAGGTGATTTTCTTGTCGGGCGGGAGAGGGAAAAAAAGATTTTTGTGTGCACCGTGTTTTCGTGAAATAATCATTTGCAAAAGAGCATAAGAATTGCGAGAGCAAAGAAGACCAAGGTCCAGTCGCTTGCCCACGTCAGGTCCCAAACTATATACTGCATCTTATGATATTTTTAAAAAGATATCTATCAAAATAATAATAATAATAATAATAATAATCCTTGCATTTGATATAGCGCTTTTCACGTCGGGAGGACGTCCCAAAGCGCTTCACAGAACACACTGTAAAGTGAATTGACTGTATATTTGTGGGCGAACGCGGCAGCCAATTGCGCACAGCAATGTCCCACAAACAGTCGTAGATTGAAAATGACCAATTTATTATTTTTTTTTTGGTTTTGGAGGGATTATTATTAGGCGTGTGGAGTAAGGAAACTTGCCCAAGGTTTCGCCCTCTGCCTGGAATTGAACTCAGGTCTCTCGCTTGCAAAGCGAGTGCTCTAACCACTGAGCTACAGGACTCCAATGAAGGTTGATTTTTCAAAATTTTCAAAATTTTCAAAATTTCCTTTTGAAAGTGGAAAACATGCATGACTTGCTTTGTCCAATATATAGGTATGAGCCAGTTGCGTTTGATTGAATTACCAGCCTTTTATTTGCGGGTTTTCAGAAAAAAATCTAAACCGATCAAAAATTCATATATCTGATGCAACCATTTGCTGTACAGTAGCTGCAGTATCTGTGCTGTCTTCACATTACCTCATCCTAAACACAATGAAGCTCCTCCTCTTGGTCGCCCCTCATCCTATGATGGTGTAGTCTATAATTGGTCTCTACATGTTTGAAATTCACGGCTTTTGTCATGATTTAAGTCATCCTCGGAAACATGCCGCAAGGGAAATTGCAAAAAGTGGCAACTGTAGTTAATATTACGAGTTCTAAAAATTAATGTAATGTCGCTTTTATCTTGTCATCGGTCCCACTGCAGGAGCAGCATGCCAAGGACAAGCAGTTACCCCGAATTACCTTGAGGAATGGGTTTCTTAGCATCTCCATAAGTCGAAAAATAAAGGCTTCTCCCCTTGTGTGTGTCCGTTGGCCTCAACTGCCTTTTTAAGGTTGTAAGACTTATACCAACTTTAAGGATTATTATGATTATAACATCTTTCACGTCAGGTGGTCTTCTCCGTGCTTCACAGGATACACGGTAAAGTGCAGTGACAGTGTCATTGTGGGGAAATGTGGCAGCCAATTTTGCACACAGCAAAGTCCCACGAACCTCTCATTTGGGAAAGTCCACAGTTTGTGTCTTCAAGATCTTGATCAGCACCTTGGGACATCCTCACAACTTGAAAGGCACTATCTATATGCAATGTGTTGTGATCACGACATGAAAGGCGCTATACAAATGTAATCTTGTTATTGTTGTTGTTCAAGATAATAATAATCCTTGCACTTGATATAGCATCTTATCACTTCTTCAAGACGTCTCAAAGCGCTACATAGAATAGACTAAAGTGAATTAACCATATTTTGGGGGCGAAACGCGGCAGCCAATTGCACACAGCAGTCTCCCACAAACAATTGTGGATTGAGTGACCAAATTATTATCCATTTTTTTTATGGGATTATTACCTCAGGAAAACTTATCTGCTAATCACCTAACAACCGGGTTCCTACTTGCTGCTAGGTAAACAGAGGCGTGTGGAGTAAAGAAACTTGCCTAGTTTCGCCCTGCCTGAGAATCGAACCCAAGTCCTCTCGCGAGTGCTCAAACCACTGAGCTACAAGGCTCCATCCTCATTCTCACCTTCAAATTCTTCACCGTCTCACTTCTTCCTACCTCTGACCTCCTTCAACTTTAAAATCACTGCAGACATTTTTGGACATACAGTATTCTTACTATGTTCCAGCCAGTGAAAGTACCGATTCTAAACGTTTTGGATTTCAATTTAATTTTCAAAAGAATTTCAGCCCAGGGCTACATAAAAAACACATGACATAGATTTGAAATTTATTGAAGATTTAGGTAGTTTTATTGAATTGGAAGAACAGTTTCAGAACAAACTGAGTCACTCAAAGGCAGTAAGCTCCAACTGGGAAAGAGAATGGAAATTCAGGGAAAGGTCTTATTTATTTGATAATAAATTGGTTCAGTTATCCCTGACCTACTATTTTGTATTATTTACTGAACAAATATGGTCTATTTTTGTATCATTCCTGACCTTAAGGAGTTCTGAACATAAATTGGAGCCTAGCGTTAAATTGATTATAGAGTAATATCTAGCAAGGAGACAACCAAAAATAAATTTCAAAAATATACAGGAATATACTATTTGAGGATTATTCTTAAACAGGGCGTGGAAAGTATGCCCATTTGCTTGGAAGCACAGTGGTAGCTGAAGATGTCCCGATATATACCACTATGGAGAATTTGCAAGTGGTCCGAAGAGATGTGATGTCATGCTGATTGTCATATATTTTTACAGGATGAATAAAAAGTTTAGCTGGAGACATAATGAGAATTGACAGGTTGGTCAATGCAATGCAGAACTTCTATTCCAGGGGAAAAGGAAAAAAAATACAAAGTAGGTCAGGCATATTTGGACCAATTAAGATCAAACGCACAAGCTCCTACAGTTTTGTAGTGTTATAAAGGAGTTGTGGTACTGTCAAAAATCATTACACTAACGCTTGAACCTAGAGGCTCTAGATTCTATATTTTCTAAATGTTTGGTGGCATGTTTGTCCACACACCAAAAGTTACACAAAAAATAGTAACTCACTGGGTGAAGCACTTTGAAACATTTCCATGTGATAAGGTGCTATATCAAATTCAAGTACTGCACTATTATTTATGTAGATGTATACTTACTATGAGGACCTGTTTTTCCCCAGAGGCAGCACTAATTTTGAGCAATTTGTGCTGTTGGGTTTTTTAGTCCCCCACACATCACTTGGAAAAAAAGATCCTGTGCATCAATAGGGTGCTTCAAATTAGGAAAAAAATTCATTGCTCACTCCATAAACATAAGCACTTGACGATGATGTTTTTCCAAACATTATTGGAACGGAACTGAGAGGTTTTCATCATTGGTAGAATTTATTTGTACACAATGGGGATATTTGAGGATAATATGCTGATGTACAAGTGTGGACAAGATGCCTATCAATGCTGGCATTATGGGCTATTTTTAAAAATAAACATTTAGACCCTTAAGTGAAATGTTATTCGAACAGTTAAAATTTCAGCACAAGCACACGTTTGAACCACTGAAATACAGCATCAGTTCAACGTGTAGATAGAATGCACAGCGGAGAAACCAACCATACAGCCCAACTAATTTACTGCAGTGTTTATACTCCACACTGATCTGCAGGATATCCTGGTTTTAAACATTGACACCATGAAACAGAGTATGAAATTGATAATACTAATCCTTGTATTTGATATACTTTACAGTATATTCTCCACAGACTTCACTGAATATACTGTAAAGTGAATTGTATAGTTTGTGGGCGAAACACTTACTTGCAGCCAATTGCAGACAACAGTGTCCCACACAAACAGTCATGAATTGAGTGACCAATTTATTATTTTTTTAAAGGAATTATTACCCCGGAAGAGCGATCTGCCAATCGACTAACAACCAGATTCCTACACACTGCTAGGTAAACGGGCACATGGAGTATTGAAACTTTCCCAACATTTCGCCCTGCCAGGAATTGAACCCAGGTCTCTCGCTTGCGAGGTGGGTGCTCTAACCACTGAGCTACAGGACTCCACAAATTAACCACTTGCCAGAATTCTGTTCATTCTTCTACTGTTTGAATTTTATGAATAGCAACTTACTGCATTATGTCACTGCTGCTGTAGGAAGGTATTTCATCAAATCTTCTGAGCCAACTGGCAACAGGACTGCAGTCTTTTGAAGTTTTTCAGAAACCTTATTTCTAAGACTTTCCAGAAGCAACACAGTTAAAGGTGTAGATAGAGAAGAGGCTCTCAACCTGCTGGAAATTCTTTTTGTTAAGCTATTATAGTAATTTGGATAGTCTGCGGAATGTGCAAGTCACATACAATAGCAAATGTTAAATTAAACAGATTTCTACATTGCCAGTTAGTGAAATGTGTTACCCAATTCTGACATTTGTAAGTCCAAAGCAAGAGATATTTAATTACAATAATAAAAAATTAGCCCAGCATAAGCTTTTAGATATTATGCATTGCATCCAAATTGTGCTCTGTAGTATCTGCGTAGGAATACAATACTTATATAACTGTTGTTTCTATAAGTATTGCATTCTGGCTCACAATTTAAACTAGCAGTTTCTGTAGGCTGTAAACAGAGAGTCTGTTTTGTAATTTATTGCCATTTTGAGAGAGTTGGCAGCCTGTTCCAACTTTTTTTTACAATCTTATTACAATCTACAGTATACTATTTTACCTGTAGTAGTCTACGAGTAAGAGAGCACAATCCACCAAGTGCCATTAAATTTGAAGTTTAAAAATGTAAAAAAAATTGTATATCACTCTTAAAAATAAATATGGTTCCATATTGTTTGTATTGTCTTGCAAACTGCTTCCCTCTGAACTGAGCTATCTCTCACAATACGTTTTCTATACAAGAACATCTTGAAGCTTTTCACAAAATGGAATAATTAGAAATGAACTGTTCTTTGCTATGTAAGCAAATGCAGAAGGTAATTTGCATCAGAGATCTTCACACCAACAGTGAGATGAAGAATACATATTAGCCAGGATAACGTCCATACGCCTTGAAATACAGTAGCCCAAATTACCAATTACGTTTTATATGTTGCCAAAATAAATCAAACAGAAAAATATTTTCGCATGAATGTAATAATCATTATTCTGATTTACCATGCCCTACATTCGCAGAGGTGCCGGCCTACACAAGACAAAAAAAGTCAAAAGATTATGGGTTCAAGTCCTACATCGGGACATTTAAGCTCACTGTCTAGGCTGACACTCCAGCGCATTTTTGGAGGCGCATTGCGTTGTCAGAGGTGCCGTCCCGTGGATGACATGTCCGTTCTGCCTTTGAAGAGTTTCTCTCGGTGTCCTGGCCAACAATCCCTAAAATTGGTCACTCACTCCATGGCTGTTCGTAGGATATCGATGTGCGCAATTGTCTGCGCCTACAAATAACGGTCACTCCACCTCACAGCAAACCCCGTGAAGCGCTTTGAGACGTCGCGATAATGTGAGGAGACGCTACATCAAAGGCGCAGATCGTTATCGTAGCGCGATTCTTGTCGTTAATTGGCCTCTGTTTGCAAAAGGAAACATCCTACGGCCCGGGGCTCTGTCTGGCGGGGCCAAGGAGCCTCGCGTGTCTGCACCGCCGAGTCGTGTCGTCTTCATATCGCTTCGCTTTGTGGAGTCCTGTGGCTCAGTGGTTAGAGCACTCGCTTTGCAAGCGAGAGACCTGAGTTCAATTCCAGGCAGGGCGAAACCTTGGGCAAGTTTCCTTACTCCACACGCCTAATAATAATCCCTCCAAAACCCAAAACAATAATAAATTGGTCATTTTCAATCTACGACTGTTTGTGGGACATTGCTGTGCGCAATTGGCTGCCGCGTTTGCCCACAAATATACAGTCAATTCACTTTACAGTGTACTCTGTGAAGCGCTTTGGGACGTCCTCCCGACGTGAAAAGCGCTATATCAAATGCAAGGATTATTATTATTATTATTATTATTCGTGACTTCGCACCTCCCCTATGTATCCGACCCGCTTACCCCCCCCCACTCCACCACCCGCTGCCTCCGCTCGGGTCTGCTGTTCCGTCCCTCGTGCCCTCCTCCGTTCCGCCATTGGCGGCCGGAGCTTCAGCCTCTACGCCCCGAAACTCTGGACCTTTCTTCCTCGCCTCCTCCCGCCCCACTTCCAGATCCCGGCCTCGAGACCCCGCTCATCGACCGTGCTTACGGTCATCTCTCCCCGAGCCCTCCGTGGCCTCGCCCCACCCTACCGCTGCCGCCTCCTAACCCGCCTACCAACCCGCCCGCTCCCTCCGCTCCGCCGGCTCCGGGCCTGCTCCACGTCACCCGCCCCACCCGCCTCACCATTGGCGGGAGAGCCTTCAGCCGCTCGGCCCCCAACCTCTGGAATTCCGTCCCCCCGGTCACTCCGCCTCGCCCCCTCCTCAGCCTCCTTCAAGTCCCGCCGTTGGGTTAAATAACCGCTGACCCGCCAAGAGCCCAAACCCACCCGGTGCCCGGTCTGAACCCCGATGGAGTTGGTGGGGGGGACGCGTGTGTAACGTCTTTTTTTCAAACCACGTAACGATGGCAACCGCCTTCCTCCCCTCCCCTCCCCCCCCCCGTGCGTGCCGGAAGTCAAGTCGAAGCGAACTACAAGTCCCACCATGCTCAGCGGCTCAGGGTCGAGGAGCGGACACGAGGAGGGGGAGGCGGAAGGAAGGCGAAAGGCCTGCTGGGGATTGTAGTCCCACGTCCGCGGCGTCACCCCGCCGTTTGTCTGGCCGAGGACTACAGGTCCCAAGGGCTGAGGTAACCGCCTCCCTCCAAGGAGGTGGAGGCCATCTTCAGCGACACACACACACACACAAACACACAACCGGGAGATTTTTTTTTAAAAAAAGGAACATTATTCTTGATTTGAGCGGCTTTCTGTGCGTGTGTGTGTTTTTTTTGAAAGAGGGGGCGGGGAGGCCGGTGTAACTTCCTTCTCTCCAAAGCGTGCGCGTTAGTGAGAGAGAGAGACACACAGAGAGAGAAATATTACCGTTGATCTGCGCGTGAGACGATCCCGGGCCGCCGGGGAGGGTCGGCGTCTCCACAACCGTGACGGTTTAACACCGAGATCCAGTTCCTGGGAGAGAGAGAGAGAGAGAGAGAGAGGTGTATTGAGGGGAAGAAGAAGATGTCTTCTTTGGAGAAAGAGCTGCTCTTGAACAAATTGCCTTCGCGACCGCCGAAGCCGACGGGTCCGCAGCCCGGATCCAAAGCCAGAATGGGGTGAGTGTTTTGTGGTTTAAAATGTCACCCCATTCGTTTTAAGGTAACGTAAAACTCTGGCTTTTTTTTTTTGGAGTTGAGCATTCGCTCAGGAGACTTTTATTTAGTTTTTAAAAAAAAAATTAAAAAAAAAATTTTTTTTAAAAAAAAATTGTTGACGATGAAACAATGATGTGAAAAAAAAATACATTGTCTTTCGAAGCGGGTACCGAGCGCTTGTCGTTGCGAGCGGGAAGTGATCGTCACCGGCGTCGTGTCGACCTCGCTTTTTTTTTTCGCGCGCGCTTTTGCGACCACCGAAGAAGAGCCGAGGGATTTATTTAAATGCAACCCCCACCCCCTTTGAGCATCAGATGAGAGAAATCTTTCTGCACTATACTGTGTGTGTGTATATATATGTATGTGGGGGTGTGGGGGGGTTAATGCATTTTTTTCCCCCTTTCGCTTCCTCCAATGCGATTGACCTGACCTGAAAGTGGTTGGGAACTAATAATAATAATAATAATAATAATCCTTGCATTTGATATAGCGCTTTTCACGTCGGGAGGACGTCCCAAAGCGCTTCACAGAACACACTGTAAAGTGAGTTGACTGTATATTTGTGGGCGAACGCGGCAGCCAATTGCGCACAGCAATGTCCCACAGACAGTCGTAGATTGAAAATGACCAATTTATTATTGTTTTTGGTTTTGGAGGGATTATTATTAGGCTCTGCGTGGAGTAAGGAAACTTGGCCAAGGTTTCGCCCTCTGCCTGGAATTGAACTCAGGTCTCTCGCTTACAAAGTGAGTGCTCTAACCACTGAGCTACAGGACTCTCTGCAGAGCGCCCCCAGTGCGACCCGTGCAATTGGCCGATGGGAGGGGGGTGGTAGTCCATGTGAGTTGGGAGCTGCCAAACTTTCCAGCCTTCACGGCGACCTCCCTCTCCCTCCCTCCCCTCTCCCACTTTTGCTGCTGTCTGATTCCGGCCGCAACTGTGGGTCCCCGATGCTTTGCGTTTGAACGTGAGCGCTCGCCGCTCCACGAAGCGTTCAGCTTAATTGCTGGGTCACGTTTGTTCCATTGCTTTATTATTATTATTATTACGATGCATTTATCATTTGAAAATTCAGGGGATGGTGGTGGGGGGTGGGAGGGGGGCGTGGGATCGAACGCGTGACGGTTGTGTACTGTACACGCGAATGGCTGAAAGGTTTCCTGGACTGTTAAGTGTTACTGTATGTACCACATGTGAGCAACGTCTGTGAGGCACAGCCTGACGTAAGATGCAGCTTTCTGTTGGAATTAAACTGCACTTTCGCAGCCTCTGAGGAAATGTTAGCAATTCAAACGAAATTCAGATTTTCAAGTTAAAACCGCGAATGAGGGTTTCAGTCTTACAGTGGGTTAGCAGTTATTCCTGCACAAATCGGATCCATCAGGATCATAAGAGATTTAAATGACATGTGGAGGAGCCCTTCAGACCATTTGATCTCATCTTTCCAAAATGCGTACTCCACTATGTTCCCATTACACCATTACGTAGTTTCTTAAAATAGCCTTATTGTCCTGACCTCTGCTACCATTCTTGTTAACCAGTTTCAGCTGTTAATTACCCTCTATGTAAATAAATACTTCCCAGTGTCTATTCTAACATTAATATTCAGAATATGAACCAGGGTTCTTTTGCTCTGTTACTTTGTCTTACCTGGAAATATGATTTCTGGGTTTACTTTCTCAATCCCATTTAGCATCTTACTATGATCCCTTCCAGTCATTCCTTTTCAAAGCTGAAGAACTGCATCTAGTTATTCTTTACAGTATATTCTGTGAAGCGCTTTGCGACGTCTCTAAGACGTGATAAGCGCTATATCAAATGCAAGGATTATTATTATTCACGGTTCATCCTCGGTGTTCTCCTCTACTCTATCCGTGAGGCCTGAGCAGGCCCGTTATGTTGTGGCAATGAAAATTGAATGTAGTCATCTAGGTTTGGTCTACTCAGTTTGGATGTTTGAATTCAACTGATTTGGCAATGCAGCACAGCATCCTGTTGGGACATTCTCCCAACGTGAAAGATGTATACAAATGTAATTTTACTGTTGTTTCCTGCTTGTTGCTGCCTTACACTGATCAACATGGTAAGAGACTAACTAGTCAAGTAACAGCTCTAGGTCTCTTAGTTTCTATGGAGTACACATGCCTTCTAATTTTATTACATTTCATGTCAGGAGGATATCTTGAAGTGTTTCACAAGATATACTGTAAAGTGCTGTGAATGTTTAGTTTGTTTTGCAGACAAACTTCCTGTGCACGGTACCTTTACTTTTTGTGCGTGTTGAAATTTAGTTGTCAGTGATCGGCTTAGGTGCTGGCATACCTGCTGAATTCTCTTTGCAAAATCTTTGCTATCTCCTCTTGATTCCACAGTTCACCTAACAATATCTGTAAATCATCTTGAACTGAGTCAGCAAATCAAGGAGGTCTTTATGCAAGTAACAGGCGAGATCCCAGCATATCCCTGAGGCACCCCACTCAATAATGCTCCCCCATTTTATCCCAACTGCTTCTTTTCCTTTAGTTCATTCCTTTAGAATAATTCCTTAAAAAAACCCAATAAATTGGTTACTCAGTACACGACTGTTTGTGGAACACTGCTGTGTGCAATTGGCTGCCAGGTTTTGCACACAAAATATACCGTCATACTTTACAGTATATTCTGTGCAGTGCTTTGAGACATCTCAAAGATGTGATAAGGTGCTCTACCAAATGCAAGGATTATTATTCATATTTTAGCCTTAAAAAAGTTGTTTGTACAGTAGTTATCAAAGGCGTTTTGGAAATCTAAGTGCAACACCACAAGGATTTCTTTCCAGTTACATTGAAATGCCATCTCCTCAAACTCTGAGGTGGTCAGACAAGATCTGTCCCTTCTTCACTAACCTTTTGCTACTGTATTCCAAAATTGGAAGTTTTTTTTGTTTTACATCTGCAGCTAGGTCCCTCAAGTACACCATTAGAAATTAGAAATAAATTACACCAAAAATGGTTGGAACTTGGAATTTTCTGCCACAAGCTGATACAAATTACACATTTTTGTAAAAAAAAGTGATTAATAGTTTCTTGAAAAAGCAATGTTATATTAATAGTTTGGGGTGTGAGCAGGAGATTAGATTAAGCAACTAATGTTTAGGGGAAAAAAAGTGGAGACTTGATGGGCTGAATGGCTTGTTTTTGCAATGGTCTCCAACAAAATACACAGTCACAACACTTTATAGTATATTCTGTGAAGTGCTTTGAGAATTCCTCCTGATGTGGAAGGTGCTAATATCAAATGCAAGGAATTTTTTTTATTCTTTTAGGTTCCTATTTTTTGAAAAAACTAATTGTATATAATAATATGCATTTGATATGATGCCTTTTATGTTTGGAGGACATCTCAAAGCGCTTCACAAGATATTCTGTAAAGACTATTGAATGTGTTCTGTAGAAAAACGTGGCAGCCAAATTGCAGACAGCAATGTCCCACAAACAGCCATGGAATCAGGGATCAATTTTACTTGGGGGATTGTTGGCCATTCCTGCATGTTCTACATGTTTTTGAAAATTTGTCTTGATTGAGTTGTTTGTAGTGCCTCAGATCAATGTTGCTAGACTTAATCCTCATTCCACAATAGTTTTCCCAGCTAAAGGTTCATACCAGGACAGATTGAATCATCATTTACCAGGACAGATTGAATCTTCTGAAATTATGGCTAGTGATTCAACTACAGTACTTCTACTTGATGAGTAGTGTCTGGGTCATGGAACCAACTCAACTGCCTTTTGTGGTCTTATTGACACATTGTCAGGAAGCAGTCATGAAGTACATTAACAAACTCAGCATCCTTCCCAATTGGGCGTTCCTGATTGTTTGGCTGGTTGAGATTCCCATCAATGCTATCTTTTGCTTACGCACTTTTAATATTATCACAATTTGATGGGTTGTTCCTGTTTGGTCTGATGGTCTGTAGCAAATCCCATGGTATGAAATTTCGAACCTTTATTTTTTTTGTGTCCCTTGATAAGATAAGGCAATCCTTTCATCTTTCCTATCGTTCCTAAATGCCCTGTATCCTTATAAGTTGTATTTTCTCCATCATTGTTTGAATCTAGCTTAGGCTGAAGTGTTTAAAATTTCCTCTTTTCTGGATGGAGCAGAGCTACGCAAAATATGTATGGACAATTCTCGAACAAAATTCCTAAAGTATGTGAGTCTTCTACAATAGCAACAAAATTACATTAAGTTAAATGACAAAATTGCTTAGAATGTGTTAACAAACGGATTACACAGGAGTGAGTATCTGCAGCTTCACCTCAGTCTTGGGCGTCATCTTGTGTCCATCTTTCATGTTTGACAATCAAGAGGTTGACACAGAATTATGTCAGTGGTGTCCAGTATTGTGGCCACACTTTAGATTCCAGCAGCATATGTTGCAAAATTCCGTAGGACCGAATGTATCCATCATTGCAATTGTAGTCGCAAGTAAATAATACTGTATATCAAAAAAATTCTGACTATCCAGCACTCTGGGACATCTTTCCGACGTGAAGGGCACCATACACACGTATAACTTGTTGTTGCAGTGTGTTCAAAGGGTTTAAGGTGATCTTAGCTGAATGGTGCTCGTGGTATTAATTTGCACCAGATTGGAACTCAAATTTAAAACCACATACAGTATATTGCAATTGCAAGCACTGGTGGGCAGGCTTCCAACTACTCGTCCAGCAAGAACCACCCTACGGCCTTGCTCTTTCCTACCTCTGTGACCTGCTAACCCTATATGAACCTCTCCGCTCTGCAGGCTCCGGCCAACTCTACATCACCCACCCAGCCCGCCCTACCATCGGCAGTTGGGGCTTCAGCCTCTCTGCCCCCACCTTTTGGAACTCCATCTCACTGTCTCTTTGCCAAGATCATCCTCTTCGACCGTGCCTTCGGCCACCCTCCTACTCTCCCTACCCTCCACCCTCCCTGATGCTAATCCCCCCCTCCTCGGGTCCAAATCCATGTTTCTCAAGGCCTTGGGACGTCCTCCCGAGGTGAAAGGCGCTATACAAATGTAATTTTGTATTGTATTGGGCCTTTGGACTGCAGAGTTAGCAGGAGCTGCGTAGGATGAATCCCTTCCCCCACTGACTGATCTGCTTCTCCAAGTTCTGCCAACTAGTCAGACTGGCTGGTCTGTCAATGACAGTGGTTCGGAGTCCTGCAGACCTGGGTCTGAGACACCTCCGAGAGTGCATTGGGAAATTACAAATGTATTCTATACCAAATGCAATTATTATTATTATTTTGTATAGGATAGATAATGGGTAGCTCTGCTTCCTGCCATGTAACATTTAACCTGGGAGCGTATGTTGATAACATTGAGTATCCTTGAGCACAAAAGTATTCTATTTCCCAGATCTGACGTTTAATTTGACTGCAATGGTTTGTTTCTTCTCCTTGCTGGTAACACGCATTTTGAAGGATATTGACTACCACGAAAAAGAGGTTAACTATGTCACGACAATGGTAGTCTTTTTCGCCTCCTCAAAAATAAAATCAATGCCAGGTTTTGCACATTTTTGCCTTTCAGAAATTTAGACAAGCGATTAATAAGGAAAAATTTGAACTTGTACATTTGACTCAACACTATTGTTTTTAAATGTATGGAAAAAATATTTGATGCTTGCAAGTAGCTGTGGTTTTACATAATGTAATTGTATTCCTTGCATTTGATATAACTCTTATTACTTCAAAATGCCTCCAATATAGCACAGGTAATTGCTCTCAACAACAGCAATAACAAAATTACAGAGTGCCTTTCACGTCCAGAGGACGTCCCAAAGCGCTGAACAGTCAGGTGTTGGGGCCCGAGCATGTGGGAGGGTTGGTGTAGGAGTGAGGGAAGGCAGAGAGGTGGGAGGGAGACCAAAGGCATGGTCGAAGAGAAGGGTCTTGAGACCGACCTCAAAGGAGGCAAGAGAGGAAGCGAGACGAAGGGACCATGGGATTGGATTCCAGAGTGTGGGGGCAGGGAGGCTTAAAGCCCGGTCACCGATGATAGGGTGGGTTGGTTGGGAGACATGGAGCAGGTCGGAGCCTGCTGAACGGAGGGAGCGTTCAATTGTGCAGTTCAGTTGTCTCAATTGTAATGACTTTGTAATTTGAAATCTCAAATCAGAGACAACTCACTTCTCTGGATAGAAGGCATTAAAATCTGAAAGCAAATTGATGCTGATTTCTATAAAAATTGCAATATATGTATTTCTATATATATTGCAAAATTTGGATTATGGGAAAGGAAATTAACTTTGACATGTAATGTTTATGAAATAGATTCATAGATCTTTAAAAGTTGGAAAGCATGAAAACGTCATTTAACAGTAAATAGGATTCTGATTTTTAAATACAGTAGAGGAAAGAGATATCTATACTAAAGACCATCTCTGTGGTTCCTCCAATAATGCAGTAACCGATTGATGTAGAGACATGATTTATACCTCATCGGAAAGGTCTTGTATGCATGAGTGTCATGGGCATATTTTTTGGAGGGGATCTCCTATCGTTATTGAGCTATATTTAAAAAAAAGGCCCAAAATATGAGGTACTTAGCTGTACCTGACGCATAGTGTTCTGCAACAAGGTAGTGACAGAGGAAATCATCCTTCTAGAATGATACATTGGGAGAGGGACGGAGAGAAGAGAGTGGTGGAAAAAAAATTCAATGCTACATTTTTAAAATGAATACGCTGAGTCCCACAATCTCTCGAGCGTAAGAGTGAGGAGTTGAGAGAGGCATTTTTTGGGGGAAAGGGGAGAGGGGAAAGGTTACGAGCGAATGAGGGAGGGAGCTAGGGAAATTTAAAGTGAGGCCTGCTCAGACTGACTAAGCGCCAGGAGCCGAGAGAGAGATCCCAGCACAGCTCACACATTGCATGTATGTCTGGCCGCCAATAATGGAATAATCGATTGACGTAGAGACATGATTTATACCTCATCGGAAAGGTCTTGCATGGGGGAGTGCCATGGGCATATTAGGGGGGGATCTCTTATCGTTGATGAACAATGACCTAAAAGAAGCTCATCACGCATGTATGGCAGTTTTGCTTAAGGTGAAAACACTTCTGATTATGACATGTTAAATGGTTTGTGAGTGGTATCACTGAAATTTACATTCCATCTTGAATACTTTGGTTGCCAGTGTAGCTGCAACAAGTACAGCTAGTTGAATATAAAAACAAGGAAGTGATGATTACATTTATACAAACCTTGATTTTGCTGCACTGTGTACAGAACTGTGTGATCCATTACAAAGAGGCCATAAGAGCGCCTTATCATGTCTTCGAGATGTCTCAAAGCGTTTCACAGAATATAAATTGACTGTATATTTCATGGGTGAAACAAGATATTGCCTGGGATATGCACACGAGTAGAGAAGAGAAACCAACCACCAAGCTGGCTTCAAAAGGGCGTTGAGCTGAAAGTTGGAGGAGGGGTATGGGAGCTTGAAAACCAGATAAATTATAATTTTTGTAATCACACTTATTCTGACGTGGAACCAGAACACTTGGAGATGTGAAGGATTCCTGGCATGTTACCACTTCCAAAGCTGGTTTTATATTGAAGATTCAGTTCAACTTTATTGAAGTAGTTACCTACCTACTTCCATGGTTTCTTATTCACTTTTTAAACCCCTGTGCTTTGGTTTTCTAAATTAAATAATCTGAATTAATTTAGCTCTTTGTAGAACAATGATGCAATTGTTCATCCTGCATAAATACTATTTCTGTCCACAGTAACAAAAACTAAATGTGTTATCAGTCATGTCTTATAAATTATACAGAACCTTGAGCTGCTGTGCATTCTGTGGGTGTTATTGATGCATGACTCAAGCTGCAGAGATGTTTTCAAAGACTTGTATATACAACTACTTCCAAATCCTTTTCCTGTTTTGAATTCATAATGCAATTTAATTTTTATTTACTTGTTACTCTATTCACATTAAATGTTATTTCTAATATTGGCCAATTACTGAGCATCTCTGGAATGATGTATTTTAAATACGCATTTGCCCTTCACACCTAATTTAGTATCATTAGTAAACTCGAGCATTTTGCTTTCGATTGTATTTTTCTGGATACATTTAATGCTGTCGTTTAGTGATTAGGAGCACTTGCAAGCGAGAATACGTGGGTTCGATTCCTGGGCAGGGTGAAATGTTGGGCAAGTTTCCTTACTCCACACACCTCTGTTTACCCAGCAGTAAGTAGGAACCCGGTTGTTAGTCGATTGGTGGATCGCTCTTCCGAGGATAATAATCCCTTCAAAAACATTTTTAAAAAATAAGAAGAATTTGGTCACTCAATCCACAATTGTTTGTGGGACATTGCTGTGCGCAATTGGCTGCTGTGTTTCAACGACAAGGTATATAGTCAATTCACTTTGCAGTATATTCTGTGAATTATTATTAGTATTAATGCAAGATAGCAGTTTAATGGGGCTGGTACGTTACAGATTAGGGAAACTGTCATCATTTATGATTAGGGCTTCTGATTTTCACAGATAAAATACCCCGTTCAAATTTTTTTTTATCAGTGTTTATCCAGTAAATGCCAGAAAGCACTGGTAATGGTTTCTCAAGATTACTTGTGCAAGGTTTTCTCTCTCGCTCAGTTTTAGTGGCGCCCTGGCATCCAACTGCACGTGGGTTACTCTCTCTGCCTCTCCCTCTCCTCTGTGGCTGAGGCGCTTCTGGAGACGCTATATAAAACCCTGATTTTTGGACATCTATATAGAACTCAAATTGCTAAAAAAAAATAAAACTAATAAACACCAAAAAAAACCTTACTTATGATGCACTAATGTCATTGATCGAGAGGAAAGGACATTTGAGTTTCTTTGCTCTGGATTACAGCAGTCCATGGCAAATGTTGATTGGTTGTAGTATCATGGTAAATATTGTTGTTGGAAGTATGCAGTTTAGCCCCAGAAATAAACATATTACCAAGGCCAATATTAAAGTAAATCTCTATCAGCAACACATTTGATTTTAATTCTAACATAAGTTTCAAGCAGAATTCTTGGTCCATCTAACCTCCCCATCTAAATTCCACAAATATGGTTTTAATTGTGGACTTTTTAATGTTTGGCCCAACAGGAGATGTATGTATGTGAGGTGAGACCATTACCACTATAAGTTATTGTAGAGTATGACTTCTCTGGTTTGAAGACCGTTGATTTTGTATATAGCTGACAATGCTCTCAACCACTAGTTTCTAAATCCACCTTTGTTTTAAAAAAAAGCTTTTGTATCATGTCTTTAATCTGCTGTGTCAAAGTGTGGTATTTTTGACTTTCATTTTGTCCACCTTAACATTCTAACACCTGGCACCTCCTGCTGATAGCAGTGTGTAAGAGCTCTTTGTGCCAAATTTATGAAATGTATATTCTACATCTGCACCACCTTCCTTGGGATCCTTTGCAAACTGAGATGTAGGTGGTCATATTTTTTTTTAAAAAATTGATTTTTTGTGAATTCTAAATACCCCATAAAATTTAGGAAACACATGAACAGTATAGCATTGGGATATTTTACTTCTGCAGTATGCCCAAATTGAATATTTTAAATATTAATTCCATTTTTTAGTTGTTCTACCATGACCCATAACGGATTAAATCTGCTCCAAAATTTAGCATTCGAAAGCTATTTTTAACTTGAGTGGTTTGTGCCTTTTGTGTTATAGGCCTGGAAGAAAACGTGACTTTTCCCCTGTGCCCTGGAGTCAGTATTTTGAAACCATGGAGAACATCACAATTGAAAATGAAGAAGGCACAGATATATCCTATTATACCTTACTTTCACATTGTCAATTTCTATTGTCTAATATTAATTATAAGTTTGACCAGATATCAATTTTAACAAGGCTATATTGGTTAACTTATTTTGTATATGTCAGTTTTTGTTGTTTTATTACTATTCATATCAACCTTTTTAATAGAGTGAATTATTTCACTTAAACAAAATACACACTTTTCTAAAAAAAATTGAGACAACCTTCCAAAAATAACCACATAGAGCAGTTAATTTTAAATCCGAGGAAACCGAGCTTTTATGGCATTCAGAATGTTAAAATCTTTTCATAAATGTTTATTGGATTTATTTAAAATATTTCAGTCAATTCACTTTAAGGCACTATAATCAAATGCAAGAATTGTTATTATATATTATATAAAGTGAAATTTAATTGTTTTGACATTCTTTGTCAAAATTAATAAAAGATTGCCTGACAGAGCTGGTGTGTCAACACGATGGGTTTCCTTAAAGACAGTTCATAAAGGATGACATAACACAGCAGGTTTATGACGGTTCTTAGTTTTAACAAGCTGTCTTATACCTACAAATTGTTAGAACAAATACTTGCTGCTTAACTTGTTGGCTCCACATTAAATGCTGCATTTTATGACCCACTTATTTCACTTGGGCATTATTTATACCTGATGAGGCAATTGTATTGGTAATCCATCATAAATCTATTTCAGTAGCAGTAACCAGAATTATTTGTCCACTGTATTCACTGCAGTTTTATGTATGGTTAACTTGGTATAAAATTACTAGTACGATGAAATTCTGTTTATTAAATACTCAATTTGACAATGAAAATTATTCAGTAGATTGAATTATTTGCATATCCAATATTCAATTGACAGATTTATATTCTTAGATTAGGAGTACAAACTGTTTGGGATTTCAAAATTCAATTCAGTAAACCAGACATTTAATTATTCCACATTCAATTAACCAATTTAATTGAATGTGGAATAATTAAATGTCTGCTCAATTTAAGTGTAGAAGAAATGCTACTGTGATTCTGTGCTTCATTCTCTACCATGTGAAAAATTCAAGCAGGACACTGCGATTTGCATGTAAGGGACAGTAGAAGCAATGTAGTTGCTAACTAGATACCTATGGTGAAATAGAACTTGCGGAATTATGCCATTGGTTCAGCGCTTTGGGACGTCCTCCCGACGTGAAAGGCACTCTATAAATGTAATTTTGTTGTTGTTGTTGGTGATCACTTGCTTATTATCGTGGTGGTATTCTGGTTTTTGTGTGTGTTTGGAGTTTTGTATATATATGATGAGGGAGGAGGGGTATAATTGCAAGGAAGCTCGTAATCCACTGTATATTCTTTTTGTTACACTTGGGAATGTTCCTGCTGTTACCACTATATAGCAATCCAATGTGTGTCCCTAAAGTACTATTTCAATTATTGTGTTTTATACCTTAACAATTCTCACTCTTTTCGAATTTATCAAAGTGGATCAAGTGGGCCTGTGCTTCTGTTATTACATGGTGGAGGACATTCAGCTCTCTCCTGGGCAGTTTTCAGTGTAAGTATTTTTGGATTTTAACACAAGTGCTTTCTTGCTTATTGTACTTTATTATGCAATTTGCCACCTAGTGGGAATCTGGTCAATTGATGATTAATTGGGTAGCTATTGTGCTGTGTGATTGGCTATCATTTCAGTACAAATAATCTATTAATGTAATCCCATGGTGTAGTTCTTATCTGATCTTTTAAACTCCTTTCCCTGACTTTTCATCATATCCTTTAGTACCCTCACCTCCCAAGGATTCATTTATCTCCCTTTTAAATCTCCCAATAGATTCTGGGTTTACAGACGTAATGCGTTTAACTTTATTATACTCTTTTAGACTTTTTTTGCAGTTTCCAAAAAAGATTTATTGATGAGCTCTTAATCGTTTCAATTTTGATTATTCCTTCCATGTGTCTCTTTTGTTGCTGATCTGTTAGTCAGTAGAAAAAGTGGCACTGATTTTTGTGATGTGATCTGTACTGTAATCAACTCAATTAACCATGATGCCTTGGGTAGGTGTTATTCCTGCCAAAACAGTTAAGAATTGTACTGCATTGGCAGATCTGAACTTGATGGATGTCCTCCTGATGTGAAAGGTGCTATACACATGTAATTTGTTGTTGTTGATCTTTAGTACTGAATTCACGTTGCTCTAATGGTAAATGCAGCACTAAAAAAAAATCAAGTACAGTCAAAATATTGTTGTGGTGTGATGGTTGGGATTCGAACACACCAACTTGCATTTATATGGCAACCTTCACAAGGGGCAGCGTCTCGGACTGCTTAACCCACATGATAATGGACTGGTTTTACTGCTCAGCTAGTGGGCTTGCTCCCTGTGTGCTGCTGGTTCCTGCGCTCAAACAAAAACAGCCAATTTCCGGGTCATTAGCACTCTGCCAACGTAATGCAATGACTTCAGAAGTCGGTCGCTTCTAGCATGAAAGCTGGCTGGTGAAATGCAAGTGTGGTGAGTCGTGGGGTCTAAACTGCAACCAAATTAGAACCAAATTTTCACGATAAAGAACAACATTATAACCAAGCTGTTCTGTTTATTAGGGCATTGGAGACCAACATTAGTTTTGGCTGCGACAGTGAATTTTGAGTTCCACACTTACAATGCTTTCCCCATTATAAAATTAAAACAACGAGTTGCATTAATATAGTGCTTTTTTAAAACTAAACATCTCAAAGCACTTTACAAGACATCGGAAAAATTGTGCAGGATGTTACATTTGCCAATGCTGTGTATAAATCCATTGATATTTAATTGGTTTTGTTTCCACTGGGTAGCAGTTGTTTTAATGTACAATGTAAATTAAATTATAAAATGACTTAATAATTTTCACAATTCATTGACTTTTGTAAAATACTTATACATAGTGACATGCCATAGTTTATATAGTTTTAAAAGTAAGGTTTTATGTATTACTAGTTTTAAACCCTCTTAAGACACTGTCCTGCATGTAGAGCGCTATATAAGTGCAAGTTGTTGTTGTTTAAAGGGAAGATTCTGTTTATTTCCACAGTCAATGATCACAAGTCGGATTCATTGTAGAATTGTGGCAGTAGACCTTCGAGGTCATGGTAAGTGTGTTTTCTTTTGCATTGAGGAGAGGAATGAAGCAGAAACTGAATTCGTCATTAGATGTAATCCTCAAGTACACAAAAAACATTTATCAGAGTATTTATAATAATCCTTAATCGACTAACAACTGAGTTCCTACTTACTGCTAGGTATACAAAGGGTGTGGAGTAACGAAACTCGCCTAAGGTTTCACCCTGCCCGGGAATCAAACCTGAGTTCTCTCGCTTGCGAGACGAATGCTCTAAACAATTTGCTACAGAACTCCACACTTATTTGTACACAAGTATTTTTTGACTCTTGAAGAAATCCAGCTGCAATTAATAGAAGCAAGGAAAAAGTTAAATCCTTCACTGTACTTTCTGAGGAATTTTTGAATTTAACCTGAACACAAGAATTATTTCAAATGTTGTGCACAGGCTTTGGGCTCAAACTTTTTTCAAAATAACAAAATTGTACTTCCACTGCATACTTCTTCAACTGTATTATCAAGCCCTTCCCTCGAGTGTTTCTTATTCTTTATTATTAAATCTGGATCCTTTTTTATGTTCTGTGAGAGTAAGTTGCAAAATAAAAACAAATTTTGATGTAGCTTTTTTTCACTTGGAATTACATATAATATGGTACAGTGTTTGTATTCCACCTGAGCCTCCGCCCCTCCTAATTCTTTCTTCCCTTTCCATAACTCCTCTATTCTCTTCTCAGTCATGCATGCATCGAGTTTCTTCTTAAACGCATTGATGCTTTTTGCTTCAATCATAGCTTCTGGCATTGAGTTCACATTCTCACCACCCGTCTGTTTAAAGATGTTCCTCCTAACTCTATTTTTAGATCTGCTATTGGCATATCCTCTTATGCCAGTTAGGCCCCTATGTTATGGAGCCTTCATTTCAGCAGCTTGAAGGCAGGAAACTATTATTGCTGCAGGATCTAAATGATACCCCTGTGTCTCTTTCAGGTGATACAGACGTCAAAGACAGTGAAAATCTCTCTGCAGAAGCCATGTCCAGGTAACCTAGGCAATAAAATATTATTTTCAAACTTGCTAAAGAATTCAGCAACTTGGTAATTAGATGTGAAATTCTGCCTTTAGTTTATCTCTCTTGTATCCCTGCAAGGTCGCTGGCACCTTCATAATTCCTCAGCAACCTGTGATAACAGTTGCAATGTGGGCTGTTCCATCTGTTGGGGTGATCTCCTAATGTGAGGTACATCCTGCATTAGTTTCTCTTTTAACAGATGCTTTCTGAACCTGAAGCCTCAGTATCCAGTAAGTGCAGTGATAATGTTAACATTCCAGCTAAATGCCAGGTGTCTTCCCAGTATGTTAGAAACTAAAATTAATCTCCTTTTATTTGTCCTTTCCCATAGCTGGAATGTTACTAATAATTTCAGGAACTGACTGTTTTTAAAAAAAAAGTAATTTTTTTGTGAAACAAATATTTCCTTCCCACAACTCCATTGTTTGTTGTGTTCTGAATTACATTTAATTCCTGAATTTAATTTTGACACAGAGAATTAAGTGGATAATTTTTGATAAATTGGCTCTGAAGAAATTTAATTTGAAACGGATCATATGTACAGATGTTCAATAACTATTCTGTGTGGTATCATGGATGATCCTCTGACCGTTATAGGCAGGTTTCCTGTAAACTCAATACATTTTATCTTTGGATACTGTATTGCAGCCATTCAAGCATTAAAGGAAACCACCAGAATTCTCCCTTTTCATAGCACGTGTTTGTGAGGGAAGTTACCCTATTTTTATAGCATGTATAATTTTGTAATTTTGTCCAATCTGACAGAGTATAACATTAAGCAGAGTCAACTGTAGTTTCATAGCAAACTAACAATAGCATTGAAACCCAATGATCCGGTTTGTGGATCATGCTAAAGTATACAGTAAGACAGCTGAGAAGTGATGTTCATGTCAAAGTTCTCTTTAATTAACAAAAGAAATCTTTATGAAAATGTGGCAGATTCATTTTGGGTGCCGTTTAGTCTATGTGACACGGAGTTAAATCTAATTTGCATAAACTTCTATTACTGCAGATTTTGAGCAATTTTATTATGCAAGGGCGGCATTATTGGAATTGAACAGCAACTATTTGCCTTATATAGAATCCTTTGCACAGACTAACCTATCAAAGGACTTTGTAGAAATGGGGCAGTAGCCTGAGCAGAGTGGTATGGGGATAGGAGGGAGGTAGTTGAAGGCATTTGATATCAGAATTGGACATTGTGCATAGAATTATGTAGAATATTACAGACCGTTTGGCCATGCTAGTGTTTCTACTCCGCTTGAGACTCCATCCCTCCTATCCCTCCTCTCGTAGCCTTCTATTCTCCCTCATGTAAGGATTCTGCATAGTAAGTGAAATATGATTGACTGAGAGTATAAATCGGGCTTCCAGCTTTACAGTTTTACTCATATAAGCAAAGTCTGCAGGCAATATAAGTGGGCTTGAACACACAGTTCCATCTTAATTTGGAGAGGAAGAGTGGTAAGGTTCTAACCTGTACATTTATGATTCTTCCTGAACCTTAAATGTACAGGTTAGAACAGAAGCTTGCTGATTTTTATTTTTGCACACGTGTGCTGCAAAGCAACGAGTGCAGCTGACAATATTTCAGCTGCAGATATTTGTTTGTGTAGTTCTGATATGAGGCTTAGACTTAAACATAAGTATACAGTTATTTTTTTCTTATTGTTTGAATGCATCTCAGCTCTTTAAATATTTTATTGAGCTTCTGTGAGGACAAGGAAGCAAAGAGGCTGGGTATTACCATGAACTTTTTTACCTCTGGTTTTGAATTCAGAGGTAATCTGGATAAGATTTGACTCTTGTCACCTTGTGGATTTGCTACTGTTCTATGTAGCATGAAACTGTGACTGAGCTCATTTTCTAAGTGAGTCTAAATCTACAAAGTGAGCCATTATTGTTTTTTGAGACCATAATGGTGTTTTTATGTGGTTGATTTATTGTCCGATGCATATGCAGTCCTTGGATCTGAAATATTTGATACTGGCTATAAATTATGAAGCACTGATGAAGTCAAAATTTATCCTGACAATGAGAGGAAAAAAGGGTTAACGGCAATATTTTGAACTCCATCCTGGAGCCCCTCCGACTTGTGCCCTCCTATCCCACTTTTAAAGTCTGTTTAAGACAATCCACTTTAACCGTATGTTCGGTCATCTTTCTGCCTCCCCCTCCCCCAATCAGGTTTATCCAAATTGTACAATTATATTTATGATTTAGATCAAATTGGAACAGGAGTCTTTTCGAAGCAATGAGATGTGTAACTTGCTTATCAAAGACATTAAAACATTTTATAATTCTGTTTCACTTTTTCTTTCAGAGATATTGGAAATATAGTTCAATCACTGTATGGTGCAAACCCACCACCAATCATGTTGATTGGTCATAGTATGGGTGGAGCTATAGCAGTTCACATTGCAGCCAGCATCCTCTTGCCATCTCTGTTGGCCCTCTGTGTAATCGATGTAGTGGAAGGTATGCTCTTTGAATTACTGTGAAATATAGAATCTTGTGAAATATAGAATATTTTGTTAATCTGTAGCATTTCATCGACCAAAATTAAAACTGTGTGTTGGCTTGGCTTAGAGACTTGCTCTGAATCAGAAGGTTGTAGGTTCAAATCCCACGTTGGAACTTGAATTCACAAAGTCAAAACTGACACTCCATTGTAGTGCTGGGGGCGTTGCATTGTCCAAGGTGCCATCTTTCGGATGAGGCATTCAACCAAGGTCAGGTCTGCCTGTTCAGGTGGACGTTAAAGATCTCCTGGTCAACAATCCCCCAAATAAAATAGGTCATTCATTTCATGGCTGTTTGTGAGACATTGCTGTGTGGAATTGTGCTGCTAAGTTTGTCTACGAATGCAGTCACCTCCATTTCACAGTAAATCCTGTGAAGCGCTTTGAAACGTCCTTCCAATGTGATAAGGCGCTATTACCTAATGAAAGGATTATTATTTTTATTATACAGGGTGACTGACCTCTGTTATAACTTAGTGGTTGGGTCCATGAGCTCAGTCGCAGTGTTTCCATGCATAGGAGAATCCTCTTTGTGGGGAGATAAGAAGCTGAGCTTGGTAACAGACTGTTGGTAGTCTGGTTCCTGCAGCAGGCAGAGCCACAGATGTCCTGGCACTGTTGATGCCAGCATGGCTCATCAGCAGGATCTGGAGGGGCAGACCAGTCACTGGAGCATTCTTCCCACTCAGCTCTTGTTAACCCTGCAAACCAAAGCCCTACCGGTTAGGGTGAACTTAGCTGGACAAGCAAAGGGAAGATTGCCACCCACAGTGCTTTCAGTGGCAAGCTATGTGGTTTTAACTGGTTATATTCCCAACACTGGAGTCCCCAAGCCTTGGCTCTTGACAAACTACACACAAAACACTCTGGAATTAGCTAAGCACGGTGTCCCTCTGGTGGGGGAGAGTGCACATTCAACCCAAGACACCAGGAAATTTCATTCTGTAGATGACATGCATATGTGGAACTCTGTCTGGTTTGAATATTGTTAAGCATAGTGATATGGGATTCCTTAAGTGTTAGACAGCAGCCTGCCACAAAAAAATCTGCATTAACACACAGGAAGTGATGAAAGTGGCATTTCCTGCACATGAATCTGACGAACAGTACTGCAGCCAGTTAGTGCCAGAAGTGTATCTTAGATAAACTGGGACTGTGATAATGTGGTTAAATTGTACTGTATTTAGTCAAATCTAAGGCTTTTTTATTGTAAAGTACCTCCCAATTCAGAATGCCCATTAGAATTGATGGAAAAAATTACATAATTCCTTTCTTTCCTAATAGCCTCTAAAATCTGCCAGCAACTTAAGATTTGAGTAAACTACATTTTCTAATTGATCAGTTGTGTGTTGCGAGTAACTAATGTCCCATGTATAAATTGATTTCTACTTAGCATTTGTGACTTGCATTTCTAGGTACAGCAATGGATGCTTTAAACAGTATGCAAACGTTTTTGCGAAGTCGACCAAAATCATTTGTATCAGTTGAAAATGCCATAGAGTGGAGGTGAGACTTATTTACCTTACTAAAAGCAAATACTGTAGTTTAACTTTGTTTCTTTGTGGTTGCTACTTCCCAACAGATACTCTTCACCAATCTAAAAGGGCAAGAATACCTGGAGATGTCCATGATATTCAAATGTCCCAATAGGTGGTAGTTTCATTTCCACATCAGCCAGTATTGAGTGAAACTGCCATTTAATGAGCAATTTTCTGCTTTGGAATTACATCCAGTAGGACTTCAAGGCTGCTTGAACCTTGCACACAGGTCTTACAACTAACGCTTTCTGGGGACAATAATCCCTTAAAATAAAATTTGGTAATTCAATCCACAATTTTTGTAATAATTCCTTCAAAAAATATAATAATTGGTCACTTCAATCCAATTCAGTCCCAATCGGCATGACTTCCAATGAAGGGGTTATGTGCTGCTTGCCCAACAAGAAAATCCAGTGTAATATTGTTAGGACACAGATATCCACAGCATAGTAAAACGGTTCTATTGATCTTTAGGTTTAATACAGGTAAAGGTCTGAATTGTGGGATGTCTGCATTCCAAATGGTGGTGATTCAGATTCTTCTATTGGATGGAGAAGGGGGAAATGATTTTCCCTCAATCTGAGGGCAGTGTTTCGTTTATTGCTTTCATCTCCAAAATGCATGTTAGCAACTCGGTGAGATAGAAAAGTGCTCCAGTATTCACTATCAATGTTTACACATGGATGTTAGTCTTTTGGATGATCTTGGAGCAGCACATCATAAGGTGTCCCAGAGACATTCACGAGGAGAGGGGAGAAAAATCACTCAGCACAACCTAATGGAAATATCAGATTAATTAGTTTTGAATGCAAGTTTACTGAAGAATGTAACTGCTTTGTGACTTCAGATTGAACAATTTAGTTATTTTCAATTTGTTTTTGGTAAATATCTTTTTCCATATAAAGTGTGTGTATATACAGTAGTAGCGCTCTACTATCTGCTATCCTGCGTGAAGAGTGATATACAAATGGAGGTTTTGTAGTCGCTTGGCTTCTCGTGGAAGCTGTTTTTTTTACATTTCCTTTTGCTTTTTTTTTCAGTGTGAAAAGTGGGCAGATACGAAATCTGGAATCAGCAAAAGTATCCATGGCTGGGCAAATAAAAAAGTAAGTATTTATGAGTCCGCAAATCACTGGTTGTCTATAATTCTCATTGTTGTTTATAGTACTTGCATTGTTGTAATATTGTAGGTTAACTGGCACAGTGAATAGCCTCCCAAGTGTGAAGATCATGGATTCAATCCTGGGACTTTGAACTTACATAGTTTAGGCTGCTACATACAATGCTGTGGGTGTTCTGCAATATTGGAGGTGGTGTCCTTCAAATGAGACATAAATCCGATGTCCTGACTACCCGTTCAGGTGGACGTTAAAGATTAAGCGGGAAGCTGTTATGATGTTAAGAGGTTGCAGAGGTAATAATAATAATCCTTGCATGTATATAGCGCTTTTCACGTCTTCTCGACGAATCAAAGCGTTTCACAGAATAGATTGTAAAGTGAATTGACTGTATATTTGTGAGCGAAATGCGGCAGCCAATTGTGCACAGCAGCGTCCCACAAACAGTCGTAGGTAGAAGCGGGGCCATGGAGGGCTTTGAAAGTGAGGATGAGCACACAGAACCAGTTTACCTGTGTGCGGATGGCATTGTACACATATTCCCAGAACCAGCAGTGCAGCAAAGTGGGATGCATTCACATTCCCTGAACCAGCTTACCAGTGTGTGAACCCCATAAACTAGCAATGTTCCTGTGAATGCTCAAATGTTCTCCTAAATTTCTGACGGCAGCATCACTTCCAATCTGTTACATAACTGTTCATATTTTATCTTGAAGATTCTGTGCTAGCTCTACTTTCCTTCCATAGCATGAAGTCAAGGCGAAGGCCAAATAAAGCAAATAATGGACTGACAAATGAATCAGAACCTTTTTTAAATTAGTTTCCACTGATAAATATCCTTTTTTGAGGGTGAAAGTCCATGTTTTTTTTTAAAAAGTCTTCTGAATTGTATTTATTTTTTAAAAAAAAACACCTGAATTCCTTAGTCATCAGATAGTCCTGTGTTATTGGGTAATCCAATTTTTGTGTCAAACCTTTTAGAATTATTTTGTTCAGTATTATTTTTCCCTTTACAGTTTAAGCGCTCTTGAGATGCTACCCTGCGTGGAGGGCGCTATACAAGTGCAAGCTGTTGTTGTGGCTACACGGCCAAAAGTGTTTTTGGCAATCTTCCCTCATTCTGATTTTAGTTAATAAATAGTTACTAAAAGGTACATAAGCTGGGGAACTCTACCACCAGATTTATAAACTGTCTCCTTTAGCAGTGTGCCTTGGATTTGTTCACCACTTTGCCGTGATGAGATCAGTAACTGATTCAGTGAGGATTTATGGCCCAGGGCTGAGATCAGTAACTTATTGAATGGGAATTTGTGACTATAGAACTGTGTTGCTATCACTGTAAAACTGTAGTCTATTGCTTGCTTTTCAAGATGTACCTATTTGACCATACTTAGGGTCATCTTTTCCCTCCCCATCCCCTTCAGCATCAACCCCCAGCTCGGGAGCCCAGCCAACAGTGTCCAGAATTGGGACGTTCTCTTGATGTGAAAGGCGCTATATAAATGCAAATCCTATTGTAGGTCATTGAAAACAAACCTAGATATATGTGTTCTTTGAAACTTCTACGTATGGTTTACTGTTTTGTAGATGTGAAGGCAAATATTTCATCAGTCCAACAGTTTCTTCCATGACAATTGATATACCTCTTGAAGAGGAGGATGAAGAGGAGGATGAGGAGGGACAGCACGTTGAAGTAAAACGAAAGGAAGAACCTCAACCCAGCAAAAGAAAGCAGATCCCTGAGGTAGGGATTTCTTGCTTTGTTTACTTCAAATATTAATATGGATTGGGAATGGTTAACGGGTGGGAAACAAAGAGTAGGGATAAACGGGTCCATTTCAGATGGCGGGATGTGACTAGTCGAGTGCCACAAGGATCAGTCCTTGGGCCTCAGCTATTTACCATCCACTTCAACGATCTAGATGAGGACATCAAAGTTAATATATCTAAATTCGCGGATGACACAAAACTAGGAGGAAGTGTCAACACAGAGGATGATATTAAAAAATGCAGCGCAACATAGATAGGTTAGGTGATTGGGCAGGTAGGTGGCAGATGAAGTATAATGTAGGGAAGTGCAAAGTCATCCAATTAGGTAGCAAAAACAATAGAGCAGGTTATTTTTTAGAAGGGGAGAGATATGGAATGTGTTAGCGTCCAGAGGGACTTGGGTGTCCTTGTACGCCAATCACAGAAAGTTAGTCGGCAGGTGCAGCAAACAGTTAGGAAGGCTAACAGTATGTTAGCATTCATTATGAAAGGAATAGAGTATAAGAGTAGGAAAGTCTTGTTGCAACCGTATAGGGCCCTGGTGAGACCACACCTGGAATACTGTGTGCAGTTTTGGTCTCCTTATTTAAGGAAGGATGTACTTGCCTTGGAGGGGGTGCAGTGTAGATTTACTCAGTTAGTACCAGGGATGAAGGGGGTGAGTTACGAGGATAGGCTGACCAATTTGGGCCTATGTTCTCTAGAATATAGAAGAATTCGAGGGGATCTTATAGAAACCTATAAGATCATCAAAGGGCATGATAGAGTAGATAGTGGGAGATTGTTTCCCTGGTTGGAGAAACTAAAACCAGGGGTCACAACCTTAAAATCAGATGCAGCCCTTTGCACTGAGTTGAGGAAGAACTTCTTCACTCAAAGGGCGGTGAATGTATGGAACTCACTACCCCAAAGGGCTGTTGACGCTCAGTCCTTGAACATATTCAAGACTGAGATAGATAGATTTTGTATTGCAAAAGGGATTAAGGGATATGGGGATAAGGCAGGGTCAGGTTATTAGCTGGAGTTAGATTAGAAGATCAGCCATGATTAAATGGCGGGGCAGGCACAAAGGGCCGAATGGCCTACTTCTGTTCCTACATATGTTATGTTATCACTTTAAGTGCCACTATCAAGTGTGCTGTGAAGCTACCCTGCATGAGGAGTGACATATAAATGCAAGTTGTTGTAAAGATATTAGTTTTTCTTTTCTCAGAGGGAAATTAACTGGAATAGGTTGCCAGAAGGATGGTTGAAGCCTTGACACTGGACTTGATTAAACAAAAGCTTGATGCTGTGATTGGAAGAAGCTAGGGTGGGTGTCCTGGAAGGACGAGGCTGTTCAGTTGGGCTGAAGGCCTTCTTCACTCGAATCGATCTTGTGAAGGCATCTCAATATCCTACAACTCTATTTTGGTTTCATTCATTTTCTCTCAGTGGATGTAGTGAATCGTTCCTTTACCCTTATTCTCCTCACCATACCGATTAATTGTACACTATGATGACACAAATGGGGGGGGCTGGGAAGAAAGGTAAGCTGATTCTCCTTGGGGCTGAGCTAGCTCCAAGGTGATGTGCTTGACAGTGGAATGTCAGAATTGAGGCAACCTTCTGTCTCTGTAGTCGAGTTCCTGAACCAGGCGGGTACACAGTACTCCAGGACACTGTTGATGACCGATCAGCAAGTCTGGCTTATCGGCATACAGGGAGAGCCAATGGGGGTGAGGATTATTCCTACTTGGGTCCTGTTAACCCTGCAAATCAAAGCCCAGATGGGTAGGGTGGTCATAGCTGGAGAAGCAGCAGGACGCTTGCCAGGCGGTGATCTAAATGAAACCTATACAGTTTTAGCAGGTTAAACTCCAGCAGTACCCAATATGGTGTATATCAAAGGTGTATTTTTTTAATCAGTAGATCGATCTCAAGCTTCTGTCTACCACATTTACTGTATTGCTCCTGCTAACTTGAGCTCTGCTCCTACCATTGTCAACTCATGACAATGTTAGCACAACATGGCTCACACCAAATCACTTCCAGCACCTCCACTGCACCTCATTGAGTTGTCACACAAAATCAATGTGACATAAGCCAGCAAAGATAAATTTGTTGAAGTAGACCTTTGTTATTTTTTTAAAAATCACAATGAACTTTTCTCCTTGGATGTTGTACAACACCAAAATTACAATTACATAGTGCCTTTCACATTGGAAGGGCATCCCAAGACTATAGATAGCAACTATGAATTATGATGGGAAGTGATGATTTATAAGCGAGTATAAACAAACTCTTGAAATGGGCCAACAATTTGCAATGTCAGCATTTGAGGGGTTATTCAGCCTGGCATCGCTGAGTGTGTTTTATTCCCTTTCCCTCCTAGGATTGTTCCTTGCATAATTCCTATTCATCTGGTCTCTTTTTGATGTTGTGGCAGTGTTGTACTTGATGCTCTATTTTATTTCAGGTATCTACAAATTGTGTTTATACGTGGCGTATCGACCTCGCCAAAACTGAGAAATATTGGGATGGTTGGTTCAGAGGACTATCTAACCTCTTCCTCGGTTGCCCAATCCCCAAATTACTACTGTTAGCTGGTAGGTGTTTTTTCTACTTTACATTTTTTTGCCATAACTGTTTGTGAGATGTTGCAAAAGTTTCTTTCTGTGATCTGATTATTGATTACTGTGCTTCTGTTTTTGAGGTGTTGACAGACTGGATCGAGAGCTCACCATTGGACAGATGCAAGGTAGTAAAAATATCTAGTTTGCTACTGGGTGTCTGAGATGTGGAAACCCATCATCATGCATAAGAGTATCCAAACCAGATTGAGAGTTCCACTGGTGTATGCCATCTGCACATGGAAATTTCCCTGTGTCTTGAATGGAACACCCACTCTTCCTGGAGGGATGCCCTTTCCTTACCTAATTAGTGAGAGTTTTAGGCACAGATTGGCAAAAACCAAGGCTAGAGTGTGTGTTTAGGGTACTGCTGGAATTTAACCAGCTAAAACTGCAAAACTTGCCATTGAGCGTACTTTCTGGCAAGCTTCCCACAGTTTGTCTAGCAAATGCTACTCTATATGCTTCAGTTACCCTACCTGCTACAGTCACACTATCCGTAGGGCTTTGGCTAGCAGGGTTAACAGCAGCCAAGCGGGAATAATCCCTTCTCCTAGTGACTGGTATGTCCTTCCAAGTCCTACTGACAAGTCAGGTGAGATGAGAGTTGATTGGCCCTTTGGGGTTTCAAAAGTACTTTGGTTGCATAATCAAATAAAACTATGAACTATCAGAAAACAGGTCTTTGGACTTTCTCCAAATTATGTAAACCAAAACCTTTGCAGAATTGGGGATCGTGACTCCAGTTTATTTTGGTTTAGGAAAGTTTCAGATGCAAGTTCTTCCACAGTGTGGCCATGCAGTGCATGAAGATGACCCAGACAAAGTAAGTATGATGTTTTTTTCCTTCTACAGACTGAATCTACAATTTAATTTTTTGCATGGTGCACAACAATGTATATGGGTGTCAGCCTTGCTCAGTTGGTAGTACTCTTGCCTCAGAGTCAGAAAGGTGTGGGTTCTGGCACCACTTTGGGTATTTTGACACGTATAAGTCTTGACTGACACTCCATTCAGTGTTGAGGGTGTGTTAGTGTTGGATATAGTCGTTAAACCAAGGTTCTGTCTGCCTACTCAAGTGGCCATTAAAGATTCCATGAAAACAGAACAAGAGTTTCTAATGGTCAACAATCCTTCAAATAAAATTGGTCATTCACTTCATGGCTGTTTGGGACAGTGTGTGCAAATTACCTATCACTTCCACCAACAAAATGCACATAATCACTGTATTTTACAGTATATTTTGTAAAACATTTTGAAATATCCTCCTGATATGAAAGGCACTGCATCAAATAACCAGACTTTTCTTTATTGTGTGTGTGTATATTATATGTATTGCCTGTGGTGGTTTATACATCACAATTTATGTAACACCTTTGATGTCCAGAGGACATCTCAATATAAATCCTTCCATTAAATTGCTGCTGCTAGAATTGATGTACTCGGTAGCAGCCAGACTGAAAAATGTTTCCTTATTTTTTAAAGCCCCACTATATAAATTTTAACCCCCTGTCTTCCAAGCAGGGAAGGGAAAACTACTGATACACATCCCAGCAAGGTACAGGGAAAGAGCAGAGAATTGAGACCAGGAAAGATGGCTTCATTGGAGGTACAAATGCTAACTTAGTACAGTGGGGTAAATGGCCGCCTACTATGTGATAGATTTCTAAGGTTTATGGACTTCAATGTTTTCAAATATTATAATCTTAAGAAAAGTACTCTTAAGCTTGGCAATAGGTTTGCACACGTGTCAGACATTCGGTTGATCAAAATACAAAAAGTAAACATTTAATTCTGCTTTAAATTTAGATGCAGATGTAACTTGACCAATGTCAAAAGGGTTTCAAAAAGGAACTATAAGTTCCTGGAATTAAAATAATTCATAATACTCCATGCATTTGTTATAATGTCTCTCATAATGTCAAGTCTCAAAGCATTTTACAGCATTTTCTGTGCAGTTAGTGTGTAGCTAAACACAGCAGCCAATTTGTGCAGAGCAATATCCCACAAATAGCTAGAATAATCAAGAAATTCCCTTTTTTCAAATTGTGCCATGGGATCTTTAACATCCACCTAAGTAGGCAGATTGGACCACAGGTTAACATCTGGTCTGAAGGATGGTATCTCTGACATTACTGTGCTCACCTAGTGATGCTTTGGAGTGTTGGCCTAGGCTGCAATCTTAAAGCCTCAATGTGGGACTTAAACTCAATCTTGAGATTCCAGTGAGAGTGCTACCAACTGAGCCAGGCTGAACACTAGATATTCGATGATAAGATGGATAACATTAAAATAATCTTTTGTGAAATGGAATGGAAAGGCAAGGTGAACCAGTGATCTATTCCTGCCTGAAATTTACTGTGTTACTAACTTTTTACAGGTAGCTGAAGCAATTGCTGCATTCTTGATTCGTAATAAGTTTACAGAAGCTAAGGGTGACATTTAATGGTAAGATACTTTGTTTTTCCTTAACAATATATTTTTTATAGTTTTATTTTTATACATTACTTATTTATTACTTTATTGGATTCTTTCGGATTCTTTTTTTAAAAAAAGAGTGCCTGTCTAAGTGTGTTATTTAAAGGAACATACTTTACTGGAAGGTACTGACTTGTGCTGGTAACGGTTTCATTGAGTGCTCACCACCCTCCAGTAATTTGTCCCGAGTTGTCGTAGTTCATGTGTGAGCTTAATAATAATAATAAATAATAATAATCCTTACATTTGATAAACTTAGGTGACAAGTGTCAGCACGTTTTTGACCACTGAACCTGATTCAATCTTCACTTGACGAGTGCAACTGCTCAACTTCAAACCAATGAAAACTGTAATAAGTTTAAGCCAAAGCTGTCTAGAATCTTCAGATTTATAGTTCGGTGGCTGCTGTGCAACTTTGACCTCTGGAGCCAAGAATGTATACATCTCCAAACAAGGGATAAGACTAAGAGTGGAGCAAGCGTAAAATGGCATATGGGATGCTACAATATACCTGACAATATCTTATGATTTAGGCATAATTATCAGGCTTTTTTGTTTACCCTTCCACCATGCTGAAGTTAAATTAGACATTAATTTCAAAGTTTGCATGCAAATTTGGTGTGAGTGAAATTGCGGCCCCACGCCAATCAGCTCTCATCCAAGCTGCATGGCGAACAACAGGCACAGCATGACATATGGGTACATCCACACGATCTCACCACTTTACACTATATCCTATGATTTGAGATGTCTTGATGATCTGATGAGGAGCTATAGCAATTGTGAGGATTATTATTATCTCTCGCCATTGGTTGGAGCCAATGCAGAAAGTACTGCAAGTGTGGAACAAAGGGTGAGTGTGATCCAGAGGGTGGGTGTGCTTTATTGGAATTTACAGAATATTATAATTAGCTAAAGTTCAAACTGCCTTTGAATACAATGAAGGAGAAGGGATGGGGAATATCGAGGGGGATAGGGATAGGATGAAGAAAGGTTGAGCTATATGTGGAGTAAGACAGATATGTACCATGATAATAAATAATTGTTGCATTTGATACAGCGTCTTATCGCATCATTGAAATATCTCAAAGCACTTCATAGAATGTATTGTATATTAGATTAACTGTGTATTTTGCAGGTGAAACTAGTTGGGTTGAATGGTCTTTTTTGGTCCTGTGCAAACCATGTATGCAATTCTATGTATGTAGATTAGTCATTTCAAAGCTCCAAACAGACTGCAAGTCCAGGGAGTGAGGTCAGGTCTCTGATTAGCACTGACATTCAGTCTTGGAGGCTGATTTCTGACACAGGAATCTGGAAGGTCATATTATAAATTGTATCATTTTAAATTATATTAAAGATATTGTGCTTCTCCATATCTCATCGTTGCCAGCTGTGCTACAATGGTCTGATTGGTACCCTTGCAGTGGATGTATTTGTATGTCCTGCTGTGTCTGTTCACCAAGCAGCTTATATTTCTTACTCTATGACTAGAGGTTGCCGACTGACATTAGTCACATTCTTCTTACCTTATCAAATCTTACTGCTCCGTCCTTGCCTCCGCTAAATCATCGTTCTGCTCCAAGACAATCTTGGAGCCACGGACAACCCCAGGCTCCTCTTCTCCATCACCAACCGGCTCTTCTGCCCACCCTCTCACGCCTCACCAATCCTCACCTCCAATGCCAACTGCAAGGCGATGCTTGACTTCCTCAAATCCAAAGTCGAGGGGATCCATTCAGCTGCCTCTGCCCTCCCATCTACTACTCCCTCCCCATCTCCCCTTCTCACCCTGGCCCCTACTCATCCCTCCCTCCACACCTTCAAATCTGTCTCTCACTCCTCTTTCATCACTACTATAACCCGCATGAAACCGACCACTTGCTACCTCGACCCCATCCCTACACATCTCCTTACCTCCCAGCTCCACCTCCTTGTCCCTTTACTCAGACATCACAAACCTCTTCCTGTCCACTGGTATCGTTCCCACCCTCTTGTAATAAAACGGCTGTCATCTCTCCTGTCCTTAAAAAAAAAATTAAAAAACCCTCCCTGGTCCCATTGCTGCTCTCAAACTACTGCCCCATCTCTAACCTCCCTTTCCTCTCCAAGGTCCTTGCTTCACTCATTTCTCTCTCGCCACTCCCTTCATGAACCACTCCAATCAAGTTTCCGTGCCACCCACAGACAGAAACCGCCCTGGTCCAAGTGACAAATGACCATCTGCCGATTCTGTTCATCTGTGACCAGGGCTTCCTTTGCCTCCTCGACCTCCATGACCTCTCTGCTGCCTTCGACACCGTTGACCACTCTATCCTCATCCACCGCCTCTCTCAACCTTCACAGCTCTGTCCTTAAATCGTTCAGATCTACCTCTCACACGTCCTCCACTTCATCTCCACAAACGTTATTTCCTCTAGCCCCCACACCATCTCGTGCAGCGTTCCTCAGGGCTTTATCCTTGGTCCCCTCTTCAACATTTATATGCTCCCTCTTAATGACATCATCCGCAGACATGGGGTCAAGTTCCACATGTAGGTGGATGACACTCAACTGTACCTCTCTGCCTCCACCCTTGACTCCAGGACCCACTGCTGTGCTGACAGATGTCTGTCAGGCATCAAGTCCTGGATGAGAGAAAACTTTCTTCAGTTGAACGTCAACAAGACCAAGGCTCTCCTGATTGGCTCCCATCATTGCCTCCACACTTCAGGCGCTGACAGCATCACCATCCACCTTACTAAGCCAGTCAAGAACCTTGGGGTCTTGTTTGACCCTCAACTATCCTTCCTACCCCACATCCATGCCATGACCCGCTCTGTCTTCCCCCACCTCCGCAACATCGCCCGGCTTCGCCACTATCTCACACCACAGGCCGCCAAACCCTCATACACGCATTCATTACATCGAGGCTTAACTATGCAAACTCCTTGCTTGTTGGCCTCCTCAACTCCTCTCTCCATAGGCTGCAGATCATCCAGAACTCTGCAGCCCGTGTCCTCTCCCGCACCAGGCTCCGTGACCCTATCGCCCCCATCCTCGCCCGACTCCACTAGTTTCCCACCACAGAGGATACAGTTCAAGATCCTGGTCCTCACCTTCAAAGCCCTTCATGGCCTCGGTCTCCCCTACCTCTGCGACCTCCTAACCCCCTACCACGCTGCCCGCGCTCTCCCCTCAGTGGGCTCTGGGCTGCTTCATATCCTCCGCCACACCCACCCCAGCATTTGCAGACGGGCCTTCTGTCACTCTGCCCCCACTCTCTGGAACTCCATTGTGCAGACCATCCGCCTCTCCGCCTTGCTTCCTTCAAGAGCAGTCTCAAGACCCTCTTCACCCGTGCTTTCAATTACCCTGCTTCCCCCCCCCCTTTGCCCTCCACCCCCCAGCTCGGATCCAAAACACTGACTGTCCAGCACCTCAGGACATCTTCTCAACGTGAAGGCACTATACAAATGTAATTTTTTTTGTTGTTCTTCAACTAATCAAATGTTAATTTTGGCCTCCTACCATCCCATGCCAAATACTCTCCTTAAAAAAAAAATAAGCCTAAGAAGGTCAGCTGAAACGATGTAGTGGTTGTCCTTAGTAGAACAAAATTAAATGCATTGTTAAATGAAAATCTGAGTAATCACAACATTCAATTATACATATATTATATCATTTAAATATATATAGATATATGTGTGTGACTTGTCTTGACATAAAGCATATTCAAAATGATCTGTATTTACATGTACAATTTGTTTTGTTTCAGCACTTTTCCTGGTTGTTAATAGACCTGGGCAGCCTTCAAATCCTTACTTTGACTGTAAATATGTTGCACCAGAGGCCACTGTGATGTATCCATGTATCGCCATCTGCCTGAGCAGAGCAATGCAGTGAAGCTGGGACTACAGAACTCCAAACACCTACTCCTCCGCATTGTTGGCCTGCATTCATGTGTAGAACCTGACTGATCTCACCATTGTGGGCACTACAGAATGGCCGAATAGTGCAATCTCATTCATAATTTAAAAGAAATTAAATGAGATCGATTCAGGAAAAAGTAATTATTTTTTTCTCCCTTGCACATGATCTGTTATATAGCCTGGAAGTGTTTTCCTTTTGTACATTTGTCCTCCAACGTAGTTGAGATGTATTGCAGAAATGAACAAGTGTTTTGCTGGGAGGTGGGGAAAGGCAACAATAAAGTTGAAGGTAAAAATGGAAAAGTTAACACAAACGTACAGGAGAACCCAAACAATGATACCAAGCTGCCAGATTTGATGTAATTTTAACCAGCAGATTGCAAATGTTCCTTAATTTATACATATACTGACCGCTCAACCAAATCTGAAATTGTTTTCCAAATCTATCTTAAGGATCCACGTTTATGGGCCTGAATAACAGGGAGCCAAATATTTTCCACATGTTCCCTGATGCCAACAAATGTTATTTATTTTTAGAATAAGCTTTTAACCAATCTGAAACTCTCAGTGTTTTTAAAAATAACAAAACAGTATTTTTGCCTCTGCATCTTACATCACAGCATCTTCCACTGCATTGACTTTCACTATTGCAAACAAATTTGGGCATTAAAAATCATACTTAAGAAGAAGCAAGAAATCTGTAGCCACCCCGCCCCCCCTCCCCCGAGATCAGATTTATGACCACTGTAAACCCAACAACCATGACCACTGTATGCTCAACTCTGTGCTCAAGTTCTTGTTTGGTTCTCATTCAAATGGAGGCACTACACATGATATGCAAAAACTATACCTGCCGTGTCTGGACTGGAGGTTTTTTTTTGCTTATCAGTGTGAAACGGCGTGGAGTACATGCTCAGTCCACGCAGTACAGAGGAAATGTGCCATGCTGTGAATATTCCAAAGATCCTATTTCAGAACGGAAGCCACATATTTATGCTCTGGAGCATTTCTTGTGTATCACCTTGGAGCAGAAGTTGCTACGGATTTCTCATGCTACTTTTATGAAACTGGAAACTCACAAAACACTAAATTAGTTGACTTTTTAAACTCTCTGAAGGGAAAAAAATCTGGTTGAATTATTTCAAATGACACAGGTCTTGGTATGATGATTGTGTATCTTTCACCCCTTGTTCTGTCTGTCAATGGTGAATCACAGCACAGAGTTGAGATAATAAATCTGTTTTCCATTACAAAATGATTGTTACACTTCCATAAAAAAGTGATTGCGATATTATTGATTTTACAAGCCATCAAAGATACCTCACGGCTACACTGAATTTGTCTGATGCATTATAGAGCAGACATTTATGTACTTAATTGTGTTCTTTTACGTGAAGGTGATGTTTTCGGGCTTCTAGCTTGCACTTGAGTAGAGAGCCCAGCAGCATGAGGAGGGAAGTGGAACAGAGTGAGAATTCTGCTAAGGAATTTGGTGAGAGTGGGAATTTGGTGCAGAAGGGGAAAGAGGTGCATAATTATAAAATATGTTATATTAAATAATGTAAAACATATCTTGGAATATGGCAGGGCAGCCAAGACCGGTTGCATGCACATGTTGAGAGGCTGGTGTCACCTCATAACACGGGAGGCTGAAGAGTTCATGGATTGAACGTTTCAGGAGGTTGGTCACCCCACAGCCACAGGATTCAGGAGAGTGAGTGGGTGACCACCCGGCATGGTAGGAAGAGGGGACGGGCAATGCAGAAATCCCCTGAGAGTGTGGCACTCACAAACCAGTTCTCTATTGAATACAGTCAGGGTAATAACACCTCTGGGGAGGGAGTCAAAAGCAAATTGATGCACAGGGGGACACGGGGAAGAGTGTCAATGCAGTTGTCATAGGGCACACAATGGTGAAAGGAGTAGACCGATGTTTCTGCAACCAAAGGCGTGATTCTTGCATGGTATGTTGCCTCCCCTGTGTGCCTCCCCTGTGCCAGGGTTGAAGACATTGCAAAACGTTCTACAGGGGGAAGGGGAACATCCAGAAGTTGTGGTTCGTGTTGGAATCCATGACCGGAAAAAAGCTGAGATCCTACAGGGAGGTATCAGAAGCTAGGGAGAAAACTAAAGAGTAGGACCTCAAAGGTAGTGCCTCGTACGAGTGAGTATCAAAACAGCAGGATCAACACATGAGGCTGGAGAAATAGTGCAGAAAGGAGGGCTTCAGGTTCTTGGATCATAAGGACCAGTTCTGGGAAGGTGGGATCTGTACATGATGGATGGGTTACACCTCAACAGAACTGGGACCAATGAGGTTTAGTGCTGTGGGGAAGGGTTTAAACTAATTTTGAGGGGGGAAGGGAATCGGGATGTAGCGTTAAGAGAGGACAAACAAGTTACATAGAGGGCTGGGAGAGACCAATAGCAATGTAGTAAGGAGTAATCCAGAAAGAGGAGGGATTAGACGGGGGGAGAAATGCAGAACAGACTAAATCGTGCATGTGTGTAAACAAATCAGATTGGTGAGCTGCAGGCTCAAGTTGCCACATGGGTTTATGATGTAGTGGTGTTAACGGAAGGACAGGAATGGGAGCTGAATATTCCTGGCTACAATAATAATAATCCTTGCATTTGATATAGCGCCTTTCACATCTTCTAGACGTCCCAAAGCGCTTCACAGAATATACTGTAAAGTGTATATTTGTGGGTGAACGCGGCAGCCAATTGCGCACAGTGATGTCCCACAAACAGTCATGGATTGAAAATGACCAATTTATTATTTTGTTTTGGAGGGATTATTATTAGGTGTGTGGAGTAAGGAAACTTGCCCAAGGTTTCGCCCTCTGCCTGGAATTGAACTCAGGTCTCTCACTTACAAAGCGAGTGCTCTAACCACTGAGCTACAGGACTCCACTGTATTCAGTAGGGGTAGGGAAGGAAATAAAGGAGGGTAGGTGGCAATATTGATTAAAGACATGGTTACGGCCCTGGAAAGGGACTAGAGTGTCCAAAAACAGAATCTATTTGGTTAGAGATAAGGAGCAGAAGTTAGGTGTATACTATAGACCACCAAATAGTCAGAAGGAGATAGACGAACAAATCTGCAAGCAGATTTCAGAAAGATGCAAAACCAATAGAGTAGTAATAATGGTGGCTTCAATTATCTTAACATAGGCTGGCAAAATAACAGTGTAAAGGGCAAGGAGGGGGAAGGATTCCTGAAATGTGTGCAGGATAACTTTCTGGATCAGTGTATTTCCAGTCCAATGGGGAAGGAAGCAGTGCTGGATCTCGTTCTGGGGAATGAAGTGGGACAAGTGGAGCGGATTTCAGTAGGAGAGCATCTGGACAACAGTGATCACAACATCATTAGGTTTAGAGCACTTATGGAAAAGGGACAAAGAACAATCAAAAGTGAAGATATTCAATTGGAAGAGGGATAATTTCAGTGAATTAAAAAGGGACCCAGCCAAGGTGGACTAGAAGTGGAGTCCTGTAGCTCAGTCGTTAGAGCACTCGCTTTGCAAGCGAGAGACCTGAGTTCAATCCCAGGCAGAGGGCGAAACCTTGGGCAAGTTTCCTTACTCCACACAGAGCCTAATAATAATCCCTCCAAAAACAAAAACAATAATAAATTGGTCATTTTCAATCTACGACTGTTTGTGGGACATTGCTGTGCGCAATTGGCTGCCGCGTTCGCCCACAAATATACAGTCAATTCACTTTACAGTGTGTTCTGTGAAGGGCTTTGGGACGTCCTCCCGACGTGAAAAGCGCTATATCAAATGCAAGGATTATTATTATTATTATAGAAAGAAAGATTGGCAGGTAAAACAGCTAATGAACAATGGGAAGCCTTCAAGAAGGAAATAGTTTGGGGACAAAACAAATACATTTCCACAAAAGGGAAAGGGACCAAATCTCCCTGGATGAATAAGGAAATTGGGATTAAAATAAAACCGAAAAAGGATAAATGTCAGGTCCAAAATACAGAAGATAATCAAATAGAATATAGAAAGTACAGAGGAGAACTGAAAAAGGAAATAAGAGAGGGAAAGAGATTGAGAAAAGATTAGCGGGTAATATAAAAGGGAACCCTCAGGTATTTTGTAAGCATATAAAGAATAAAAGGTTAGTCAAAGATAGGGTGGGTCCAAAAAGGAAATCTTGTGGAGGCAGAGGGCGTGGCTGACGTACTGAATGAGTACTTTGCATCTGTCTTCACAAAAGAAGATGCAGCCAATGCCACAGTATCGGAGAAGTTAGAAAAAATTGGATAAGATAAGAATAAACCGAGAGGAGGTACTAAGAAGGTTGTTGGTGCTCAAGGTAGATAAGTCACCCGGGCTAGAAAAATATGAGAGGTCGCAATGACATGATAAGGCTCTGTATCAAATGCAAGGATTATAATACAAAGAAGGTACAGGGTGAAAGTTTTCGACTTCGTTAAATGAAATTCCCCTCTTCACTGGTGTCTGAAGAGGCTGAGAGCACAGCACTACTAATAAATGAGTCCAAAATAAATTGGATTCTTAAAATATATATATATCTATAGATTCCCCGAATGGCCTGTTTCTGTGGTATAAATTCTCGTGGTTACAGGGATCTGCTACAGAACAAAGTTATCCAGTGTTGCAGGTTCAAATCCCGATCAGTGTCGATCCAAGGACAGCAGTTGGGGCACTATCACAGGCCGCACCACCCCTGGTTTAGGGAGGGGAAAATCAGCACCCACTCCTGTTTACCATCCACTGATCCCTGTGGAAGGTGCATGGGCACAGACAACAACAACAAGATTACGTTTGTATAGTGCCTTTCACGTCAGGAGGACGTTCGAAGTCGCTGGACAGAGTACAGCATTTCAGACCCGAATTGGGGTCAGGGGGGTAAGGGAGGGGAGGGGAAGGAGGGTGGCCGTGGAATGGTCGAAGAGGAGGGTCTTGAGGCGAGACTTGAAGGAGGCTAAGGAGGGGGCGAGGCGGAGTGACTGGGGATGGAATTCCAGAGATTGGGGGCAGAGTGGCTGAAGGCTCTCCCGCCACTGGTGGGGCGGGTGGGGCGGGGGACGTGGAGCAGGTCAGAGCCGGCTGAGCGGAGGGACATTGGGTGAGTGAGTACCAGGCTGGTCTGTTATACCACAGCCGTCAGGCACTCTGGTGATAAAGTTCACACAGGAAGAATGGCCATTTGAGAGAGTTGCAAACCCACACTCTTCATGTAACTCATTTACTGTGGGGTCTAATATGCACTTACAAAATAGTTAATTTCCCCCTCTCGCCGACCCTACACAACTTCCTCGCCCCCCCTCCCCCACCCCCCAAGCCTGGGTGCACAGCTGAATTAAGTGCTTTCAGACGACTTCCAAAATGAAAGGCACTCCTGTATGTAAATGCAAAAAGGTTAGAAAGTGAAATGAACGAAGATGGAGGATGGCACATTGCTCTTCGATGTTTTCTTTAGACACTTGGGGTGGCTTTAGTAAATAAAAATATTAGTGTGTCTGCCACTTTTGTTGCAAATTTGACTGCAATAAGTAAGAGTTGCACACATATTGTGGTTATCCACAACGTACAAATTGCTGGATTCAACCAACTTTGTAACCAGATGTAAGTGTTAACAAAATACTTTCCTGGTTTAAGCTGAATTTGTCCTGAAATTATTTCACCTAGCCTGGTATCTCTAGACTTATTTATCATTTATAAAATCCCCTATTACAGTACAATAATTCTGATAATCCTTGCATTTGATACAGCGCCTTATCACGTCATCGAGACTTCTCAAAGCGCTTCACAGAATATATTGACTGTATATTTTGTGGGTGAGATTCAGGAAAGCTTCAGGACAAGTGAATCTGGCCTCCAACCCAGTTCTGCACACTTTGATGGCAGATCTGCACATCCTTCAAACTGCTGCATTGCCAAAAGTGACTGCAACCAAGAATAAGAGTTAAAATTCACTATGAACCCAGCACACAAGATCCCAGGTTACCAACTTATAGGACTTTACACAGTGTATATGCGGAACAAGATCCACAAATGTTGTTTGGAACAGTAAATAATTTGCACTTAGCACCAATACACAAAGGTGATCATCTATTTTGATTTGAATCTATACTGTAAGTTTAGCGATTTTTTTTGAGTTTTTGGTCTCCAAAGCCTTTTTGCATGAGAAGTTTATTAATATTTCTGTGCAAAAAAAAAACTCAAATGGTTTCCTCTTGCATGAACGGAATAATTGCGGGTTCTAATTAATGCTGTTTTTTATTTCATAAATGACAATGAATGAAATTAAACAACTCTGGTAAAAGGACTTGAATTGTACTTGCATAGTTATAGTACGCTAACTCTCTGATGTAGGAAATTCGTAGAAGAGTAAGAATAAACAATGTATTTATGGATATTCTTTTTTTCTACGTTCATTTTAACTTTGTATTTTATTTGAAGGTTGTGGGTTCAACAACAACTAGTGACTTGCATTTATGTCTCGCCCTTCACTTGGGGCAGCATCTTCGAATTTATTCAAGCCCCCAGTCGGGACTTGAACTCACATAGTCCAGGTGGGCACACACTCCAGTGAGGCGCTGGATGTGTGTTGCGTTGTTGGAGATGCCATCCTACAGATGAGACATTAAATCGAGGTCCTGTCTGCCTGTTCATGTGGATGTTAAAGATCTCATGGCACTATTCGAAAAGAGAAGGGAATTTCTCCTGGTGTCATGGCCAACACTCCCTACACTTCACAGTATATTCTCGGAAGAGCTTTGAGACGTCCCAATGAAAGGCACTGTATCAAATGTAAGGGCGATGATGAGAATTATTGCTGTCGGTTTCAAACAGGCGACAAACACAAAGCCACATGGTCTGAGCTGCCAGTGGCTTTCACAAATCACAACTAACTATTTTGCGAACACTGTAAGTTAGACTCCACATTATAACCATCAATAAATAATCCTTACATTTGATATAGTACCTTTTCACGTCCTCGATATTTCTCAAAGCGTTTCACAGAATATACTTTAACGTGTAGGTGGACGTGAGTCGTGGGTGGACGTGGCAGCCAATTTACGCACAGCAATCTCCCACAAACAGCCATGAAGTGAGTGACCAATTTTATTTGGAGGGATTGTTGACCAGGACAACAGGAGAAATTCCCTTTTCTTTTCGAATATTGCCATGGGATCTTTAACAGGCAGACGGGACCTCAGTTTGGAGCATCAGCTTAGACTATGTGATTCCAAGTCCCGACTTGGAGTTTAAACCCACAACCTTTTGATTCAGAGGCGAGAGCGCTACCAACTAAGCCAGGCCTGACACGTAATAATCCAGTGTGACAAAAAACAGCCCAGTTATTATTTTAAAAAAATGTTAATTCCATGCTCTTGAAGGTGAAGACGGAAGTGTTGAAGAGATATTTCTCAGTTGCCATCCTATTTTTTCAGCTAACTGTCATACGTACACAAACCACAAGATGGAACCAGAAACGGTTTTTGGTGTTTAACTTACTATTTCACCCACAAAATACACACAATATAATAATAATAATCCTTGCATTTGATATAGCGCTTTTCACGTCTTCTAGACGTCTCAAAGTGCTTCACAGAATATACTGTAAAGTAATTGACTGTATATTTTGTGGGTGAAACGCAGCAGCCAATGGCGCACAGCAGTGTCCCACAAACAGTCGTGGATTGAAGTGACCAAATTATTATTGTATTTTTCTTTCTTGAGGGATTATTATCAGGCGTGTGGAGTAAGGAAACTTTCCCAAGGTTTCGCCCTGCCGGAAATCGAACCCAGGTCTCTCACTTGCGAGCCGAGTGCTCCCACTGAGCTACAAGACGCCTAAATTCTGTGAAGCGCTTTGAGATATCTCAACGATGTGATAAATTGCAAATATCAAATGCAAGGATTATTATTGCTACTAGATCGAAGGGCAGTACAGTGTTTGAGGGATTCGAGTTTTTCACAAATCAGGCGATTGTACAGTATAACATTGTTTAAGATACTCATCTTAGAACAATAGAACCATAGAAATTTTCAGCGCAGAAGAAGCCCATTGGCTCATTGTGTCTGTGCCAACAACAAGCTACAACAACAACTTACACTTATATAGCCCCCTCCACGCCGGCCGGCGTCTCAGAGCGCTTAACAATGGCGGACCCCAAGGCCGAGCCTGGGGGAGGGGGAAGGTGACCGTAGGCGCGGTTGAAAAGGAAGGTCTTCAGGTGTGACCTAAAGATGGGGAAGGAGGGGGCGAGGCGAAGGGGTCGAGGGAGGGAGTTCCAAAGTTTCGGGGCGTGGTGGCTGAAGGCACGACCGCCGATGGTGGAGCGGAGGATTTGGGGGACAGCTACCTTATGTCGAGAATTTCAATCCCATTTATCTGCCCTTTTACCCTTGTAGGTTACTCCTTATTAACTATCTATTTAGATCCCTTTTGAAAACTGCATAACGCATCAATGCCAAAGCAATGATAAAAACGAGGGTCAGAACTTATGTCCTACACATCAATCCTCGTAAATGCATCCAAGTCATTTTACATGTTTGAGCCATACTCATGATTTTCGCAACAGTCAGCAGCTAACAAAAAAATACATCGGAGGTGCTCTATTCGTAAAGACAAAAACATTTTTTTTTCCCCCCTTTCATTTTAAGCAACATTTTGCTTCACTACTTCTCTCCCAAGGAGGCCACCCCCACTCTTACCGCACATCGCATGCCTCATTTGGGATGATTGAATGGTCCAAACCGGCAGACGTTTTCATGAAAACCCATCAGTGATTGTTATTCCAGGCTCCACTGGCTCCTAGTTCTCCGGCAGATTGACCTCCAAATCCGTGCTCTAACCATCAAATCCCTTCACAGACTTGCTCCTCTCTACCTTGGTGATTTCCTCCAGCATTATTTTGTCTCTGTTCACTCCAGTATGGTCTACAGCTCATTCTGCAATTCCACCGTCCCACCATTCAATGCTATAATAATAAAAATAGAAGTCGCTGGAAACACTCAGCAGGTCAGGCAGTATCTATGGAGAGAGGAAAGTGAGTTAACGGTTTAGGCCGATGACCTTTGGTCAGAACTGCGAAAGGTTCTGTGAAAGGTCATCTACCCGAGACTCATTTTCATGACCGTTTCTACCTGACTCCGAGACACTGTCTCGTGTGAAGGGCCCTATATAAATGCAGGTTGTTGTTGCCTGCTGAACCCACTTCAAACTCTATTAGAATTTGGCTTCTGTGGAGGTGACAGAATCATGGTTTAACACATGGCTCCTGGTAGCAATGTGCAAACAGCAAAAAGGAAAGGGAATGAATGCAAAGCATTATTCGTACATACTGGCATGTATATACGTGTCAAATAACTCTATTTAACCAAATAGAGATTTGTGGTGTTTGTAGGGTGACAGTATATTACTGAAAATGTCTTGGGTCCTTTCTGAATGTGAAATGTCCTTTGCAGCTTTCAAATTAGGAATTATCTATCAATAACTCTGTCAAAATGTTTCTGACTAATTTTGTAAGACTTTTGATAATACTACTACTGATAATCCTTGCATTTGGTATAGCGCCTTATCACATCACTGAGATGTCTCAAAGTGCTTCACAGAAATAGACTGTAAATTGAGTTGACTGTATATTTTGTGGGCGAAACGTGGCAGCTAATTGATTTATGGGTTCTTGCAAATAAATTACAAATCCTGTAGCTCAGCAGTTAGAGCGCTCGCTTTGCAAGCAAGAGATCTGGGTTTGATTCCGAGCAGAGCGAAACCTTGGGCAAGTTTCCTTACTCCACACGCCTGATAATAATCCCTCAAGAAAAAAAACAATAATAAATTGGTCATTTCAATCTACGACTGTTTGTGGGACACTGCTGCGCGCAATTGGCTGCCGCATTTCACCCACAAATGTACACTCAATTCACTTTACAGTATATTCTGTGAAGCGCTTTGAGACATCTAGAAGACGTGAAAAGCGCTATACCAAATGCAAAGATTATTATTACGTCTTAGTTTGCTTAAATAACTATTTATTTTACATTAATTTAAATTTATTGCTACTGTAGCAAGGAAGGAGGTGGGTGGCGTGGCTTATCACATAATAATAATAATAATAAGAGTCAAGCGCTTCACACAATATACTGTAAAGTGAATTGACTGCATATTTGTGGGCGAAATGCGGCAGCAATTGCGCACAGCAGCGTCCCACAAACAGTCGTGGATTGAAGAGACCAATTTATTATTGTTTCGCCCTGCCAGAGATCGAACCCAGGTCGCTCGCTTGTGAGGCGAGTGCTCTAACCACTGAGCTACAATCTCCGGGATTTCCATGTGTGGGTGGGATGCATGGAATTCTCAGTTTGCTTTGGTTACTCTTAAGCACAGGGATGGGTTCCCGCATGTGTCAGATACCCCGCTGACCAAGTAAAAATCTGCGCCGTAAACTTCTGTGTTTTTACCACAACAACAACAACCTGCTCACTGTTCTTGAGAAGTTAGCAAAATGCAAAAAAAAAAAAATACACTCTGCAACATCAGCGCTTGTTTTACTGAGTTCCCTCCGAAAAAGATCACCCCGAGTGTTAGAAGAATCACTGTACTTTTTAATTTAGGAAACATCCATAAAATGGGGCGGGGATGCAAGTTCAAACTGTTACACGCGGTTCATTTCTTTCTTTTCGCTCCATTTCGGTTCTTTTCCCCACGATAATCGCGAGTCAAGAGTTTCCGCTCGCGCGATTTCCCAATGCAGTCAGGGGTGGACGGGAGCAGCAAATGAACAGGAATGTGTGGAACACATTCCTACTTCCAGACAGCGTGCGTTTTCCATGCTTAAAAAGAGAGCTTTACTGCCCTGAATTAGCAGCCCCTCAGCTCCACTCTTCAGATCCAAGAGAAAGGCTGAAATGTCTTTGGGCAAAGGTCACTTTTCCTCACTCCAGTCCAGGCAACCCAGTTCCCTTGAAGGTCCTTTCTAGTCGTTGCTTCAAAAACACATGCTGCCACCCCCTTCGCCACGCACAAGCTGGGCTCTCGTACTCCTAGTGGCTGATTGTCTTGTGGTCTTATCTTACTCCTCAGGGTCGGGTCCACATCTCCTCTGGAACTCCTGCCCATGTTCTCGGATCCACTTGTTGGCCACTAAAAAAATACAAGCAATTGTTACAAGGCAACTGTGAAATGCCCTTTGGGGTCAAGTCCGCCACTGTTAAGTGCTCTGAGATTCTACCCCCTGTGTAGGGAGCTGTATAACCACAAGTTGTTCATATAATATGTTATAATAAATGATTATATTACACAATAAAACTCATATACGTCATATCAGTCGGGACCATAACATTTAATATGACTTACACAAAGTCCGCGTTACAAGCAAAATCCGATTTAATCAACAATCTACACTGCGGATGCGTAATTCAATGCAGCCTGTAAGTGCGCATGCGGTGATGGATCACGACTATATTTCCTTCGATTCAATGCGTCTTGACCTGTCACCGCATGTGCACCTCCTGGTAAGCATTGGAATCGCACTGAGTCGTGGGAATTGAAATTCTTCTGCACGGGCATCGATGGGTCAAGACGATGTTTCCCGCAATTCGATGCAGCCGGTACGTGTGGGAGTAATGGAGGATAGGGGAGCAGCATTACGAATTAGAAGGTGATAAATACACGAGTGCAAAGAAATCTAAATGGTTTTGATGGGAAACTGAATGGGACTCGGGTGGATGTACGACTTAGGTGATTATACAACTCATAAAGATAAGACTTATGTGAGTTTGATTGTATTATAGTTTTTCCTACAAAGTACACAGTGTCTGTATATTACAGTCTATCCTGTAAAGTGCTCTGAGGACGTCCTCCTGATGCGAAAGGCACTTTACAAATGTAATTTTGTTGTTTTTAAGAACTGAACAATACATGCATGCCCAGTCATACACTTAGATTAATATTTATTCATTACACTCCAGCAAAACAAACCCTGAAGCTTCAGGAATTAAGTAGCTATAATAAGGAATCTGAGCACAAGTGGTGACTCCTTGCAGCCTCACTCACTCCCTTGCCTCCTTCAAATCCCATCTCAAATCCTTCCTCTTTGACTATGCTTTCGGTCATCTTCCCACCCCCACCTCACCCACCCCCCCCCCCCCCCCACTTGCCCTCCACTCCTTCATTCAACCCCAGCTCGGGTTCAAACCCTTGATTGTCCAGCACCTTGGGATATCTTCCTGACACGAAACTCGCCATATAAATGCAATTTGTTGTTGATGTAACTAAGAATGCTACTCACTGTCCCACAATCCCAGAGCAGAGTTAGAGGGAATTCATTTTTTTATGTATTGTGTCCAATTAATGTTCTAATATTCTCCCCGTGTCCTGCCAGGGAAATTGGTCATTCATTTCTGGGCTCTTTGTGGGAATTTGCTGAGTGCAAATTGGTTGCTATGCTTACCTACATACAAATGGCAGTCAAATTGACAGCAATTTCCTGTGTATAAAAAAACTATCCTTGCATTTGATACAGGACCTTTCATGTTGGGGGACGTCTCAAAATGCTTCACAGGATATACTGCATGGAGCAATTATATTTTTGAAGGCAAAATCTGGCCACCAATTTTGCCACAAAAACAGCCGTGAAGTGAATGATCTACGAAGAAGTCCTTTGTGACATTTCAAAGTTATTGACCCTTTACCGAGGCAAGGATTATTATTTAATAAAAGCAAGCGTTCTGGGGTGCTATGCTATGTGAGGGGCACAATATAAATGCAAGTTGTTTTTTTTTGCATGTTGAAAGCTAAATCGATGTGCGAGGCTGATGCGTGGAGCTAAAGAGAAGGTGAGAAAGCTGTGCTGGAGCAGCTGAGGGACATTCCCGAGCGATGTGTCATGTTGTTTTAAAGGCAAAATGCAAGGTGGTGTTAATGATCTGCAGCTTGAAGCCCTGAATGCCTGGCTCAGCGGGCACCAGTTTATTGCCTGGCTAACAAGAGCTCGGTTGTTGGCTAACAAGATGGAGCAAATAAAAATGTTTTGACTGTACCATTGGTCAACACATTAAATAAAATGTGTTTTCCCAAATCACTCCCAGAACTTCATCCTTCCTACGTGAAATAATAACCCTTGCAGTTGACACTCAGCGTCTTTCACGTCAGGAGGATATCTTGATAGCTCTTCACAGGATTTACTGTGAGATGGAGTGACTTTGTATTTGTGGGCAGATGCGGCAGCCAATTTGCATGCAGCATGATCCCATAAACATTCAATTTTATTCAAGGGCTGTTGGCCAGGACATCAGAATAATGCCATGGGATCTTTAACAGAATGATAATAATAATCCTTGCATATCAGGAGAATGTTCTAAAACACTCTGCAGGATTTACTGTGATTGTACATTTGTGGGTGAACACCGCAGCTCAACTGCACACACCCAATGCCCCACAATCAACCAATGAAACAATTGACCGATTTGATTTTGGGGGATTGTTGGCCAGGGATACTGGGACAGAGAAACTCCCTTATCTTTTTGAGTAATGCCATGGGATCTTCAACGTCCATCTGAACAAGACGGGACCTCGGTTTAACGTCTCATCGGAAGGACGGCACCTCCAACCATGCCCCTCGCACTGCATTGGAGCGTCAACTTAGATTCTATGACTTCCAAATCTTGACATGGGACTTGAACCCACAACCTTCTGACTCAGCCAGACTGACACACCAGCTGTGATCTAAGTGCGTGCTTGCTCTTTCCACATCCCTTTCTGTGTTAGTGCACAGTCCGCATCCCTATCTGTGTTAGTGCAGTGAGTAACTGCCTCCAGAATCAGTTTTGGATCCAGCGGGGTCTGGGGATGGAAGGTCTGCAGGCTGCCTTATCAGTTATAACCTTGTCAGTCTGGCTCAGTTAGTGTAAAGCCCCACATCAGGAATTTGAGCTCACAGTCGAGAGTGACAATCCAGTAATGTGCTGAGGGGTGGGTGGTAATGCCTTCCTTCAGATGAGGCATTAAACTGTGCCTATGGTCACCTCCCCCCTCCCCCCGGCTCGGTGTTGTGCTCCGCCACTGTCAAGCGCTCTGGGGCACTATCCTGCGTGAGGGGCGCTATATAAAGGTAAGTTGTTGTTGGGTGTTAAAGATCCCATGGCACTCTATGAAAGAGAAGGGAGTCTCTCCCAGTGTCCTCGTCAAAAATCCCCCCACATAAAAATTGATTTCTACTTCATAGCTGTTTGCAGGACGTTACTGGATGCTGTCACTTTCGCCTACAAAGTATACAGTCCCCACACTTTACGGTGAATCGTCCTGACCTGAAAGTTGGTACAACAAATGCAAGGATTATTAGACCTTCCTTTTCGGTCTCCCTCCTACTCCCACCCTCCCCGCCCTCCACTCCCCCTGATCCTAACCCCCCAGCTCGGGTGCAAATCCTTGACTGTCGAGCGCCTTGGGACATCCTCTCAACGTGAAGGTAATTTGGTCTATTTTGTAATCTGAAGCTTAAAATTCATCGTGTTCTCAGTTTTAAGGCCATTGTCTTAAAATTTATGAGCCTGCAGAGTTTTGCAAACTTCTCAAATTCAGTCTTGATTTTGAAGCCAATTTTCCCCGGACTTTAACCAGCCCTATGGAGGGGGAATTGCGTCTCCAAGTCTTAAGACCAAATTAAGATTTTTTTCTAAAATCTCACACAAACTTAAATTTTAAGAGAAAAGCCGTGAGGCTAATAATAATAATCCGATTTAGCCTTATCACCTCATTGTGGGTTGTGACATCTCAAAGCACTTCACAGAATATATTGTGAAGTGAATTAAGTGTGTATTTTGTGGGCGAATCACGGCAGCAGTCGTGGATTGAGTGACTGGATAAATTATTATTTTTTTGGGTTGAATTATTACCCCGGAAAGCGGAGGTAATAATCCCTCCAAAGTAGTAAAAACATGAGGCGTTCCAGGCTTCGCCAGTGCAAATTTGCAACGTGGTGTCCAGATACAAATGGACAAATATAAAGTGAATTGTCCAAATCTTCTGGTTTGGCTATTGTGCTGCTGCAGTGTTCTTTGATAATCCAAACCAAATGTGAGTCAGGTTCTGATTAAAACATAAAGTCTTCCGCATAATGAGAATTGTTTTTCCTCTCCTCGCCAATTTGTACAACTCTCCTCTTCCACTGAAGGGATTTGAGCACTTTTCTCCCATCCTCCGAGTTGTATAGAATGGTACAGCACGGAAATAGCCATTCTGTTTAGAGAATGTACAGTAAATCCTGTGAAGCCTTTTGTGACGTTGCCCTGATGTGAATGGTGCTGTGTGGAGTCCCGTAGTGAATTGGTTGGAGTTCTCGCCTCGCAAGTGAAAGGACTCAGGTTCGAGTCGCAGGCAGGGCCAAACCTTACTCCACACGTCTCTGTTTACCTAGTAGTAAGTAGGAACCCAGTTGTTTGTTGATTGGCGGATCACTTTCTGGGGTAATAATCCCTTAAAAAAACTAATAATAATTTTGGTAACTCAATCCACGACTGTGTGGCATACTGCTGTGCGCAATTGGCTGCCACAATTTGCCCACAAAATATAGTTAATTCACTTTACAGTATTCTGTGAAGCACTTTGAAACATTTTGATGACATGATAATGCACTGCATCAAATGCAGGATTATTATTATTATCATGTTGAATGCAAGATTTATTTATGTTTTGAATAGTGCCATGGATATTTTTTAACGTCCACCTGAACGGGCAGACGGGACTCGATTTAATGTCTCATCCGAACGACTTCAATACTGCAGTGTGGTGTCGGCCTAGACCGTGCACTCAAAGACTTGACACGAGGCCATGTTCTTTAGAAAGTGCGATGCACAGCGAATGTACTTTATCTCCCTACTTACCCCATTTGTCTCCCACAAGCACAGGACAACCAGCGTGTAGTGTGTCTTTGTTTCCTTGTCCGTTTCTGTGTAGGTTCCACCAAAACAAAGCTGCATTCTAAAAGTAGAGCAATCATACGATTTGGAGTCAATCTTCATCAGACACAAGGCTGTGTTTATTTAAGAGCAGACATGGTTAACACCAGACCATATCTGGTTAACATCAGACCAAACACTGGTAACATCAGACCAGAGTTCTGGAGCTCAGACGTTACGTAATTAAAGGTACATCTGCAAACAAGAGGTGCGAGCTGACTATTTTATTTCGTCACTGCCCACTTTCAAGTCAGGTGGTAAATTGTGTAAAGATGGCCTGCAGTAGAGCGAAGAGGATTTAGCTGGCGCTTAAATAATCGCATCTCAATTCAGCACTGTTTATCTAAGAGCCAAAAGTTTGGGCCACAAAATTCACTTTGCAATATATTCTGTGAAGCGTTTTGAGATGTCTCAATGACGTGATAAGGCGCTATATCAAAAGCAACGATTATTATTATTACTATCACCGGATTTGTGATACATTGAGTGTGAATGTACTGTCCCTTACACAGAGGGACTAGAGAGGTTTCCGATTTTTATTTTGTTTAAACTTTTCAAAGTGGGGAAGTGTTATTAAACTTTCAGGCAGAACCAGATCAGCAGCTGCTTCCTTTATATTGGGCTATAAATCAAAAAAATCAAATTCAGTCTGAACTTTGGAAGTTGACAAACTCCTGCACCATCTGAATGGTTAAAATTTAATTCCAGTCTTCAACTTCAAGACAACTTGGAATTTCGGGCCTCACTCAGGCTTCCAACTTTGTTTTTCACAGATAAATATAATAATAATTATCATCATCAAAATAATAATATCTGGACAGGAAAAATATGGGGGGAGGGGAGAGGGGGGCGGTGGTCGGGGGGCAGAGGGGAGGCAGGAGAATGGGATGGAATGGATTACTCTTTCAAAGAGCCAGAACAGACAGAACAGACCCAATGGGTTGAATAGTCTTCTTCTGGCTGTAATTTTGTTATGATTCAACCCATCTAATCTCATCCCTTCAAAACACCCACCTACCACCCCCCTCCATCACAGCATCAAGCTGATTTTCAAATGAGTCCAGTGTTCCAGCCTCAGTCACCTTTCCTGACAGTCTGGTCCAGCCATTAGTTCCCCTCTGGATGAAAAAAAGAACTTCTCACTTTCCGTCCTGAAATTGCCCTTCACAACTCCAAACCTCTGTCCTCTGGTTCTCCTGACTCGGTGCATCCTAAAGTGTGGGTTTACTTTTCCAAACCACCTGTAGAAGGTTAGTCTGAGTCGTCTTCTCTCAAAACTGAAGAGCCCTGATTTGTCTAAACATTGCAGCATCATAGACTGAATGATGAGCACTGCCACATTACACTGACCAGACTTCTGTACTGTACATTTCTATGACTTCATGGTTCAACATATTAGCACCAGTTCATATTTTAATGATAACAGCTATTGGCCTAACATGACTTGTGAAATGTGGCTTAAGTCAAAATAAGGATATTGACAATATAATATTTATTACATATAACGGAGATTAACAACTAACCTCTGACTAAGATCAGCGAAAAAAAAATATATAAGTGTTCAGTTTACCTTGACCACAGGCACACTGAAGTTAGCGTAAATGAAAGCAGTCGATCCTCCAGCTTCCACCGCACTCAACTAAAACAGACACAGGTCAGGATGAAGCAGAATAAAAGATAGCTTTTAAACCACAGAGTGTGAGGTGAGTGCATCACAAACAAACAAACTGCATTTGTATAGCACCAAAGTGCTGGACAGTCAGGGATTTGGACCTGAGCTGGGGGTTGGGATCAGGAGCGGTGGAGTGTAGGAGGGTGACTGAAGGCGCAGTCGAAGAAGAGGGTCTTGAGGTGGGCCTTGAAGGAGACAAGGAAGGAATTGAGGTGAAGGGACTGTGAGGTGGGTTTCTAAAGTGGGGGAAGGTTGGGGTGCAAAGAGGCTGAAGGCCTGACCCCTGATGGTGGGGAATTAAAAAAACGAATGGAATGTCACCCCATAGGCCTTCCTCAGCTTCTCCAATACTTAGTGTCACTTGGGAGCACTCTCCTCTCTGAGTTAAGAAGGTTGTGGGTTCAAACCCAGATTGTTCAGGATTGATAGTCCAGGCTGACACCCCAGTGCAGTACTGGGGGAGCACTGCAGTGGATGAGACAACAACATCAACAAAAACAACAAATTGCATTTATATAGTGCCTTCCACAACGGGAGGACATCCCAAGGCTCTGGACAATGTGGGGTTTGCACCCAAGTTGCAGGTTGGAATCAGAGAGAGGGGAGGGCAAAGAGGGAGGAGGAGGGGAGATGACAAAAACACGGTCGAAAAGGGAGTTCTTGAGATGAGCCTTGAAGGAGACATTAAACATTAAATAAAACATTAGTCATTAAAGGTATTAAACTGAGGTCATGTTTTCCTGTTCAGATGGACGTTAAAGATCTCCGACATTGTCCTTAAAGCTCGGGCTCCTACACTGGCTTTGTAGCAGACCTGGGGCCACGGGTGAACGAGTGGGCAGTGACTGGGGCAAGGATCGAAGGCTCGGTCGACGAATGCGGGGCAAGGTAGGCCACGTACAGAGCAGGGCCATTTGTGGATCCAGGCGAGGAGACGCAATTTCGAAGCACTCTGAGATGCTACCCTGTGTGGAGGGCGCTATATAAGTACAAGTTGTTGTTGTTGTTGTACCGGGCTTTGAGACGTTCGCCCGAGATGAGAGGCGCTATGTAAGTCGGCTGATGAGTACTTACATATATCATGAATGTCGCCACTCGGTTACCAGACTTCATCCTATAGAGCGGGCTGTTGGGTGACTAAATGTAAGAACAAAAATGAAAGCCTTTTTAAAACAAGCAAGTACTGTATTTATCTCCAGGGTTAAATGTTGGGCAATGGCTGACAGTCTGGGAGATGGTGGAATGAGGAGCGAGGAGAGATCCACACACATAACCCAAGTTCATGCTTGTGCTGAGAGGCGTTGGAAAGACACCCGGAACTAGAAAGAGTTTCAGAACGGAACTGAATAAGTGACTGTCAGCCAAAATAATTTATGGGTTACAGAGAGTTACATAGAGTGACATGGCTTGGAAATGCTGGTGTTTATACTCCACATGAGCTCCCAACCCTCCTCTACCTCTCTATTCCTTCCTCTTCATCTCCCTCTGCTCTCCGAGACACCGTTATATGTGAAGGCTGTTATATGAAAGCAACTTGTTGTTTTTGCTTGCGTCAAGTGTTTTCTCAATTAGCCAACTCTCCCCTACATAAGTTGCAGACCATCCAGAACTCTGCAGCTCATGTCCTCTCCCGCACTAAATTCTGCAAGCCTATCACTCCCATCCTTGTCTTGTTCCACTGGCTCCCCAGCCCCCAGCGGATTGAGTTCAGGCTTCTCATCCTCACCTTTAAATCTTCTGTGGTCTCATCCCACCCTATCTCTGTGACCTCCTCAAATTATACCTACCCGGCTGCTCACTTCTCTCAGCGAACTTGACCTGCTTCATGTCCCTGCTGCCCTACCCACTGTCTTTCAGCCTTTCTGCCCCTACTTTCTGGAACTCCATCTCAGAGTCTCTCTGACTCGCTCCCTTCTTCACTTCATTCAGGGTCCATCTCAAGACCTTCTTCTTTAACCGCGCCTTTGGTCATTTTTCTCCTCCCCAATCGGCTCCACCAAGGAGAACTGTCAAGACATCCTCCCAACATGAAAGGCACTGTATAATGTAAACTTGTATTGTATTGGTGCTATTCGCGTCACCAGAGTAATGAGATTTAGAGAGAAAAATCATTCTGGAAATTGGATGGGTCTGGAAACAAGACCAAACATAGATCAATAATAGTTTTTGTTAATGTGTAATCATATTTTGCCTGGTTCGATTCCTATCTCTCTCACCGTCTTCACTTTGTTGCCTCTAACAGTTTCTCCTCCAGCCCCCGCACTGTTACATCTCTGTCCTTGGCCCTCTCCTCTTTAATATCTCCATGCTCCCCTTTGGTGACATCATCCGCAGACATGGGGTCAACTTCCACATGTATACGGATGACACCCAACTCTATTTTTCTGCCTCCACCCTCAACTCCAGGACCACTGCTGTCCTGACAGACTGTCTGTCGGACATCAAGTCCTGGATGAGGGCAAGCTTCCTACAGTTGAATGTGAACCATACTGAGGCCCTCCTGATTGGCTCACACCAGCGCCTCAGCACCTCAGGCTCTGGCACCATCAACCTCCATGGTTGCACACTTCAACTCACCAGCCAGTCAGGAACCTCGGTGTCTTGTTCGACCCTCAACTGTCTTTTCTTCCCCACATCCAAGCCATGACCCGCTCTGCCTTCCATCACCTCCGTAACATCGCCCGACTCCGCCACTACCTCACCCCTCAGGCCACTGAAACTCTTGTTCATGCCTCCATCACCTCCAGGCTCAACTATGAAACGCCCTGCTTGTCGGCCTTCCCAACTCCTCCCTCCACAGATAATCCTGAACTCTACAGCCCGTGTCCTCTCCCGCACCAAACTCCGTGACCCCATCTCCCCCATTCTCACCCGACTCCATTGGTTCCCTGTCCTTCAGAGGATTCAAGATCCTGGTCCTCACCTACAAAGCCCTCCATGGCCTCGCCCCACTCTACCTCTGTGACCTCCTAACCCTCTACCAACCCGCCCGTTCCCTCCGCTCAGCCGGCTCTGGGCTGCTCCACGTCTCCCAACCCACCCGCCCCACCATTGGCGGGAGAGCCTTCTGCCCCCAACCTCCGGAATTTCATCCCCCAATCACTCCGCCTCGTCCCCTCCTTAGCCTCCTTCAAGTCCCACCTCAAGACCCTCCTCATCGACCATGCCATCGACCACCCCCCTCTCCTCCCTTCTTCCCCCTGACCCCAGCTCGGGTCTGAAATGCTGTACACTGTCCAGCGCCTTGGGACGTTCTCCCGACGTGAAAGGCTCTATACAAATGTAATCTTCTTGTTGTTATTTTACTCTAAAATATAATACTTTAGTTTGGAACAAAAAACACGTGTTTTAGTGAATACAACACGTGGTGGGGGGTTGGGGAGGATAACGATAGTAGAATTTGGATCATGGTGTTCCATATTAATTTATTTCAATTAAAGCAAGATGAAATACTTCAAATTAAAACAGTCTGGAAATATCTTGGGGTTTGCAAGCACGAGCCAAAGGCTGTTAGCACATTCTTTATGACTGAATTCTGTGGCAACGGGATGCTACATCAAATGCAAGGATTATTATTGTTGTTATTATTATTAGAAAAGACTTTCAAAAATAGATTTGTTTTGGTCAGCCGGGTGTCGGGCACATGATTTTGCATCGCAGTAAAACAAAGAGCAGGACTTACAGTGGCGTGGTCAAAGTGGGGCTCGTAGTGTCCTCCGATCCCATAGTTCACTACCTGGAGATACTCTGCATAAGGCTGATGGACATTTAAACCAGTAAGATGCGTAATCCTTTGATCCAGTTTCTCGATCAGTGGGTCCACTGTCTCTTTCAGCCAGGCACTGGGAAACATCAACAACTATTAATCATAATAATAATCATTGCGCTTGATGTAGAGCCTGATCACGTCTTCGAGACGTCTCAAAGCGCTTCACAGAATATACTGTCAAGTGAATCGACTGTATATTTTGTGGTGAAACGCGGCAGACAATTGCGCACAGCAGTCAACGATGCGTTAAGGCACTATATCAAATGCAAGGTTTATTATTGTTATTATGACTGTAAGCTTGCTATGACGTTATGAAAGAATTCTAGCCATAGGTTACCAGATGACAGCCTGGGTGTCAGTCAGGCAGCTATAAACTCTTAAATGCTGGACATAGTTCAGTGTTGTAATCATCCACCGGCATTGTATTAAATAAACATAAGACTTTTTTTTTACAATGCCAGTTTATGGAACAGTTTTATTTCTGATGAGTGCACGCAATAAAAATTAAAGTACTTCTCTTGCCGACGAAGATACAGAGTCGAATATCACATTGTATTTGCAATGCTGCTGGTGGGGGAGGGTGGGGGGAGAAGGGGGCAGGCGAGCGGGTGAGGAATAGGGACTGATTCACTTACTGAGTAGCCGCCAATTGCAGAATTTATGCCACAAAATACACAGTCACTCCACTGTACAGCATATCCTGTGAAGCGCTTTGAGACGGCTCAACAATGCGGGAAGGCGCTATATAATGATCCTTACATTTGATATGGCTCTTAGCAATTCGTCGAGACGTCACAAAGCGCTTCAGAAAACCTATTGTAAAGTGAATTGATTGTATATTTTGTGGGCGAAATGGGGCAGCCAATTTCACACATCGGTGTCCCGTTAACCGTCGTAGATTGAGTGACCAAATTATTATTATTATCATCCCAGGTTGGTGATCCGCCAATCGACTAACAACCAGGTTCCTACTTATTGCCGGGTAAAGAGACGTGGGGGGTAAGGAAACTTGCCTCAGGTGTCGCCCTGTTCGGGAATTGAACCCAGGTCCTCTCGCTTGTGAGGCAAATGCTCTAACCAATACGCCACAAGACTCCACTATATCAAATACAAGTATTATTATTATGACAGCATTACGTAACTATTACCTTTTGCTGATGCGATAATCCACTGCAGCCTGATTCTCCCCCGAGGCCACAACTGATCTCTGCAACTGTCGAGCCAAGAAGCAAAAAGAGTTGATATTGTATTTGTCAGCATTCTGCCTGACAGTCTTTATGATTAGAGAATACCATCACACACAGCAAGTCACACATCTGCCAGCCAGGGTCTGACTCAACATGTACAAATCATTCAGACACCACGAGCCCTATCCCCCTTCTCTGTCTCAGCCCCGAAGTTCCTGAGTTATCTTCCTGCAAGCAAGAAAAAGAAACCTTGTGTTTTTGTTCCACATAAACTTTATATACACTGTATGTGGAATTTAAAAAAAGCAGTAAGTCGGAACCCGGTTGTTACTTGATTGGCGGATCGCTTTTCCGGGGGTAATAATCCCTTCCAAAAAATAACAATAATTTGGTCACTCAGTCCATGACTGCTTTGTGGGACACTGCTGTGGACAATTGGCTGCCTCATTTTGCCCGCGTTTGTGGGGAAACGTGTTGTGTGGTATTTTGTGTGGGTGCACGTCTCTTGCTCGTTGCTGTTTCTGTTGCTGGTGTTTAAAACCTTGACATCTGCCAAACCAATACAGGCAGTCACTGCGCTGGACAGGATCCAACACAACCAGTTTAAAGCATTCCTCTAAACCAAAAGCGATTCCATGCGGCCATATTACTTTGTGGCTGAATAAATATGTCTTATTCCCCCTCCTCCACCCCCTCCCAACCACGACCACCACCTCTCTTCCCCTAATTTCTACCCGCTGTTTTTCGAGGCTGTCTCGCTATCCTGTTCACTGGGGTTATGCTTCCAAGACTAAACGAGGGTGAGGTACCTATCTCCACCACAGCATCACCCCTCACCCCATCACACTCCCACCCCATCACACTACCCCCACTAGTCATATCTGAACTTAACGCTTCTCAAGCCAGTGCTGGGCTTTTCCCTTTCCAAACAAAACACATTGACTATTTTACATCTTGAGCATTGTGGTGACATTTATTTTTGTTAAAGGCGTCCTAGGAGCTCGGAGGAAAGATTGCAGGAGCAGGGTATGTTTATATTGGAGAAGGTTTCAATGGCGAAGCTGGGGGAAGAGGGGATGTGAAATGGAATGACTATATTTGAATATAGGACAGACCAGATGGACTGTGGAGGTCTTTTTCTGGCCCTCCACATTCCTATGTTCCTTTCAGACGTGGAGATTTTGTGCCAGCCGGTATTTTTGTGTTTATCGAAGCATTTTTTTACTTGAACGGAAAATGTATTTGAGTTACAATTTTCTAATATTGCTTTACGACTGTAATCTTCGCATTACAGTGTCAAGCTGTTCCTTAAATGAATCCAGGATCCTGGTCTCAACCACCCTTGTCAGCTGTGGTTAGCTGTGACCTTTTGTGTAAAGAAATACTTCCTAGTGTCTTCCCATAAAATTCTACTTCACAACTCTGAATCTCTTGTCCAAGTCACTTTCTCAGTTAGCATATTCTATCCATTTTTACAGAGTGTCTCAATGTGAAAGTGTATATCCCCCTATTTTGATTAATAATCATCCTTGTATTTAATACTGTGTCACTGAACAACTTGAAGCTCTTCACGGATTTACTGTAAAGTGAAGGAATTATGTATTTGTAGATGAAGGCGGCAGCCAATTTGCACACAATTTCATCTGGAGAATTGTGTGACAGTCTGACTCAGTTGGTATCACTCTCATACATATACAAACTCAGATAGTCTCGCTTGACACTTCAATGCAGTACTGGGGTTTGCTGCATTGTTGGAGGTGAGGTCCTTTGGTTGAGATTTTAAACGTTAACCAAAGGATTTCAAACGGTAAAGATCCCAAGTCACAATTCGAAATGAGTTTCTCCTGGCCCACAAGACCCCAAATAAAATTGGTCATTCACTCCATGGCTGTTTGTGGGACAGATGCCACGTTTATCCATGACATACACAAAAAAAATGTGGTTACTCAATCCACGAATGTTTTGTGGAACATTACTGTGCGCAATTGGCTGCCACGTTTTACCCACCAAATACACAGTTAATCAATCCACTTTACAATATAATTTGTGAAGTGCTTTGAAATGTTTCAATGATCCAATAAGGCGCTATATCAAATGCAAGGATTATTATTATTATACAGTCACTGCACTTTGAAGCACATTTTATGAAACGCTTCGAGACATGCTCCTAATGTGAAAGGCACTTTATCAAATGTAAGTTATTATTATTATAACCTTACGACTCACAGAGTTGGGAGTTTTAGGCTGACACCCCAACAGTCCATTGAGTCAGAGGCAAGAAAGACTCCACCACACCTGTCAAAAGTGAAGCCCAAAGAGGAAAAAAATACTTTTTGTTTAATGCGCTCCAAATTCACAAGATGTCAGTCCAGACAGACAAACTATGACTGAGCAGCTGGAACTGACACAGAACAGACATGAGGCGGAGACTGCAACTTACTGCACTCAGGGCCACTGGGGCATTTGCTGTTTAGTTCAGAAACCGCAGGTAAAACCTAACTCATTTTAAAGTTGTTCTGTGTAAACTGTTGCAAAACGGACAAGCTATCCTCACTTGTAATCCCTCGCCTCTCCATCAATCCCTCCGCCTTGCCCCCTCCATCCCCATCTTCAGGCTTGTAGACCTTCCTCTTTGACCGTACTTATGGTCACCTCCCACCTCCCCCCGGCTTGGCATTGCGCTCCACCACTGTCAAGCGCTCTGGGACGCTACCCTGTGTGAGGAGCGCGATATAAATGCAAATTGTTGTTGACGTTGTTGTAATATGCAGGCTGAGTTATTGCACATAAAATGCACGCATTAAAAAAAAACAGAAAAACAGTCTTAATTGGTTCCAAAAGCCCAATCCGAATCATTGCTCTGATCTTGACAAGGTTACAAAATCAAGCTGGCGAAATACTGGGCCCTCACTAACATCTGTAAGGTATTACTGGATTCTGGGGCTGACAACTCTCCCACAGTTCAGTATTCTTTCTTTTTCAAGTTGCCTATATATTATTCATTTTTGACAGAAATTCTTACCTCACCACCTCCCTCCCTCCTCCCTCTCTCTCTTTCTCTCGCCACTTCCTCTCTCCCCTGTCCCCACGCCCTCTCCTCCCCCTCTCTCTCTCTCTCTCCGCTCTCCCTTTCTCCCCTCTCTTCTCTTCTTCAATCTCTCCTCCCACCTCCAACAATGCGGCACACCCCAAGCACTCCATTGGAGTGTCAAATTAAACTGCATATGTTTCACGTCCCAACGTGGGGCATGAACACATCTTTCTGACTTGGGAGGCAACCTGGCAACCTTGATCCAGAAAACGACAGTCACTCCACTTGACAGTAAATCCTATGAAGCGCTTTGAGGTGTCCTCCCGACGTGAAAGACCATATTTCAAATGGAAGGATTAATATTATCAAGTGAGGGTTTTGACCTCAAACGCACCTCTTGATGTTATTCAGGAACATAATAACCTAACGATTCTGGCATTATATATATATATATATATATATAAAAACAATGAAGCAAATGAAAACATGAGGAAGCTTTACCCAGGGAGAAGCTAGTTGCTTTATCTTCTGACCCTCAGCCTCACTGATGAAATTGTGATACAGAATCACGTCCGGCTTCTGGCTTAAGATCTCTCTTTTCATCGGCTGGAGAATCAGGTGTGGACTGAGGTTTGTCTCGTAGGAGCAATAAAGGTTTGAGTTCTGATAATGTTTGGGCTAAAATAGAAGAGAGTACAAATACAAATTTACATCAGGACAACATCCTAAAGTGCTTCACAGGGTATAGTGTAAAGTGTAGTGACTGTGTGTTTTGTGGGCGAGCTTGGCAGCCAATTTGCACGTAGTAAAGTCCAGCTAGTGTTCCTTCCTCTCTTTCCTTCCTCCTCCCCAAGCAATTGTTGAGACTTTATGACCGTGCGGAATGAAGAGGGTTCAATTGGTTCAGTGCGGAGCGTGGCCACATCATAAAACAGCTGTTGTTTTGGTGTTAATATTGAGCTGGATCAGGAGCAACTGGCAGACTGAGAGGGAGATGGTATTTGTTGTCTCACCACATGCTTCAAATAATTGTTTGTTAAAGTCCTTGTTGTTTATCTCAGCGATGGCTGGTTATTACCAATGTCCATGTCCTGGCCAACAATCCTCTAGATTAACTGGTTTGGGTCCCAAATCCCTGATTGTCCAGTGCCCTGGGACGTCTTTCCGACGTGAATCGGGCTGGTTTGTGGGACTACATGACAGAAATTGCTTGTGAAGCACTTGACGGTGTTTCAGTGTGAAAAGGAGCTGTAAAGGTATCAGCCTGGCTCAGTTGATAGGATTCTTGTCTCTGAGTCAGAAGGTTGTGGGTTCAAACCCTACATTGGAGCTTGGAACTCATATAGTCCAGGCTGACATGCCAATGCTGGGTTGGAGGTGCTATCCTTCGGGTGAGAAGTTGAAGATGTTAAAGATCCCACAGTATTACTCAAAAAGAGGAGTGAGTTTCTCCCAGTGTCCTGGCCAACACTACACCAACTATAATAGGTTATTCACTTCAGGGAAGTTTGTGGGACATTGGTGTGTGCAAATGCAAATACACAGACACTGCACTTTAAGGTAAATCTTATGAAACACTTTGAGACATCCTCCTGACATGAAAGACGCTATATCGAATGCAAGGAATATTATTATCATACGGCAAGTTTTCCCACCAGATTGTAAGTAAAGGAAATAAACTTGCAAAGCCCTGCTGACCCAAGAGAGCAATGAAGGAAGGAGCCAAGAGTTCAAACATTTCTCCCTTGGGGACTGAAGGCCATAAAGTTACCTGCGATCCCAGTGTCTGGCATAATGATTCATAGGTCTTTCTGGTTAGCAGATGTGTTTCATTTGGTCTCCGAGGCTCCAGATTGTTGGGCTCAGTGTACGAAGCTTCCGCCAGGATCTTTTCATATTTGAGTACATTCCTGGCAACTCTTCTGTTGTTTGAATCTGTTGAAGATCAAGCAACATGACTGTGAAACTATCCGGGTGGCAAACCCACATTATCTCTGAATACTGAATACTATATATAACTATACATCTTCTGAACTGGTGAATGGCCTTTAATTCAATCTAATAATAATAATCCTTGCATTTGATATAACGCCTTACCATGTTGTTGAGACATCTCAAAGCGCTTCACAGAAGTACTGTAAAGTCAAGCACTCAGAGGCACTACCCTGTGTGAGCGGTGCTATATAAATGCAAGTTGTTGTTCACTGTGGGCAAAATATGGAGCAGATTGGGTTGAATGCAGAATCAATTGCTTCCATAAATATCTCTGTACCCCTTATCTGTACACTACAGATTAGTATTATCCCCATTAAATCATTGAATACTAAGTTATACTAAGATATTTGAAACTCAAAATAATAATATTCCTTGCATTTGATACATTGTCTTATCACACGTCAAGATGTTCACAAAGCGCTTCACAGGATGTATTATAAATTGTAGTGACTATGTTTTCTGTGGGCGGATTCAGCAGCCAATCTGCCTGTAGAAATGTCCAAACAGCTGTGCAATGAATGACCAATTTTGTTTGTGGGATTGAAGGCCATATGGAGGTTTATTAGCTAACAGAAGTGTCTTAATTTGGCCACCTGAGCAGATACCAGAAGGCAACCAGCACCCGGAAAGAAAAATGGGAAAAAATAATTGCACCCAGTAACATTTATTTATATTAAAAACAAGCTGATTCGGGGAATTCTGTGCGCATTTCACCCACAAAATATACAGTCAATTCACTTTACAGTATATTCTGTGAAGCTCCTTGAAACGTCTCAGAGATGTGATAAGGCGCTATATCAAATGCAAGGATTATTATTTATTATTAACTCTCAGCAACCCTGGATTCCTATAGATTTTCCCCGAAAGTTCAGACTGATTCACTGTGCATACCTATCTGGAGGAGCTCCTCAGAGAAGCTCAGTGCATGACGGGTATTTCCTATCTGTAAGACAATAATGGTGCAGTGTTAATTCTTACAATCAATCATTCTATCATTCACTCCTTTGCCTACAAAAAACACACAGTCTCTCCACTTTACAGATTATCCCGTGAAGCCCTTTGAGACATTCCCCTGATGCAAAAGGTGCTGTATCGAATGCAACAATTACTATTTCTGTATTTATTGTTATTCTTTACAATTTTCTGTTAGATACATTTTAATCCAGTGCATTTTTCAGATTAATAAATAGGCAACACATCATATAATAATAATAATAATAATCATGGTGTTACCATGTGAGTCAACCCCAATTCCTGAAAGGATTGAATAATGCAACAACTTTGCGTGGGGTAGCTGCTCGGCGTGCTTAACAAAGTCATAATTTTACGTCGTGCCTTGGAGAAAGGGGAGGCAGTTGAAGAGGAATGTCTGTAGGTGTGATCTGAAGACAGACAGCAAACAGGCAAGATCCTCCAGAGGGATTGAGGCAGAGATTTTCGGAGGGTCAGGAATAATATAACGATCATTGCATTTGGTAGCAGTACCTTTTGTGTCAGGAGTACGAGTCATTTGAAGCGCTCTGGGATGCTACCCCGTGTGAAGGGTCGCTAGATAAATGCCAGTTGTTGTTGTAATTCACTCCTCTGAACTCCTCTGAACTCCTCTCCCTCTGGCCTTCAACCCTCACCGACCCCTCTTCTCCTCTCTCCCTCCTCCACAATACCCTCTCCTCCACACTCGATACTCTTGCCCCCATCATTTCCCGCACTGTCTCCTACTCCCGCTCCTCCCCCTGGTACACCACCCACCTCCGCTCACTGAAATGCCAGGTGCGGGCTGCTGAACGCACCTGTGTCAAATCTGGCCTAACGGTCCACCGACAAATCTGGCTGGACCTCCTCAAAATTTACCGCTCCACTCTAGCCTCGGCCAAGTCGTCCTTCTACTCCAGGATAATCCTGGAGGCGAAGAACAACCCCAGGCTACTGTTTTCCACCACAACCCGACTCCTCCGTCCCCCCCGCCACCCCGCGCAGGTCATCTCCTCCAACCTTCACTGCGAGGAGATGCTGGATTTCCTTGAATCCAAGATCAAGGGAATCCGCTCCGCGGTCACTTCCCCTCCAACTTCCACCCACCACCCACCCCTTCCCTCCCACACTCCGACTCCTACCCATCCTCCCCTACACACCTTCGTACCCGTTTCCCCACCCTCTGTCACTGAACTCATCCTATCCCTAAAACCAACCACCTGCTCCCTTGACCCCATCCCCACTCCACTCCTTATCTCCCAGCTCCACTTTCTTGCCCCACATATCACTGACATCATCAACCTGTCCCTCTCCTCTGGCTCTGTCCCCATTCCATTAAAAACTGCCATCATCACGCCCACCCTGAAAAAACCCTCCCTTGATGCGTCGCAGCTATCAAGCTACCGGCCCATCTCCAACCTCCCCTTTCTCTCCAAGGTCTTGGAAAGAGTTGTCGCCTCCCAACTGCGCTCTTTCCTTTCCACCCATTCTCTTTTCGAACCCCTTCAGTCAGGTTTCCGTGCTGCTCATAGCACAGAAACTGCCCTGGTCAAGGTCACCAATGATATCCTGACCATCTGTGACCAGGGCTCCCTCTGTCTCCTCGTCCTCCTCGACCTATCGGCAGCATTCGATACGGTCGACCACGCTATCCTACTCCACCGCTTGTCCTCCCACCTCAACCTTCAAGGCACTGTCCTTGAATGGTTTAGGTCGTACCTTTCTCACCGTCTTCACTTTGTCTCAACGAATGGCTTCTCCTCCACCCCCCGTACTGTCTCATGTGGTGTCCCTCAGGGCTCTGTCCTCGGTCCCCTCCTCTTCACCCTCTATATGCTCCCCCTTGGTGACATCATCCGCAGACATGGAGTTAACTTCCACATGTATGCGGATGACACCCAACTCTACCTTTCCTCCTCTACTCTCAACTCCACGACCACCGATGTCCTGACAGCTGCCTGTCCGACATCGAGTCCTGGACGAGAGACAACTTTCTTCAGCTCAACGTGCGAAAAACCGAGGCCCTCCTGATTGGCTCACGTCAGCGCCTCCGCACCTCAGGCGCTGACACCATCAGCATCCAAGGCTGCACTCTCCACCTCTCAAAGCCAGTCAGGAACCTCGGCGTTTTGTTCGACCCTGAGCTGTCCTTTCTCCCTCACATCCGCACCACAACTGGCACCGCCTTCCATCACCTCCGGAACATCGCCAGACTACGGCACTACCTCACCCCTCACGCTGCTGAAACCCTGGTTCACGCCTTTGTCACCTCAAGGCTGGACTATGGGAACTCTCTCCTCGCCGGCCTTCCCGCCACCTCCCTCCACAAGCTGCAGGTCATTCAGAACTCTGCAGCTCGTGTACTGTCCCGCACCAGGCTTCGGGACCACATCACTCCCACCCTCGCTCGCCTCCACTGGCTCCCCATCCCCCAGAGGATTGATTTCAAGATCCTCATCCTCACCTACAAGGCCATTCACGGCCTTGCTCCCTCCTACCTCTCCAACCTACTATCCCCCTACCTACCTGCCCGTACCCTCCGTTCCTCTGGCTCCGGTCTGCTCCACGTCCCCCGCCCCAACCGCCCTACCATCGGTGGTCGGGCCTTCAGCCTCTCAGCCCCAGGCTCTGGAACTCCATCCCCCAGTGCCTTCGCCGCTTCCTCCCTTTCCTCCTTCAAGGCCGGTCTCAAAACCTTTCTCTTTGACCGAGCCTTCAGCTCCCCTCTCGACTCTCTTCCCCTCCTCGCTCCCTCCCTTCCCTCCCCTCACCCTGACCATTTCCCCCTCCTCGCTCCCTCCCTTCCCTCCCCTCACCCTGACCATTTCCCCCCTGCTCGGGTCATGACCCAACTGTGCAGCGCCTTGGGACGTCCTCCTGACGTGAAAGGCGCTTTATAAATGGAATCTTGTTGTTGTTGTTGTTGTAATTAACGTGTGTCTTAAAACGTTTGAAAGACAATTTGGAAAATCCCTAAATCCGGTGTTAAATTAGAAGCCGGGTTTCCACAGTCCTGCGGGAAAACCAGCTTCCAAGTGATGACCTGGATAAGTCGGTGTAGGGGGACAGGGGCCAACAACAAAATAAGGGGGGGGGGGTCGATGCCAGAAAATAATCTTGAATTAAGGATTTTAACAGCAAAAAGAAAGGTTGGTTTTACTTTGATAAGGAAGCTATTGCTTTTTACAACCGTCTACTCCAGACTCCACCAACTCTCTCTTGCACCAGGTTTACTCTGGTGCTAACTCATTAACTAGTTGCTGGTGCCCAATTAGCAGTTAGGGCTGGAATTTCAGCTGAACTCCTGATTGGAGTCCAGCCCTTGTTAACTACCTTGGTTGAGGCATCTTATAAACAGATACAAAAAAACAACACACTACTTTACACATAAGTGGAAAACCTATATCCATAGAAATCAGGGAAAGGGTTTAAACCCCCCGTCACAGCTGGTTCTTTGAAATTTCTTGCGACCTTTTTAACGTTCAGACAACCGTCTTAAGGTGAAGAACAAGAGCAATCTCCAGGGCCTGAAGTCATAAGTCTCCGTTTCCCTGAAAGTGAACAGTTAAAACAAGGATCTCTCCCAGGAAATACTAGACTTTCTCTTCTAGGAAGAGAAAAAAAGACTTGGCCAGATGGGGAACCTCTTTGTACTCAAGGAAGTTCCCCATAGGCTTCTGAAATAGAATATAAAATAGTCCACCTCAAGGAGACAGACCATCAACATAGACTTCACTCAGGGAACGTGACGGAATGCCTCTTTCAGCCTGTGGAGCAATTGCAAGCTCGGCAAATCCGATCTCTGAGGAAATTAGTTACACAAAAACTCCCCCAAGAAAGAACTTCATATCTGCTCCTCCAATTACTGGCACCATTTCAACTCTTCTGTGCGATCCAGCCTCTAATGCACTCCATCCATATGTAATAATAGCAAGAATGTATTTAGTACGGTGCCTCACCATGTTGTTGAGGCGTCTCAATGCGCATCACGGGAATGACTGTAAAGTGTAGTGACTGCGTTGGTCATCCTCCTGCACCTATCTTCCCTGCCCTCCACCCTATCCTGATCCCAAGCCCCAGTTCAGGTCCAAACGCCTGACTGTCCAACACCTTGGGATGTCCTCCCGAAGTGAAAGGCACTATACAAATATAATTTGTTGTTGTGTTTGTATTATGTAGGCAGATGTGGGAGCATTTCCGTGCCCAGCAGGGTCCCCACGCAAACAGAATGACCAATTTTGTCTGGGGAGGAATTGTTGGCCAGGACACATCTTATACTTAATAGCCCAGTGCCTGTCTCGATCATGATGCTAACTCTTATTACCTAATTTATTTCCATTGCACTGCCAGTGTGCCAGCACACATCTACCAACATTTTATTAAAAACAAATGACAGGGGTAATCAGATATGCAGCAAAACCACAACTGTGCCTCCCCCCTCCATCCCCCACTCTCTCCCACCCCCCCACCCCCCTCTCTCTCTCTCTCTCCCCATCCCAACACTGTTTCAAATTTCAGCTGATTTTTTTCCTTCTGCTTCAGAGAATGATCGAGAAGAACTAACGACAGTAAAAGTAAAATCATCTCCAAGAAACGTTGCTAAGAGTTAAAAAAGGCTCAAATCCACATATTAAGCACATTTGCACTAAGGAATCTAAGCACATGGCTTTGAGGTGCATTTGAACACATTATGTACCATCTACGTTCTATACGTTTGCTATTCCTGGTTCATCTTAGGAGTTAAAACATATGCGTATAAAATGTATGCGTGTATCAGCCTGGCTCAGTGGTAGCACTCTCGCCTCTGAGTCAGAAGGTTGTGGCTTCAAGTCTCAAGTCCTGACTTGGGACTCATAAAGTCTAAGCTGACACCCCAGTGCAGTTGTTGTAGGTGCCTTCCTTTGAGCCGTTGAACTGACACCTTATCTGCCTCTTCAGGTGGATGATCCCACGGCACTATTCGAAAGGGGAGGTGAGTTTCTCCCGGTGTCCTGGCCAAAAATCGCCCTGACAAAATTGGTGACTCGCTTCATGGCTTCGTGGGACGTTGCTGTGCAAAATTGGCTGCTGTTGTGGTATCCCCCGTCCCCCCAACCCAAAAAAAAGAAACAGTCACTACACTTTACAGTATATCCTGGGAAGCACTTTGAGACGACCTCATGACATGAAAGGCACACTGATGAGAAGGATCAACTGATCCAGGCCACAACCTACTGTTGTATCAAATGTAAGAAATAGTCCTTTAACTTAGTGGTTAGACCAATCTTCTCGCAAGCGAGAGGACCTGGATCCCGGGCAGGGTGATAGGGACAACTTTCCTTACTCCCCATGCCTCTGTTTACCTAGCAGTAAGAAGGAACCTGTTTGTGAGTCGATCGGTGAATCACTTTTCTGGGGATAATAATTCCTTCAAAAAAAACAACCACGACAACTTGCATTTATAATAGTGCCCGCCCTGAGCATTTGACAGTGGCAGGGTTTACCTAGCAGCTTTTCCAGGGGTAATAATCCCTTCAAAAAAAAAAAGACAATAATAATAATTTGGTCACTCAATCCACCGCTGTTTATGGGACACCGCTGTGCGCAATTGGCTGCCGCATTTTGCCCGCCAAATATACAGTCACTTCACTTTACAGTATATTCCGTGAAGCGCTTTGATACAATCTCGAAGACGTGATGAGGCGCTATATCAAATGCAAGGATTATTTTTATTATTGTTATTAGGATTATATTATATGTTGTATTCTGCTGCCTCTGGTTCAGGCTATTTCCTTGTGTCCCTCTAGATATTATATTGTTCCATTTTCTTCTTCTTGTGCTCGGTTACTCTGTTACATTCACCTTCAGTACTTTCTGGGCCTAATCATTTTAAACAGACGTGGCAGAAACTGTGTTTGGTTGTCTTGGACGGTTCCCTATGAAATCAGTGCAATGCAACTTGTGGTTGAGGCCCCATTTGTCTGTTCAGGTGGATGTTAAAGATCCCATTGCACTATTCGAGAAGGGAAGGTTTCCTGACCAACAATCCCCCAAATAAAATTGGTCATTCACTTTGCAGCTGTTTGTGGGTCATTGCTGTGTGCAAATTGGCTACTATTTTTGTCTATAAACTACACAGTCACTGCACTTTATATCAACCCTGTGAATTGTTTTGAGACATCTCGACATTGTGTTACAAACCTTATCAAATGAATGGATTATTATTGTTTAATTTGTTGTTGTAGTTGAAAAAAAGGGAACGGTCAATGTCTTAATTTATCAAACCACACGTTTGCTCCCCACACCTCAATTTCCTCCTAAATTCCTTCCAAAATCACCAAGTATTGGATTGCCGGTTGCACGACACTGGTTTAGTTCAACAACGGTAGCAAAATCAGAGTTCAGTTAGTATCAAACTCGCTGGCATTCCAACACCAAGATCAGGCAGTTCAGTAGGTGGTGAGTCAACAGCAGGTTGTTACCAAGTCAGGTGGTGGAGATGGGGGAGCAAATAAAATACAATGCGTTCACATTTACACAGGGCCTTTCACGTCAGGAGGACATCTCAAAGAGCTTCTCGGTGGTGAATGGGCACCAGAGCTGCGGGTAGGGCCCTTGGGAGATGGTGGGGGTGGGGGGCAGATGACCGACTGAAAGTGCAGTGAAAGAGGTAAATTTTGAGATGGGTCTTGAACGAGGGAAGGAGTGAACGAGTGAGCGAGCGAGTCCGAGAGACTCCGGGCCGGTGGTCCAGAGAGCAAACGTCACCCGCGTGTACCAAGTGATAGATTAGGCATTGACTGGCTATATTTGTCAGCTGGAGCTGGAGTTCGAAGCTTTACCAGTTACCACTCACCATATAATGGGAAAACGCTATATGATCAAGAGCTTCCTCCAGACTTCCTTCATCTTCCACGTTCCAAATCCTCAGCTTCTTTCGGAAAAGAGAGACCGCCTCTTCCAGCCAAATTACCGAGTGATAATAGTCACCTTTGTCATAGGCAATCTGGAGACACAGCAAAGGGAATAATAATCGAATAATAGAAAATAATAACTTTTCTTAAAATACAGTAAAACTTGGACAAGTCACATCACTCAGGATCATAACATTTAGTATGACTTACGTAAAGTCTGAGTCGCAGGTAAACTTGTATAAGGAAACTGAATGGGACTTGTGGGTGGATGTGCGACTTAGGTGATTGTACGATTTATAAAGCTAAGACTTAAGCGAGTTTTGCAGTATGTACTCCAATTGGCAAAACCCCTGGAATAATTACCAGAGGCCGCTGTTATATTATATAAGACTGTTTTGCTCCTTACGTTAGCACATACACTCAGGAGTGACGTCCTCACATGCACTCTTAAACTTTGTGGCATTATGTTCAGCTTTGAAACGGCCCAAAAGGCAAGGTTAATGCAGAAATAGCCAAAGAGCAATTATAATCTAATTAATATACAAGCATCGCAACCCCTCCTCTCTAATAATCAGTTAGTAAAATTGATACTAATTGGGTATTGCATTTACAGCACAGCGGTATGTTCACTGCCATTCAGTAACCAAAGATCATGGTAGAGTCTAGACTTGTTTTGCTTTTTTAAACAAAGTGACTCAGTACATTCCAGGAGAGTGCAAATACCGTGCGCAATTTGAAACTCTTTGTGGAAATTTATTTCCGTTCGGGATAAGGTCGAGGTATGTTTGAGGTGAAGTAGATGAGTTAGTTGGTGTAGTACATTGACGAAACAACATGCTGCACTACACAGAGCTGAGAAATCGAATTGAAGTGAGCTTCTATAGATGCTATCCTGCACTGTGAGACGGCATCTTAGATTTCATGGAGTCCTGTAGTGCAATGGTTTAGATTGCTCGCCATGGTACGTGAGAGGACCCGGGTTCGATTCCCAGCAGGGCGAAACGTTAGGCAGGTTTCCTTACTCCACACGCCTCTGTTTACCTGGCAGTAAGTAGGAACCCGGTCGATTGGCGGATCACTTTTCTGGGGGTAATAATCCCTTCAAAATACATTTTTTTAAAAATAATAAATAGGTCCCTCAATCCACGACTGTTTGTGGGACAACGCTAAGCGCAGTTGGCTGCCGCGTTTCGCCCACAAAATATATAAGGATTATTATTATCCCGGGTGAAGGGCGCCATGTAAATACAAGTTGTTAATGTTGTTGTTTGTTGTTCTTCCTCACAGCCACAGGGAAGCTGATCAAAAAAAAACCTTCATCAATATTGGTGATACAAGCTGAAACCTCTCTCAGCTCTGCTCAGGGAGTTTTTTTAATGTAAATTCAATTAAGGTGGTTTGTGAAGCAGAAAGTTCCTGCATTTTAACAACAGGAGGGGGCTGTATGGTTTAAGTTTTGTTTTAAGTGGGGCAGAATCCAGTAAACACAGCAAGTTTGGTAATTTCTTAGATGTGGGCTCAACCTTTAACTGGCTGTTATATATTTTCGTATTAAAATTAATGGATAATTATATCAGCAACTGAGAGTCCAATTCAGGCAACTCTGCTTTTTTTGATATAATAATAATCCTTGTATTTGATATAGCGTCTTATCACGTCATTGAAACACCTCGAAGCGCTTCAGAGAATATGTTGTAAAGTGGATTGACTGTGTATGTTGTGGGCGAAATACAGCAGAGTCCCACAAACCGTCATGGATTGAGTGACCACATTTTTTCTTGAGGGATTATTACACTCAAATAAATAGCCAATCGACTAACAACCGAGTTCCTACTTACTGCTCGGTAAACAGAGGCATGTGGAGTAAGGAAACTTGAACTAAGGTTTCACAGCGCTCAGGAATCGAATCCGGGTCTTCTCGCTTGCGAAGTGAGCGGACTAACCACTACTCTACGGGACTCCACAGTTGGGACTGAAGGAATCGCCCGTCAAAAGAACCGGCCATTCGTCTGTGCTGTAAATTTCTGTGGTTCTGGGGATCAAATCCGAGAGAGCAATTAACAGCCAAGGTTGGAAAGAGTGGGAGGGAGAACAAAATCAATTAGGAATTGCTGGTCAAGTGAAGCCAAGCTGGGGGTGTTAAATGCTTGTGGCTTGCAGTAGGAAGGAAAACACTAAGGAATTCTACTGCACTTAGGTCTTGGGAACGGATTAGACAGGTCAGTGGGAGACAGTTGCATAGGCAGGATAAATGCATTAAAAAATGGAAAGCAAACTCGTTGATTGGATCTTGGTAGAAATGAATTTGTTTCGGGAGCAAATTCTAAAGCAGTCCGTGCAGGTTTTCTTGCTCAGTCATTACTTCGAGGAGATTGTGTTTTGTGCTGTATTAATTGTGGTAATCATCATCTTGTCAAAGTTCTCAATGGATAATAATAATAATAATGATAATAGTAATCCTTGCATTTGATATAGTGCCTTATCACGTTGTTGAGACGTCTCAAAGCGCTTCACAGGATATACTGTAAAATGAACTTATGTGTACCTCCTAACCCCCTACCATTCTGTTCGCTCCCTCCGCTCAGCGGGCTCCGGCTTGCTTCATGTCTCCCGCCTTGCTCGCCCCACTATCGGCGGGCGGGTATTCTGTCACTCTGTACCCACCCTCTGGAACTTCATCCTGCAGTTCCTCCATCTGGTCCCCTCCCTCGCCACCTTCAAGACTCACCTCAAGACCCTCCTCTTCAACCGTGCTTTCGATCTCCCTGCTTCCCCCCCCACCCCCGCCCTCCACCCTCCCCCACCCCGACCCCCAGCTCAGGTCCGTATCTCTGTCTGTCCAGCGCCTTGGGACATCCTCCCGATGTGAAAGGCGCTTTACACATGTAATTTTGTTGTTGTTTTGCTTTGTGGGCAAAATGCGGCAGTCATGGATTGAGTGACCACAACAACAACAACAGATTATATTTGTACAGCGCCTTTCACGTCAGGAGGACGTCCCAAGACACTGAACAGTCAGGGATCTGCACCCGAGCAGCTGTTTGGAATCAGGAGGGGGTGGAAGGCGGGGAGAATAGGGGTTGGAGAGTGACCACATTTTTGGGGGGAGGGATTATTAACCCCAGAAAGCGATCCACCAATCTACTAACAAATGGGTTCCTACTTACTGCTAGGTAAACAGAGACATGCGGAGCAAGGAAATTTACTAACATAGCATAACATGTAGGAGGAGGAGTAGGCCATTCGGCCCTTCGAGCCTGCCCCGCCATTCAATCATGACTGATCTTCTAATGTAACTCCAGCTAATAACCTGACCCTGCCTTATCTCCATATCCCTTAATCCCTTTTGCAATAAGAAATCTATCTATCTCAATCTTAAATATGTTCAAGGACTTAGCGTCAACAGCCCTTTGGGGTAGTGAGTTCAAAGTAAGGACTAAGTAAAGATTGGTATGGAAATAGACTTGTAAGCGCTCCCAGATGAATGTCCCTATGAAAATACAAGTTGTTGTTGAACGTCCCAGTTACTCCAAAGCAGAAACTCACAGTTTATAGTTTAAGATTAACATTTACAAAAAAAGGAATTATTGCCACTTTGGCTCACGTACCTTTCCAATCTGAAAACTGTCGTCTGCTGACAGGGTAATGGAGATACTGGGTCTGTAGACGGTAGAAACGCCGTCTCTAGTAGCCTGGAGAAACTGCCCTTTGACTAATCCCTTTGTACTCAGGTCATAAACATCCTGTAGCCTCATCAATCCTCTGGCGGCTCCTTCCAGGTCTTCAGCTTTGGGAAGTTTCTCCTCGATTTTTTCATAATCGTCCTTGAACGCTAAACACAGCATTGGAGTCAGTGTCGGTTTTCCTTACCGGAGAGGGTCGCTTGGTTTCCCCTTCCACCCCCCCACCCCAACCCAATCCCTTCCCCAAATCAGGATTTTTAAAAAATACAATTTTTTTTTTTGAAAATAACATCACGGCTTTTATTACCGAACCAAACCGAAGAGATAAGCCTCACATTTGTTTCTTGTTCAGCCGGGTGTCTGACATGTGCGGAAACCCATCACCATGCTTAAGAGTATCCAAACCAAGCTGAGAATTTCATGCATATAAAATAATAATCCTTGCATTTGATGTAGCGCTTCATCACGTCTTCGAGACGTCTCAAAGCGCTTCACAAAATATACTGTAAAGTGAATTGACTTTCTTTATGGGAAAAACACAAAAATTCCAGAGAGAGAGAGAGGGAGGGAGGGAGGGAGGGATGGAATATGCACTGTCTCCCTGGAGGGATGCATCCTGCTTACCTAATTCCATAAAGTATTAGGTGCAGGTTGGCAAGAGCCAAGGTTTGGGGAGCCAAGAGTGTGTGTTGGGGTAGAGTGCATGCTGAGAGACGTGGGAAAAACTCCTGAGGGTTTCAGGACAGCACTGGACAACTGTTAGGATTTAAGAGTTACATAGATTTACTTGGAAGTGATACAGCATGGAAACAGGCCATTCGGCCCATCTGGTTTGTGCCGGGCATTGAGTGGTTCAGTGGTTTGGATCTTACGTTCATACAAGTCCACACCCCTCCTATTCCCTCACCTATACCCTATACACTCTATCGATAGGTTTACTCTATCAACCCTCTCATCATTTTGAACACCTCCCCTTAATCTTCTCTGCGCTAAGGAGAACAATCCCGGCTTCTCTCTTCTCTTCACATACTGACGTCCCTGACCTCTGGTACCATTCTATCATGTGAATACGTTTCAACGATAGTGAATTCCACAGTTCCACAAATTTGGATCTCCTGAGTATAATGGCGACAGTTTGGGGCAAATGTTCTGTACAAATTCTGTATCAGTTTGCATTCAGCTCATTCACACAGTGAACAATCAGTATGTAGGATGGAAAACCCAGAGAGGTGGTAGAGGCAGATTGTGCCAACCAACTCAAGAAGGAACGAGACAGCTCTTAGGCAAAGTAATATAATTATAATAATCCTTGCATTTGATACAGCGCCTTATTAAATGATCAAGACATCTCACAGCACTTTACATGACTTTACTGTCAAGAGCGGTGACTGTATTTGTAGGCAAACGTGGCAGTCAATTTATGCACAGGAATGTCCCACAAACAACCATGAAGTGATTGACCAATTCTTTGGGGGGGATTGTTGGCCAGGACTCCAGGAGAGATAATCCCTTCTTTTTTTGAGCAGTGCCATGGGATCTTTAACTTCCCCTTGAACAGGCAAACAAGGCCTCGGTTTAATCGGTCTCATCCAAAGGACAATCCCCAGCGCTGCGATGCTAGGATTCTGTCTATACAATGTAAGTTCAAAGTCCCGATGTGGCCCTTTGAACCCAAAACCTTCGGTCTCAGAGGCAAGAGTTTACCAACTGAACATATAGCAGCTTTCATGTCTGGAGGACAACTCAAAGAGCTTCACAGGACACACTTAATCAGTCACGGGGCACGTGATATAGAGTGCAAGATGTTTAGTGTTACTTTATGACTTGACAGATAGAATGCAATGGTCTCGCTCAGCCCTATACATTCCTGTGTACCTCTGCCCACAGTGGCCGGTCGGTTGGCAATTTACTTTCTAGGACCGACACAGATATCAGTCTATGACTTACAAAACAATACGACATAAGCAAATTTTAAAATATATCTACACATTAAATTAAGAAAAACACCAAAGAACCAGCCAGTCGCTGCGTAGAACAGGGAAAAGACCAGTTTCCAGGGTTAAAAGTACACAATCTGCCATTTCATGGAGTACGCAAACCAGAAATATTCACAACCACGAGGGAGAACAGCCAAACATTGCAGTGAAATGTTTTCATATTAGATTCCACAGTACTGGACGGGAGCAAAATAAAAAAAATGCCTCAATATTCTTTCTGCCAATGTGTAAAATCAGTTATAATGATGTTATTCACCATTGGGTATTACATGATATAAGCGCAGTTATTATAATTCACATTTGTTTGACAGCCCAATATATAAGGGAGAGCGATTAAAAGCTTCTATTGATGTAGGATAAGATAGATTCAAATGCAAGGATTATTATTATAATCGCGTCCATTTACCTTGGGTATTCTCAGTGGCTTCTTCGCTGTATACAACATTTCGCCATTCGAGCTGTAGCCTCTTTATGAGGGTGAAGGCCAACAAAGGGTTTGAGATTGCTATTGTGGGCTCCAGGTAGGCACTGCTGTGCAAGGTCCTGATCTTTTCATAGAATCTGGAAAAAAATTGCAATTGGGGGGGAAAAAAAGCAACGTAAGATCCAAACCACTGAACCACTCAAACACAAGTCTCGAGAGCTCCCTCCGTTTACTGTGGCTGCACTCTAGCCTTGGGAGAACATGAAAATAATAATAATAATAATAATAATCAAAAGGCAAAATACTGCAGATGCTGGAAATCTGAAACAAAAACTGAAGTCGCTGGGAACACTCAGCAGGTCAGGCAGCATCTATGGAGAGAGGAAAGTGAGTTAAGGTTTCAGGTCGATGATGAAAGGACAAGAGGGCCAGAGATGACATTTCCCCAGACACAAATGCTCACTGACTAGGCTGACATTACAAAGCAGCGTTGCGGAGAGCACTGCATTGTCGGAGGTGCTGCATCAGATGAGATATTAAACCAGATCTTATCTGCCTGGTGGACTTTAAAGATCCCATGGCACTATTCGAAAAGAGAAAAGAGTTTTTCTCAGTTTCCTGGCCAACAATCCCCCCCAGATGAACTTGGTCACTCACTTCATAAATGGTTAAAATAATAATATCCTTGCATTTGATGTAACGCCGTATCACGTCTTCTAGTTCTAGTAATGGTTGTAGGACATTGCTGTTTATGGGACGTTGCTGTGAGCAAATCGACTGCCGCATTTGCCCACAAAACTACACGGTCACTACACTTTACAGTTGTTAGCAAGTATGTGAGCTAGCGGTCTGTGGACTGAATAGTGTCCTCCAATGCTTCATCTCTATGATTCTATGAAAATCACCTATAACTGCTAAATCTCCCTCCGCCTTCAAAAATCATAGGAAGAAGCCATTCAGCCTTTTGAGCCAGTTCCATCAGTTTATCTGTTGATGCCCTTTCACCATACTTTTCAATACCTCTACCTCCCAAGTCTCTGTCTATCTCTCTTTTAAACATCCCTATGCCTCTGCAGCTTTCTGGGGCAGAGAGTTCCACGTATTTAACAACAACAAATTACATTATATAGCACCTTTCACGGCGGGAGGATGTCCCAAAGCGCTGGGTATGAAGAAATGCTTCCTGACCACAGTTCTAATTGTCTTTGCTCAATATCTTTCACTCTCTTATTTCCCCACTCATTGTCCACTGAACATTTGTCAAATGCTTTGGAACATTTTCATTAACGTGAAAGGCATTAGATAAATGCAAGTTATATACGTAGAAAAATATTCATCACAATTTTTATCTGATTAGCCAAGGTGCTTAGCAAGCAGTGCCCACAGGCTAAAGAGAGTCTGGAACCCTGGACAAGATGGGACAACTGACCTGAGGATGGAAATGGATGTGACAAACTACAGCAGTGTGATTCTGTCAAGGACTGTGGAATGCAATTAATCCATCTCAGCATATTAAACAGCACAGCACCTGGCAGCCCTAGAGGTAAACGATGATGACAGAGCCTTGAGGTGTTGGAAATAAAGAGATAATAATAATAATATTAGTAATAACCCTTGCATTTGATATAGCGCCTTATCACGCTACAAGTGAGATGCCACAAAGTGCTTCCCTGAATATACTGTAAAGTGGATTGACTATGTATATATTGTGGGTGAAATTATGGATGATGAAGGAAGTGTTCAGAAACTGACAATAAACTTCCCCAATCTTTTGGGAAATTAAATCGGGTTGAAAATATGTCATTCGCAAATGGGATGTCACCCCACCAACCTTGTGGTTTGTGCCCGAAATTATGGCACAAAGCAAATTGGTGGCTGAGATCATGGCTCATTATCTAGGCTGCCACTGTAGTCAGGAACCTGGGCGTCTTGTTCGACCCTCAACTGTCTTTTCTCGCCCACATTCAAGCCATGACCCGCTCTGCCTTCCATCACCTCCGTAACATCGCCCGACTCCGCCACTACCTCACCCCTCAGGCCACTGAAACTCTTGTTCATGCCTTCATCACCTCCAGGCTCGACTATGCAAATACCCTGCTTGTGGGCCTTCCCAACTCCTCCCTCCACAGCTGCAGATAATCCAGAACTCTGCAGCCCGTGTCCTCTCCCGCACCAAACTCCGTGACGCATCTCCCCCATTCTCACCCGACTCCATTGGCTCCCTATCCTTCAGAGGATCCAGTTCAAGATCCTGGTCCTCACCTACAAAGCCCTCCATGGCCTCGCCCCACCCTACCTCTGTGACCTCCTAATCTCCTACCAACCCGCCCGCTCCCTCTGCTCAGCCGGCTCTGACCTGCTCCATGTCCCCCAACCCACCCGCCCCACCATTGGTGGGAGAGCCTTCAGCCACTCTGCCCCCAACCTCTGGAATTCCATCCCCCAATCACTCCGCCTCGTCCCCTCCTCAGCCTCCTTCAAGTCCTGCCCCAAGACCCTCCTCTTCGACCATGCCATCGGCCACCCCCTTCCCCTCCCCACCCTTATCCCCCCTGACCCCAGCTCGGGTCTGAAATGCTGCACTCTGTCCAGCGCCTTGGGACATCCTACTGACGTGAAAGGCTCTATACAAATATCATCTTGTTGTTGTTGTTGTAATGTGCTGCATTGTCCTTCACATGAGATGTTAAACCCGTCTGGGTATTCATGTGGATTTTAAAGATCCCAATGGCACTTCTCGAAAAGAGAAAGGAGTTTCTACCTGTGTCTCGGCTGACAATACCCGGGATAAAATTGATCATTCACTTCATGGCTGTTTGTGGGAAATTGCTGTGCACAAATTAGCTGCCACTGACAGTTACAAAATAACCAACCATCACCCTTTTCAGTAAAATCCTGTGAAGCAGGATTCCCGGTGTGAAAGGCACTATCAAATGTAAGTATTATTCATTTTATGATTCTGGTTGTCTCAATCTTGGGTGAAACATTCCAGCTAGTTTGTGCCCTGTAACGTCCCACAAACAACCAAGTAGTCAGTGACCAATTTTATTTGGGGGTTTGTTGGCTAGGACACTGGGAGAGAGAAACCTTCTCTTTTTGAATAGTGTCATGGGATCTTTAATGTCCACCTGAACAGGTAGAAGAGACCTCGGTCTCATCCAAAGGCTGTCAATGCAACAAACCTCCGGTCCTCCGGCATTGGAATTCCAATTCAGATGATGCGATTCTAAGTCCTAATTTGGGATTTGAACCCACATCCTTCTGACTCAGAGGCGAGAATGCCACCACTGAGCCAGGCTGACACACAAAATGGGCTCCAAACCACAGTCTTGACATTGTGTGCAATTTGGGGAAAAGTTGTAGATTCATCCTTAATCTGGAAGCCTGTGCTCTGCAATTCGCTGTAAGAACCAGGTAAATACAATTTTCAGAATGAAATGAAACCCAAAGATCCTCACATCATAAATCAAAGCACGGAGAGAGCAGTAAGTGGAGTCTGAAGGACTGATATATAACATATGAATGTTTCGCAATGCTCTCTCCAGACTTGCACATTCTTCGCATGAGACTGTGAACCCGAGTGACGTCTGAGAACAATGTCTCATTGTTCCTCACACTGTGTGGACTGTGATGTCCTGTCACGTGAGCTGTGAATGCTATCTTTTTATTTCAGGTTTGCAGGCACAAAGAGGCTCAAACAGAAGAAATATTATCAGCTAAATTATAGAATCAAATTTAGGGCTAATTTCACTCTGCTTAAAACTATTTAGCCAATTTGGCTTAAAGGTCATAAACAACAACACCACCACCAACAGTGTCTTTTGCATAAGACGACTGTCTCAAAGTGCTTATCCAATATGTTACGGGTCAACTAGTTAGGGCTTAGCTAAGGGCAGACAAAAGTGACTCAATCCGGCATCAACGTAACTCGTTTAGGAATGTGCAAGTTCACAACAGGCCACTCGACTCCACCTGACTGGTTCCACATAAATACCATTGCTCTCGATTTTATTTCTTACCTTCTATATCTCTAACTACCCGCACCCTCATCCCCTGCCCTCCCAACACCCCCAACCCTCAACATCGCCAATCTTGAGGGTGAAATTCGATCAGCTATTTAATAATAATAATAATAATAATCCTTGCATTTGATATAGCGCTTTTCACGTCGGGAGGACGTCCCAAAGCGCTTCACAGAATATACTGTAAAGTGAATTGACTGTATATTTGTGGGCGAACGCGGCAGCCAATTGCGCACAGCAATGTCCCACAAACAGTCGTAGATTGAAAATGACCAATTTTATTATATTGTTTTTGGTTTTTGGAGGGATTATTATTAGGCTCTGTGTGGAGTAAGGAAACTTGCCCAAGGTTTCGCCCTCTGCCTGGAATTGAACTCAGGTCTCTCGCTTGCAAAGCGAGTGCTCTAACCACTGAGCTACAGGACTCCACATTTCCTTGATTTGAGAATCCAAAGTTAACCTCATAGTCATCATCACCCAGCAACCCTCTGTTCTATATAATATATCACAGACCCTTCAGCTGGCTTAGGGTGACTTTCCATGTGTTACAGAACACAATAAATCATTCAAGATGCAGCCCCTACAAAGCTCAAGAAACATTGACCTGGTCCTTGAAAACAAGAGTAGAAGTAAAAATTAGAAATGTGACAATGAGAAATAGCATCAACTAAAGGGACACACATAGTGATCCTCTGTCTCTTAATGAAAAATAAATGTTCCCACTTTTCAGTTGAGGATTCCCAGCCTGAGTGTTGTCTAATGAGAGTTTCTGTGCTTGAGAGAATGACATTCCCCAGGATCCCTGAAGGTAAAACGTGGGAGGGCCACATTCCCATCTATCAACTAGTGTCTATTTGCTCTGATTTACTGGGTTTTTACATACAGTACAGTACAGACAGGCTGTACCATGTAGAAGAAACTCCACTTCCCCTGTGATTCCCAGGCAGGGTGAAACCTTTGGCAAGTTTCCTTACTCCACACGCCTCTGTTCAACTGCAATAAGTAGGAACCCAGTTGTTAGTCAATTGACGGATCGCTTGTTGGGGGTAAAAATTGGTCGCTCACAAAATACACAGTCAATCCTTTACAGTATGTCCTGTGAAGCGCTTTGAGATGTTTCAACAATGTGATGAGGCGCTATATTAAATTCAAGGATTTATATTATTATTATTATATACTATGCAGATAGCGTCTGCGAATAATCGGAGAGATTTCAGGATAGCAATGGTGTTGCATCTGTATACAACCAACATTGAGATGCGCTGAGCCGTGCCCAGACTGAGCAATGTCATCCTCTTATTTTCCTATAAGATTTCTTACAAAAATCAGCAACTGTTCCTTCCTTCCAAAATAAATATTGCAACTTTTAATAAAGTTTCTTGCCAGTTGCTGATTCCACCTCCAGGCCTGAGAGTTGTTCCAATACCCAAAGGATACCATTTATATTTCAACAAGTCATAAGAAGTAGTTTGCTTTGGCAAAACAGAAACCTGTGAGTGAAACATGCACTTATTGACAATTGTAAATCTGCATGGGAACTATGCTTTAGTGACCTCCATCATTATCTCAATGGTTGGGCTAATGCTGGATCATGATAACACAGAGCAGATTCACAGGATAACCTTCCAAATACACAGACACTACACTTCACAGTCCAGTAAACTCCTGATAGCTCGACCTTGACTTAACTTGTCACGTAAGTCTGATCTGTATAAATCATACAATTGCCTAAGTTGGATATCTGCCCAAGTTTGGTTTAAGAGTTTATATTCTAGTCAAGTTTGACATAACTCATGCTTTGCATAAGTCATACTATATGTATGGTCCCAACTGATACGACTTTTATAAAGTTGTAGTACTACTACTACTTAATAGGCTATAATTGTATATTGTATAGAAAGCATATGGGATCATCAACAACAACTTGCATTTATATCGTGCCCTTCAAGTGTTGCAGAGTCTCAGAGGGCTAAACAGCCTGATGCCGAGCTGGCGGGAGGGAGGAGGTGACCGTAAGTATGGTCGAAGAGGAAGTTGTGATCTAAAAGAGGGGAGGGAGGGGGCAAGGCAGAGGGATTGAGGGTGATATCAAGCTGCAAAGTCAACTCACTCCTCACAGGATGCAAGCTGTGGTGAAGGAAAAACTTAGGCTGCGTTTGTTCCAGTGAAACAAGCAGAAATTGAACTTCCTGGGGTGATATGTTGTCTAGGATTCCCACATGTCTGACTAAACATTATAACACACATTGTGGGTAGGGGGAGGGGGTTAAGTATTGAGGCGTTCAATCCATTTCTTGTGTTAACCAGAATAAGGAATGGATTAAGGAACACTGCAAATATTAACCCTTATTTCCCCCCCAAAAAGGGATACAATTTGTCTGGGATTCCCACACAGGTTGATTGATTAAATATTATATACATTATAATATAGATTTTATATAATATATGATAGAGTGACCAAAAAGTCTTGTTTTTCAGTTACCCTATTGTCTAAAAAAAAATCATAATTTCTTAAGACATTTTAATGGTATCACGACTTTTTGGGTCACTCTGTATATCATTTCACGGGAGGGATTTCAGCATTGATATTTTAAATCCATTCAATCCACTGCAAATGTTACCCCTATTTTCCCCCATTCACCCCCAACACATATTCTTCCCCAACCCAACACCCACCAAAAAAAGAGAGGGATGCAATTTACCATCGAGGTGTTGAGAAGCTTACCGTTTGAGGTCGCCCAGCCTGTAACTCTCATTCTCAATGTAAGTTTGCAGATGTTGCAAAAGCACTTTCTCCACTGCAATCCCTTCCTTAATGTTAACGACTGAAGCATACATATCACCCCGACAGACTGACAGTAGCCAGGAGCTGAGCAAGTACAGCAGCGGGCAGGGCATGTTGTAAAGTTCTTTTTGTTGCACGCAAATAATAAATAGAGATACAGTAGATCGCTGCTTAAGATCCTTTCTAATAACACTCTCCAGCCAGTCAGTCAGCCAGCCAGCCAGCCTCCCTGCCTTCCTTCCCAGCCTCGCAGCTCAGACAGAACTTAGTCTTATTTCTGGCAATGAACTTTTAGCTGTGCATTACTGGTCATTACTGAAGAGGGATGGTATTTGGAGAGCAGGGAGCAGAGACAGCCCACCCCACACACACACACACACACCCCTTTCCACAGGATTTGTATATCTTCCTCCACACATGGCAATCCACAAGGGTGAGTACATCGGGCTTACTGCTGGGGAGAAAGCCAGTGAGTTTCTCTGTCTGCAAAACTTTCCACCTGGCATCGAATGGACTGAAATCACTGTAAATAATCACCGTATTTGACACAGTGCCAATAATAATAATGATAATCCTTGCATTTGATATAGCACCTTATTACATTGTTGAGACGTCTCAAAATGTTACACAGAATGTATTGTAAAGTGAATTGACTGTATATTTTGTAGGCGAAACGCGGCAGCCAATTGCGCACAGCAGCGTCCCACAAACAGTGGTGGATTGAGCGGCCAAAATTTAAGGGGGATGGATTATAATAAATAATAATAATAATAATCCTTGCATTTGATACAGTGCTTTTCACGTCTTTGAGACGTCGAAAAGCGCTTCACGGAGTATACTCTAAAGTGAATTGACTGTATATTTGTGGGCGAAACCCGGCAGCCAAATACACACAGCAGCGTCCCCACAAACAGTCGTTTTAGGATGAGGTGAGAATTAAGTGGAAATTAGACAGGAACATTTTTTTGGGTCAGCCGGGTGTCTGGCACATGCGGAAACCCATCACTGTGCTTAAGAGTCTCCAAACCAAACTGAGAATTCCATGCATCCCACCCACACATGGAAAATCCAGAGATAAATTGTTGGAATGGATCTAGTGGTGGGAACATCTGAAAAGGCATCAAAGAGAAAAGCTTCAGCTGTTCCCCAGTGCACTATCCGGGATCCCCAAGTCTTGAGACATCTCAAAGCACATCACAGGATACACTGTAAAGTGACTTGTTGACGAAACACAGCAGCCAATTGAACAAGCAGTGTCCCTCAAACACTTGTGGATTGAGTGACCAAATTATTCTCATATTATTTGTTTATTTTTGAAGGAATTATTACCCCCAGAAAGCAATCCGCCAATCAATTAATAACCTGGTTCACACTTACTGCTAAGTAAACAGAGGTGTGTGGAGTAAGGAAACTTGTCTAAGGTTTTGCCCTGCCTGGGAATCAAACCCAGGTCCTCTCATTTGCGGGCAAGTGCTCTAACCAATACTCTACAGGAATCCAACCTGCACCTAATACTCTCTGCAATTAGGCTTTCCACTGGGAAATGGCATTGAATGGAGGCATGAAATGATCTGTGGGTCATAGTGAGAAATGGGAAAGGCAATGGGTGAAGGGGGTTCATTCATTGGAATTCTAAGCAGGTTGAGGTTATAAGCCTACAAATACACAGTCACTACAACAACAACAACAAGAGTGTACACTCAACAGTAATTGTTTCTGGTCAGCCAAGTGTCTGACACATGCGGAAAACCAACACCATGCTTAAGAGTATCAAACCAAACTGAAAGTTCAGTGTATCCCACTTACAACAACAACAACAAGATTCCATTTATAGAGCGCCTTTCACGTCGGGAGGACGTCCCAAGGCGCTGTACAGTTGGGTCAGGACCCGAGCATTGGGGAAATGGTCAGGGTGAGGGAAGGGAGGGAGCGAGGAGGGGGTAGAGAGTCGAGAGGGGAGCTGAAGGCTGAAGGTCAAAGAGAAAGGTCTTGAGACCGGCCTTGAAGGAGGAAAGGGAGGAAGCGGCGAAGGCACTGGGGGATGGAGTTCCAGAGCCTCGGGGCTGAGAGGCTGAAGGCCCGGCCACCGATGGTAGGGCGGTTGGGGCGGGGGATGTGGAGCAGACCGGAGCCAGAGGAACGGAGGGTACGGGCAGGTAGGTAGGGGGATAGTAGGTCAGAGAGGTAGGAGGGAGCAAGGCCGTGAATGGCCTTGTAGGTGAGGGTGAGGATCTTGAATTCGATCCTCTGGGGGATGGGGAGCCAGTGGAGGCGAGCGAGGGTGGGAGTGATGTGGTCCCGAAGCCTGGTGCGGGACAGTACACGAGCTGCAGAGTTCTGAATGACCTGCAGTGTGGAGGGAGGGCCGGGAAGGCCGGCGAGGAGAGAGTTCCCATAGTCCAGCCTTGAGGTGATAAAGGCGTGGACCAGAGTTTCAGCAGCGTGAGTGTAACAATTATTACATGTGGAAATACAACAACTTGCACTTATATAGCGCTCTCCACACAGGATAGCGTCTCAGAGCAGAAATTCACGAGTAATGGAATGAGCACTCACTTAATGGAGTGGTGTGTCTTGCCTAACTAATTTGCGAGAGCCAAGGATTGGGGTATGTTGGGATACTGCCGGAGCTTTTCTCTAGAATGCCTTTTGAGGGGTTCCCACCTAACTGGCATCATGTGCGGATTATTTATTGTGATTTAACTGAGGTATTCAGGTTGGATTTTTTTTGTTCAGCCAAATGTCTGACACATGCAGAAACCCATCAACATGCTTAAAAGTAACCAGAATTCCAGCCATCCCACCTCACATGGAAATTCCAGAGATATTTATTGGAATGGAAAGCACACTCTCTGCCTGGAGGAATGTGTCCTATTTACCCAATTTCATAAGAACATAAGAACATAAGAATTAGGAGCAGCAGTAGGCCATTCGGCCCCTCAAACCCTGCCCCGCCATTTGATAAGATCATGGCTGATCTTCAGACCTAACTCTAATTACCTGCCCTATCCCCATATCCCCTAATCCCTCTATTTTTAAAAAATCTATCAGTCTCAGCCTTGAAGATGTTCAAGGACTGAGCAGCTACAGCCTTCTGGGATAGTGAATTCCAGAAATTCACTGCCCTCTGAGTAAAGAAATGTTTCCTCAACTCTGTCGGAAATGTTTCCTCAACTATTTCGGAAAGTATTAGGCTTGGGTTAGCAAGAGCCAAGGCTTGGGGACCTCAGAATACGCGTTGGGATGCTGCTGGAGTCTAACCAGCTAGAATTGCATAGCTTGCCATTAATATTGCTGACTGGCAAGCTTTCCCGTTATTTGTCCAGCAAGGACCACCCTACCCATTAGGGCTTTGGCTTTCAGGGTTACCGGTAGCTAAGTGAGAAGAGTCCTGCCCCCCCCAGTGAACGGTCTGTCTTTCCAAGTGTTGCCAATGACTCAAGCTGGCGGTGCTGTTATCTGCAATGCCCTGGAGTATTGCGGACTTGCCTGGCTCAGGAACTGGATTACTGAGACTGCCGCAGAGGGTTGGCTCGAGTCTGATATTCTTTTGCCAAACCTGCTACCTTGGAGCTAATTCAGCTCCAAGGAGACCTCGCTTACCTCCTCACCAAGGAGGATAGTCCATTAGTTGAGATAATAATTGCTGCTTCAGGTAATCAGATATTTTTAAGCTCTTCACAGGAATTATTGCAAATTGCATTAACTGTGTATTGTAGGTAAGCACAGCAGGCAATTTGTTCACATCAATGTACCATAAACAGATCGACGGATCATTATCTGCCATGAAAATGATGGCACTCACACCAATCCTCTTGATGTCTGTATACAGTGAAACACTTGTACAGTTAAATACTTCTAAATACAATTAATATCATTCTTGCACTGTAGAAAAAAAACATGGGGGTAATAGGACTTTGTGGAGTTAACAGTTGGAGATAACTGGAGTTATCCCCAGTGCAGTGCTGGGGATATGATACGTTGTGGGTGTTGCCGTCTTTTGAGTGTGATGCTAGACCCAAGGTTCATCTGTCTGTTCAGGGAGAGAGTTAAACATCCCATGAGGCTACTCAAAAAGAGAAGGGAGTTTCTCCCAGTGTCCTGGCCAACAATCCTCCGGATTAATTGATCCTCACGTTGGTATGCGTGAAATGGTGTTGGATTTGCGTGCAAAAAAAACAGGCCCTAGGTATGACAGTAATTACTTGTGAAGCACTTGTTTTCAACCTGATGAAGTGCTATAAAAATGGAAGTTCGTTCTTTCCAAACCAGAACATATATCTAATGCTTCCTCCCAACCACATCTTTATATTCTCGGCACGGTTGGAAACAGGTTTGAATTGGATTTTTGCACACTGGCTGTCAGTGAGATTTATGGCTTTAGTGTGGTGTTGGCTGCTTTTCACTCCAGATGGTGTGCTTTCATTCCCTGGTATCGCTGCTTTAAAATTCAACAGGAAACAATAAACCGCAACACGGTTCATAAGCAGAGATCCTAACTAGGGTTTTTTTTAATACAAGAAAAAATTTGTTTTTACTGGGGTTAAAGAGGAGAGAATATGTATCTAGCAGTAAGTAAGAACCCGATAGCTAGTCGACTGGCGGATCACTTTCCGGAGGCAATAATCCCTTAAAAAAATAATGATTTGGTCATTCAATCGACGACCGTGTGTGGGACACTGCTGTGCGTAATTGGCTATCGCCTTTCGCCCACAAATTATACAGTTAATTCACTTTACAGTATATTCTGTGAAGCACTTTGAGATGTCTCGATGATGTGATAAGGTGCTGCATCAAATAGAAGGGTTATTATTATTATTATTATTTGTGGTTTCCTACACGCAAACCTTATGAGCTCAAACCCCGCACAGATCTGATAGAATTTCATGGCTATTTCAGCTACAGGGAACCAGCGTCATGATCTGCTGCTAATGAAATCTTGCAGCCGCTGCTTTTTTAAAAAAGGGAAGGACTCGGCGTTTTAAAACAGCAACATCTTGCACGTATATAGCCCTGTTCATGCAGGGAAGCATCTCAGAGCGCTTAAATAGTACTCTCTGTGAAACCGTAAAATCACATCGAAGGGACGTCTCAAAGCACTTCACGGGACTTACTGCACCCACCCTATCTCTGGGTTCTCCTTTTGACCATACTCTCCCAACCACTTCCTCCTCTCTACCAATTCTAGCCTGTTTCACACTCCTCCACCGACACCATCCCACCAGCAAGGGTTGGGCCAATTTCTCCTTCCCTCTGGAATTCTCTCCCTAAAT